TTGGTCTCGCCACAGAGACCCATGATTTCGGGATCCTTTACCATGGCAGACACCATGTGTGTCAGACTGTCGGGGAAGACCTTGGTATCGGCGTCGACCATGAGCATTATCTCATAGAAGTCGGGGGAGATACCAGTGATCTTCCAAAGGCCGTTGAACATTTCATACTCGAGTTCTGTCATGCGCTCGTCGAACATGACCTTCTGGAGGAATGACATGAGAATGATCTGACTGTCGCGCTTGCCACGATTACCGGGCTTGGAAGCACCCTCTTCATCAGGCGTGCCAGTCTTGACCACAACCATCATGGGAACGCGCTGCTGCTTCTCAAGAGGAATGGCAGATTGGTGCCCATAGTCGTAGTAACCGCAGTAGATCTTGGCCATGTTGTGTCGCTTGGCGCCACTGGCCACAGCCACGTACGAGAAGGGCTCGACCATTTCGGGAGGAATTGTGTGGTCCTTGAGCATACCGAGACAAACTTCAGGTGTGGACTTCAACTCTCCCTTACCCTTGATCATACCGTCGCAAATAACAACGATGACCTTGTGGCTGTTGGGGTAGTCGGTCATGGAGATGGAGTCAAGCGTAGTTCGCATGCCTTCCTCACCTTCAGAGTAGGCGGTTACCAAGTTCATCGTGTGAGCAAGAGGGAACCCAAAGGGTTGCCAATCAGCCGGGGGCTGAGGCACGACGGCAGGATGGATGAAGCCCGCAGGACCAGGACCTTCACTGGGACCGTTGCTCGACGCGTAGGGGTCAGACTGGAGGAAACTAGCGCGGCTATCATTCCCCTGCTTGTAAATCGAGTTCGGGTGCAGGTTGCTTGAAGCAGCTTGGCTACCCATGGTTGTGGGCATACGTCGGCCCATGCTGCCCGAGTCGCCATATACAGTGGAGAATCGTGACTGCGTGGGCAGAAACGAGGAGCGCTTGTTCATGCGGTCAGAGCCGACAACGGTGCTACCAACGTCGCCGGGAAGTCGAATGGGGGCACGGTAGATGTCGTCCGACCAGTCTTCAATTTGCTTGTTGCGCTTGCGACGGTCTGAGCTTTGCGACGTCTTGTTGGCAGCGTACTTGCGGCAAATGAACCACTGAAAGATGATCGCGAGGAAGAATCGAGCACCGACCAAGCCCAAAATAAGGACCAGGGCACAGTACAGGACGACCTTGGAAGCGATGCAGCCAACAGTCTCCGTGTCGACGGAGCCGACCTTGATGATCTCTTCGAAGCACTGCGCAAGCTTCTTGTCATCAGAGCCCTGGAACATGCGAGTCACGTCGCGGCCGCGGACCATGGCGTTGACATCAGAGGTCCTGTCGCGGAGTTCCTTGAACCGGTCAGGCACCGCGACTTGCGACTCGTTGAACCAGTTCAACAGGTCGAGATCCAGCACCTGACCACTGTAGACCATCAGGTTGCGTGAGTTGTTGCGAATGTCTCCCCAAGTGAAGTACACATCGGCTTGGCCCTTGATGTCGAGGTAGAAGGCGTCACGGGCCTTACTTGTCGTATGACAGGCGTATCCAGGGTAGTATTCAAACGTGGTATTAGGCTGCGTGGAACCATCTTGAGCGAAGGCCTTGCAAGGAAAGTACCACGCGAGGTCGTTTTGGTCATTAGTTGGGACGTCTGAGTCGGGGGCTAGGGTGATGAGGTCCTTGCAAGCACCATTGACGTTCTGAAAGAAGAAGCTGCCATCAGTACCTCCATAATCGATGTTCAGATCGTACAACACATTGGGACCATAGCCGTCGAGACGCAGGGGCATACCCTCGGCGGGAGGATGATGGGACCTGACCAGGTCGTAAGCCCTTCCGTGGAAGATCATGTACCCGAGTCCCACGTCATTGATACGGAGGCGCTCGGGCGGAGAGCCGCAGACAACCGCAGTGAAGCCAAACGTGATGAAGCCAACAATGGCCATGATGGCAAGAATAATGCTGATCAGCCCCATCTTCTCTCTCCATGCCCTTCGCTGGTTCCGCGTTGTCTTGCCGAAGCATTTAAGGATCATGTCGGGACACCAGAAAGTGACAATGGCGCAATACACGTTCCAAAAGCTCGGTGGCCTAAGCTGCTCCTTGGGCATCTTAGTCCGGCTCTTGCGCCTCGACTCGCGCTTTGAGTCTTTGGCAATCTTGCCAGACTTGGAGTTTGTCGGTTGCGCTGACGCGTGAATGTCGTTCTTTTCGAGATCATCCCGTCGCCGTGAGCGGCGTGGTGGGGAGTTATCAGATATCGCAGTGTTCGTGTGCGAATTGGAACGATCGGTGGATGCTTCGATCTGCTCCATTGGGTCGTTGCCGGTCGATGAAGGAAGGACTGTCATGTTCGTAGCATGTTTATGGTAGTGGTAGTTGGCGTGGTCCTTGTCGATTCGCTTCCTTTCGGGACGGATCAGGCTCCTCTTGCGGCCAAAGCCCTGCTCAGGACTGCGCGGCTGAGGGGAGTGCCCCGGTGGGCTCGTGGGTGACAGAGGCATACTCTCTGTATTCGTATTAGGGTATGCGATGGTCTCGGCGTAAGAAGATGCGGATTTCCCACGTTCATGTTGGCCGGGGCGGCCTACGGGCTGATAGTTGGCCGTCTCTAGGTCGGCAGGTCGATTGCGGCGAGACGGTGAATTGCGGTACGCAGTGCGGTGCTCCGGAGGAGAGCTTGCACCAGGCCTCTCGGGGAGAGACATGGCCCTAGAAATGAGGTGTCAGTAACGGGAGTGAGTTGAGAAAAGCATGAAAGGGCTTTCGGCCGAGGAGGGCAGTGGGCAGACGTCACCCTTGAGTGGAATGCAGTCGTCAGTCAGATGGTTGAGGCGCTGCCGTCGGAGGGCAGCGACCCGATGATTCAGATCGAGCGACTGGGCAAAGGAAATGGCAAAGGGAGGCAACTCGTTCTCAGAGGGACGCCGTTGCAATCGTCGACGAAAGGCAAGGCTCCGCAGTCATTCGCAAGGGCGCAAGATGAGAAGAAAACAACATCGAAATGCACTCATGTCGAAGGAGGAAACTCACCTTGTTTGTGTTTCGGGACGTCGTAGCTAATGGGAAGATCCCTGTAAAGGCAGCGAGTCCTTAGTCAGGCGACGGCTCAGGACTTTCGACTGAGCCAGCAAGATGGCAGAGTGATCAGCTCCCTTTTCCCTCTCCGTTACTTGTCGAGGAAAATATCCCGTCCCTTGACGACCCTGACTTCTTGCTTTCCGATCAGAGGTAATATCGCTTCTTTTTTGCTTCTCCACAATAGCGCGTGGCAAATGCAGGGTGAGTGAGTATGGGTGCGGACTAGGCGTCGTTGTCCTCGAGGCAGTAGCGAGAGAGAAAGCGAGTGGTCGAAGGCACAAAGCCCGTGGTGTCGAAACGCAGAGGGCGCAGACGCAGGAGGGATCGTCCTCGTGGGGCGTTGCGCAGTCGCGATGAAGCTGAGCCGGCTGGATGCGAGACAAGCAGTGCGTTGGTCGCTCGGTTTGGCGAGACAGGAGGTCGATCCAGTCACAGGTAGACAGGCGGCTGCTAGCCAAGGAGCGAACGAGAGGCAGAGAAACGAGGGCCGACGAGCGAAAGAATAATCGCCCTCGTGGAATAGCGAGAGACGGTATTGTGATGCACGAAGGTGCTTGGGAAGTGAAAAGGCGAGGGACTGGACTGGACTCTCACACAAAGGTCGAAGCGACCAGACTCCAGTCGGGGGTGGCTGCTGGAGGGGGAGACTCTCAGGGTGGTCCAGCCCAAATGCGGGTGCAGAATTGGGAAAGGGAGGGAAGGCGCTCGGCGTCTGGTGCCTGGATGCTGGTGTTTCCGCGTTTCCCAGCAAGTCGAGCCCACCTTCATGGCATGTATCGCCCAAGTTCCTACAAATGGCTGGCCCGTGGTTCCTGGAGGCTGGCTCCACCTTCCACGCCCGGCGCTGGTGGATTTAAGGGCTTTGATTGGGTGATTGGACAAATGTTCACGCTAGCATCTACCTCTTCGGTACACGACTCGATCGTGTCGCATGCACTGCTCAACATTAAGAGTGAGATCGCCAATGGCAGTGGGCCTTTGCTGTGGGCAGGCGCCTGGCTCGTAATATACCCCTGTTGTCTGGACGACAACAGTGTGAGGCGTAGCTTGCATTGACTTTCATACATCTTAATTGTTCTAGGCGACGTCGTATGCTTGATTATTAGCTCTCCTAGTCTGGTAGATGGCAAGGTTGGACATTAGAAAACTCAATTCCTAGTACAACGTGCTAGCGACCTACGGTAACCCGGCCGACCGCGTGGCCACGTTTTATCCTAGGGGGCGCAGGGGACTTGTACATTCCGTCGGCGTCAGAGGGTAAGACATTCGATGATGGCCATAATTGGAGTCTCCAGTCGATTCATTTTAACAAGGCCTGAATATGATTGTTAGGCTCTTGCTGGTGAAGGGCACATCATTAATCTTAATATGTTATACTTGAGATGCTGCCAATTCGTCCAGACCGATGTCGGTACCGAGTAATACAGAGCGTATGCCAGCATGAATCACTCCTGTGCTGATGGATGGCGCCTACCCTACGTACGCCGACATCAGGCTCTCGTTCCCATCACAACAGTTACAGTGTGCATGGATCAAGTGGTCAGCGTTAGATATAACGGGTTGAAGGAGACGGTTCAAACCATGGAGATTAATTTCATCCAGTTTGTGACCGAAAGGCCAGTTTCCTGCTACGACAGCGTACTTACACAGGAACGCACGCCCCGAGGTGACAAATGTCCAACGAAGTAGCGGATCTCGGTGTTCGCAAGTATGATATAACATCACCAACTCACAAGAAACACAATAGAACTGGCCTCAGGCGAACGAGCCAGGGGTATTTGATGTGTAATCGCATACTCGAGCTGGCCAGCAGACGGTATACCCAGCTCTGTCAAACTACAGATAAGTCGAACACGGGCTACGTAATATCAAGGGCTTTGCTCCTTACGAAGGGCGATACGGGTTGCCCTCTGGATTTCTTGGTATTGCTGCAAATACGAGTTCTTATGATCACAGGGGTCTCGGTTGACACCGTCGAGCACGGGGATGTTTCCTGGTTAATAAGTTTCGCATAGTAGAGTAGCTACATACATAACGTAGTAAGCAATTGGATAATTAACCACCTGGATCCTGGATGGGTTGTCCAGGGGCCGGATAACGGCAATAACCAACAACAAATTGTGGCCACGACAGCCGGCATCTGATCAGAGGCCACAGCCCTAGTGAGGAACCATAATTCTTCATCGGTCGTCGTATCGTACACAATGACAGCGCAGAGCACTCTCGTGTTAACTCGAGCACATAACAGTACGAAGACGAGCCGCATGCAAAGCCATAGTAGAGTGTCAATCTGGGGTGTGTGCCCAGAGACTGCGTTCTCCCGCCTCCTCTATTATAGGGCCTAGCGCTCCCATGTCGCGCGTGACGTATGACGTCCACGAGCCACTGGACTGCCAGCCAAGTGTAGGGCAAGAATATGCGATTCTGAGCGGTAAAGAGGAAGAGGGCGAAGAGCATTGAGCAATGCAGCAGCCGACATGCCCAGACATTGTGATACGAGGTTTTTCGTTCACGCGCAGCTGGACTAGCGCCGAATTGGTGTGAGGAAAATCCCAAATTGGTTTCGCCCTTGTCCACCGGCGGACGCATCACCCGCAGTAGCACTCCTGCGGAGGAATGTACTCCACAATAGTAGCAACTGATTGAACTTGAACCGAACTTCAGGAGTCATTGTCAATTCTCACAAGTGCGCCAATGCAGTTGGAGTCTCCGTCTCTTGCGACGGGTCTTTCCTATCTCGCAATATTCAGCTGCGATGCGGCTCAAATATCCCAAGCAACAAACTCATCAGCGAGAACATGAATACTACATGTGTGATCAAAGAGACTTGCGAAATCAAGTGTTGGCTTTCGCTGAGGGGTTTGGTGGGGTCTAGTTCAAAATCGGGAAATGCGTTGGGGCTCTCGGCGGACCGGACTTTGGAGAATTGCGATTCAGAGCTTGGCGCTGAGCAGCATTTCACGATCTCGTTCGTTTGGTCCATGTAATACCTCGTGTTCTGCGCACCTGGGTGGTTATCCTCTGATATGTACGGATAGAGTGAGCATCCGATCCTTCCCAATCCCCGAATGAAGCGTACAAGCCGTAGTTTGCAAAGCACTACCAATCAACTATTAAGCCGAGAACGTGGACAAAAAAACCGTGGACAGTGCCATCTTGTGTAAATCTCAAGTCGTGATACTAGCGCAAGCGCCGACACGATATTATCATGCATTTGCGCAGCCTTGGCGCACTTGGCCAAGAACATCATTAGCAAATTTCTTGGGCGCCAGCATGTTAGGTATCTGGCCAGACTGGCCTCGGAACGGTGAGTAACCATGCGCGATGTGCAAGGAGACGCGACAGGCTATGTTCGACCTCTTCCTCATCCACGCGCTGGTCAGCCCAGCACACCTCAGCTCAGGCTGACGGACATGAATGCCTTCTTGTCACCCGTCGTTAGCCAAGATGGTGAGCGCATCGACCCGCGCAATCTGCACTAGGAATAATTCCGCAAGTCGCAACCGGGCAAGCCATCCAAGCGCAGGAGAATTTTGAGTCATGCGTGCCTGGACTGGGCGGCGCGTTAATTATTATTAATAATGAGTAGTAGATCATGACGAGGCGCATTCCAGCGCTAGGTCGGACACCAGCTTCCAGAATTGGCTTTGGAAGAAAGCAGTCCAGGCCTCGTTCACGTTGGAGACGGAGAGGGTGCTATTGGCCTTTGTATAGGGGTGCAGCTGGGGGAGAAAATAAAATAAAAGGAACACTGTCACAACTCAGCCCATCAGTTCACTGCTCACTTCTAAGATAGGTAAGATAGCTCCATGATCAGCCCACGGCACAATAATAAGAGTTTCATTTCTTTTCCAAAGTGTGATGTTCGTCGTACGTAGCCGTTGATCAGCATGTCTGGGGCCACGAGTGCGTATGCGCCCCAGCGGTACTGTAAGCAATTAGAGCATGGAGTTTCAGCTGTCGACAAGGCCAACGTCTATTGGCAGACGAGGACGGTGCAATTGCGCATCACCATGAAGCTCGAATTGTGCCCGCATATCGTCCTCGCTAGACTAGTCATTTGCAACAGCACGTATTCATCGTAATCTAGTCAAGCAATGCTTGGAATACCTCGCATCGATGGTCCATTGTCGTCTTGTCAGGAATTCTCGACGGCGCACAATACAGAGAGTCAAATTGATAATTCAGGCACTCAGCTGGATGGACTGGATCCGTTTGAGCGGGAATTGCATCTTACGCCAAAAGGGGGTTCTGAAGATCACCATCCACCCCTGCACAGAGCGCTCCGCCGTCCTTCACTCCAGTCTTTCTCCCTACGTATTCACTCCAGTGCGGTCTGCCGCCTGCGTAGGTAAGGTAAGCCGTAAGGACCGTAAGGTACAGAACAGGGCGGCAATTAGTGTAGACTCAGGCTGCCGTCACTTTTCAGTCACCCTCATCTCCCACACACCCTAATAACACACACCATCGACCCTTGAAGCCTAAAGGCCATTCTCGGAACGTGGGACGGACGTTCTTTGCCCTGCAACGTTCTCCTTAAACTTATTAGCTTGGCTCATGACGAGGATCGCACGTTCTGATACTACACTACCTTGCGGGTAAATTCTCGCTGTGTGCCCTCCCTCCCCCCTTTTGCTTGACATCTGCATCAGACAGGCTGGGCCAAGCCTGGAGACCGACTGCAGTTGTCCACCACCAACACTCACGTTACCTCCCTCCTCTGCTACAACCCGCGCACGCATTTGGATCGCAGTACTATCAAGGGCTGGCTGCTTTTACTACACCTTACCTTATTATTCTTACAGTCGGGGCAATTTGTCACGGAATCTGGCTACGTGCTGGGCAATCTAGCACCCTACCCACCTGCCCCACCCTCCTGTGGCATCCATCCACCATTGCTCGGCACACTTACGGCCACCCAGGCCCACGTCCAGTCCCAACGCTCAGCCCAGCCCACGCCAGGCCAGGCCCACGCCCTCCCGACCGCCGTAACGCCTACCTCAGTTACGGACACGACCCTCCACCATTCTCCATTTCACCTTACTGGCCTTACTATACCCGCAAGGCCCCCAGCCCACGCCAGGCACGCGGCACGCCGACCTCCAGTCACTGCCTGTCAACAGCCTGCCAGGTCGGTCGAAACTTCCTTCTCTCCACGCCAGCAGCCGTCCTCACGGCTCCAGTCACCGTCGCCTTCGTCGCCATCGAGCTTCAAACTTCCCTCGTTGTGTGTGATCTGTATCTGCCGCGCGGTCTCGCAGTAATAAACCGGAGCAAGCCTAGCACCGTACCATTGCGGCATCGGTTGTCCGACGCCATACGAACACGACCCTCGGTCAACATCACTCGTTTAGCACCTTTACGCAGTATTCGTTACAATCTTTACCCTCAGAAGCAAGCGTGCGTCCTCGCACCTTTCGCTCGCCCTGTGTTTGGCAAGTGACTCGAACAAGCTAGACTATTAGTAGAGCTCGGAGACTCGAGAGGGCCCGCCTCTCGCGGTGATCGAAGTCGCTATGGCTGCAGTTACCACCTCGCCTCCTCCAACGTCCACCTCGCCCGAACAAGATCACGCCCAGCGCGTCAATCGCAAACCTCTATCAGTCCCCTCAGCCGCCATGGACGGTGGGCCTCGCATTCGAGACGCCCCAGTGTCACCGGTCCGTGTCAATTTTCAGAACGAAAACTGGGCTCAACCTTCGAATGCCAACGTTGAGTACACGCAATCCCCAAAATATAATCTGGTCGACCGCTCCCGGCACGTACCGCATATTGCTCAGCTCTCCTCGCCTGTCTCCTCTGGTCCCCTCGCTAGCGATAGAGCACCAGTCAAGCCCAACAACGCATCACATATCGCCTCGTCGCAGCGCCATGCGGATCCGTCAAGTCAGCCACTGTCACCTTCGTCCTCGGCGACAATCCCCGAGCGCCGCAACGAGCCCATGAGCGCTACAATGAGCCCTACCGAGCGAGTCCGGCAGCAAGACATGTTCAGGACCAGCCGCGAGTCGGACGACACCACAAGTACGCAGCAGCAAGCGTCTACCGAGTCGTCGACGGCGACGAGCGCAAGCTCGATCACTGGTGCGGTCGAGACGCCGGACTGCCAGCCCAATGAGGACTCCCCTGGGAGCTCTGTGATGGAGGGAAACATCCCGAGGATACATTCTGTCCCCCAGTTCCAGTACCACCATCAGCAGTACCCTCAGCCAAACCGGGTGAACAGCGTCCCGCAGGAAGATGGCCGTACCGCATCGACCCCTGACTTGACCGACGGCGCTGCTCATATCAGGCGTCACCTTACACCTAGTTCACAGTACTTCCGGAGAAGCTCGTTGCCGCGACCGCAATCCTCGTACTCCACATATTCAGACCTGGCGCCACGGGGGCGCTCGCCTGGACTATTGCCCGGTGATCTCCGCGCTCCCACGGTCAACTCGCGCAGATCCCCCGACGTACGCAACTCGACGTACGCTGAACTCCTCAGTGTGCCATACCCCCAGCAAGCGCCGGCAACGCCTGGGCTTGACAACTCAAACCTCCGATCCGTCATTGGCAACAATGCCTCCCTCCTGAGCACGCAGAAGACGCTAGAAATGTACCGCGCCAATGTGAAAAAGACCACGGATTTCTCCATCCAATACTCCTTTGCGGTGTTCTTGATCTCCACGGCGCAAGAGCAAGGCTTGGACATTTCCGATCCCAAGGGGCGAAAGGCCACTCCACAGCCTTTGCGCGACCATGACAGCCCAATCATCGAAGCCGAGGTGACGTCGCCTTACGAGCTGGTGCGAGAGGCGCGCCAGATTCTGCAGCGTCTCGCTAACGGCGGATATCCTTTCGCGCAATACTACCTGGCGGATGGATTTGCATCCGGTCTCTTCAGCAAAGGCAAGGAGGATTACAACTCGGCCTTCCCGCTGTTCGTCCTTGCAGCCAAACACGGACACGCCGAATCAGCGTACCGAACAGCGCTCTGCTACGAGTTCGGCTGGGGCTGCCGAAAGGACCCCGCCAAGGCAGTTCAGTTCCTGCGCTCGGCGGCTTCGAAGCGACACCCAGGCGCCATGACGCGCCTGGGTAAGGCTTGCTTGTCCGGCGATCTTGGCGAGAAACGCTATCGCGAGGGCATCAAGTGGATGAAACTTGCCACCGAAGCTGCTGACACGCAGTACAACTCGGCGCCATACCAACTTGGCTGCCTGTACGAAACAGGGTACGGCGACGACGTGTTCCCCGACGAGCACTATGCTGCGACCCTGTTCACGCAAGCGGCCGCCCTGGGGCACCCCGAAGCCAACTTCCGCATGGGCGAAGCGTATGAGCACGCGCGCCTGGGCGTTCCTAAGGATCCCGCCCTCAGCGTCCACTTCTACACGGGTGCTGCGGAACAGGGACATGCCGCGGCGATGATGGGGCTATGCGCATGGTACATGGTGGGCTCTGACGTGCTGGAGAAGGACGAGGAAGAAGCCTTTGAATGGGCGCGTCGATCTGCAGAGCTCGGTAAGTCCGGATCTTTGTGGTGGCACCTCGGCGTGGGACACGCAGGCTAACATTGCACAGGCTATGTCAAGGCTCAATATGCCCTTGGTTACTTCACCGAAATGGGCATTGGCTGTCGCCGTGACATCCTCGAGGCGAATGTGTGGTACGTCAAGGCTGCGGACGCGGGCGACGAGCGGGCCAAGCAGCGACTCGCTATCATCCAGGCGGCTGTCAGCGGCGAGGGAAAGCCTATGGACGTGGCGCCGCCTCGATCGGGAAAGATTACAAAGGAAAACAATGACAAGGACTGTGTGGTGATGTGAAACACGCGGCCGACAGCAAGAGGCAAGTACTGGGAAAAGACTACATGAAGTGCGGACGAGAGGATACGCTCGGTGCACCAATCGACTTCTGGACATGGAAAAGGCACGCACCAGAGCAGGCATGCATATAAGAGGGCACACAACTGGATGAACACTCGGAGGTTGCGGTGGACAAGATGGCTCTCTTTCGGAGTTTCGTCCTGCTTGAGGCAGCAGCCGTCTCGTCTCGGCCTCCATCGCGCGGGCATCGAGACTTTGTTGTCGTTGTCGTGGGCATGCGGTTGCCCTGCATCTCTACATTTTGTTACTTTGGATTGTTCACTCTTTTTCTGTTGTGTCAAAGCATCAGCGCGAGCAGGGGGGCGGACACTGGAAAGCAGTAGTAGACGGCGGACGCTCAGTGTTCTCCGCCCCTCTCATCTTGTGCGACAGACTGGCGTTGGGGAGACTGGCACAATGTGTAACCGAGCCTGGCTTTTGTTCTTCTCGTACGGATTCTAGATGTCTGGCCGGGTGATGCGGATGAGGAACCAAGCCGTTGGTATATAGCCAGGACGTAATGATGAAGCTGCCCGGATCGATCACTGCGCTTGGCCTAAGAGTTACGTCTGACTATCTGATGTTTCCGTGACCACGCAAATGATTATTGCGCCGGTGTCCTATTCTTTTTGCTGATCATTCTTATCGCAACTTATCGCTGCATCGTCTGAATGCTTGGTCCCGACTAGGGTCTAAAGTGTCAACCGTCAATCTGATGCCGATGGGAGGGCTTCCTGCATGCAGTGTGGGGTCAGCCTGGCGGCTCCCTTGAACAAACACGTGCGGGATGCGGAACGGGAATCAGACAGATAAAGAAGGGCGGACACCAATGCAAAGTCAGGTTTGATCAGCCACACCGCAGCCGTCGATAGCGTGGTGTCAGCATGCATCAATCTCTCGGATCAGGCTGTCATAGATGTGGTTTTCTTCCCCAGTGTTCATGGAGATTCGAGAGACAGATAGCGCGACCTTTGTCAAGGCAAGGGGATCTGACTGTCTCGCCTTGCAAAGGGCAGATCTGGAGCCGTGTAGATTGCCATGGCCGTCTAGATGGGATGCTCGTGAACATGAGCTTCATTTCCTTGGGAGCCACCGGGACCGAGTCACCTCGATAGGTGACTGACAATGATCGGCAAACTTAATTAATGTGCTGGTCCGATTCTTCTCTCGAGAATGAACATGACATCAGCCAGCACCCTCATCAATCGATAGCAATGGATCAGAACGATAAGATTGTCGATGTGCACAGCACATTTCGATCGTGGGATATCTTGAAACATTTGTGAAGGAATATCCTTCTCTAGCTAGAGACCCATAATTATTCATGCGCTCATTGGGTAATAGGTCCAGCCAAGCCTATTAAAGTCGCGCCAGAGACGCGTCGCGTCGCGTCTCCCGGCGACGTCAGATCACGAGGGATAAAGGTGGTTGCTCTAGTGATCGAGATGAAATGAGTCTGCAACATGGAGAGACTTAGGCGATGACGTGCATGCAGGCGATGAACACATCCTTCTTGACATTTCGGGGGTTTGTTTCGTCAATTGGGCGGTGATCAGGCAGAGCATACTGTCGGTTGACACCCGAGCATGCATGCGTGTATGCCTGCACCTGCTGCGCTTGAGGGGGGTAATAAGAGTCTGTCGAGGCAAACGATGAATATGCGGTCTGAGCGAGTCATATTGTCGACGCAAAGCACGAGCAAAGGGAGGTCACGTTGGCTGTGTAGTCGGCTCTTGGCTGTTGAGTGAGTGTGAGTGTGACCTCTGACAAGGGAGCCGTTTGTCTCGAGGATGAAATGGGATGGATGGGTGGGACTACGCGGACGGATGGCCTGGGACTACGGCTGTCCTCGACCAGCGTCGAGAGAGTCGAAGCCTCGAAGGTCCGTGAGACGATGGAGACACGAAAATAGCTAATTACTGCGAGGGGGGAGACAGAGTCTGTGTCCGTGTGTGCATCCATCCGGCCGTTTGTGCTGCATGCTTGTCCTCCCTGAAGAGAACAGCCTAGACAGGCCGAGATGATGGATGGCTGTCGTCGAAACAAGCGCACTGCCCGCAAGCAGAACTCCACGTCTGTCAACGTAAGGCCGGTCAAGACAAAAGGGCGGCATCAAGTGCGGGTCTGGTGAGTGTTCCCGTCCCAGACAGCCATCTCGTCGCGAACACTCATCTCGAGATTGGGGGGGGGGGGGGGCAGCCAGCTGGTTGGTGACGTACGCACGAAGACGGACTGAGATGGTTGTGAATGACCGACTCAGTGACTGAAAGCAGAAGGGAAGGAAGGGTCAGGGCCCACGAGGTAGGGTAGGTACCTGTAGCAACGCGCATGTTTTGGTGGTGGGTGCGGGTACCTGATAGGGGTGTAAATGGGCAGCCACTGGACCCACCCGCACCTTGTGTCTCAACTCTCAACTGACTGACTGCACCCGGCCGCCAGCAGGCAAAGACTGGCCCGCCGCACAGCAGCCGCCCGCCTTTAATGCGCTGCGTCGCCCTCCTCCCCAGCACGTCTTCCTAGCCCTTGCAACAAGCAAGCAACAAATATCGCAAACCTGCTTTAACCACGTCGCAAACACCACACCATACCTTTTACTGCATCGCACGCTGCTTCCACGACACTTTGACTACTTGCGAATCTACTGAACTCGATTTTGACTCGAAACCCAAAGACGCTGCCCTATCGTGGTCGTTGCGCCGCAAAGGACTCTCGTCGCAACCACTCTCCGTCTGCGAGCGACACCAACCACCCGCACCCGGCCCCGACTTCAACAACCACCTCCTGCCACGCGAATTGTTCGAGAGAACACAATAGAGAATTTGAAAGGAGAAGAAGAAAATAATTGTCATTATGCTTCTCTCACCACCATTCCAGCCTGCGCTGTCGTATCCATTCTGCGCGCGCCCAACAACAACCACAACAACAACAACCACAGCCACGACGCACAACGACGCTTCAGCCGTCCCGCGCTCCGCGACAAGCTCGCTCCTCGCTGCCTCGCGCGCACTACAGGCCATTACTGGCTCAACACCCGACTCGCACTCGCAGCTGCCATTCTTCTCGCTGTCGCTGCCCACCACATCGACTCGGCAACCACTGTCGCCCCCCGCGAGCTTGGAGAGGAAGATGCGCCTGCGCCGAAGCGCGCGCCTCCAAAGATGCGAAGACGGCCAAGCCAAGGGGAGGAGGAGCAGAAGAAACTTTGAGACCCCCATGAGCAGAGACGCTGCGCCAGCGGACGGCATCCCGTGGGGGATCAGCCCCGACGCCTACCAGCGTGCCCTGGCGCCTCCGGCCGAGGATGACCAGATTATGGAGGACGAGGTGGAGCAGACGGCGTCTCTAGGATCAAGGCAATCCCAAGCCCAAAAACAGCAAGACCAAGAACAAGATGAGCCAGCAACACCACCGCAGCGACAAACACAACAGCACAGCCCCCTCATGAAGCTTGTGCTCAACAACATCCGCACATCGGCCTCGAGATCACCACGATATCGCGACGGGAAACCCCAAGATCGCAAGTGGAGGCAGGACACAATCATAAGCACAGGGTGCGTGCGCGTCACCAAGAACAGGGCAGACATGAAGACTGTCAAGGTCAAGACCGTCACTTGAACGAGAGGGGAACCGCTGGGGAGCGAAGAATGGCGTTTTTGGCAAGAGGGACAAGGAAGCCTCATTGGTGATCCCAATTACATTGAATAGACACATTACATATACATAGCCTTGCTTATTACTTGCTTACTTGCCTGCCTGCATGGTATGCACGGTGGCGAACTGTAGATAGCAGAAATCTTATGCTGGAGAGCGAGACATGCATCACACACACACACGCTGCACGACATTGATCTGCTCCATGGTGATGAAGAGGACCCATGATCTGTACCGTATGCACGCTGAGCTGCAAGTGACCAGCATCTCAGCTCTTCACCACTCGGAAAACCCAGTTCCGCCACAAGCGACAGCGGCCACAGACCCCTTTTTTTTTCGCATTGGTTAGCTGGCGCATCTGGTCGCAGGGGATCCAGCTAGACCCTGAAGACATGGAGACATTGGCGCACTAACTTCATTGGAAGAGAAAAAAAAAACAGGTGGCTGGCTGCAGCTGGGTGCAGTGCCAGTGAGGACTCATGTGGATAAATTTCGACCCAAAGAACCCCTAAAAGGGCTGTGAGACCCCTAAGATTGGCACGCAGCGGGCCCACATGCGGTAGGTCCGTCCCGGTTCCCAAGTGTCATCAGGCTCCCGTCGCGCGCGCGCCAGATCAACAGAACAGCTCTTGGAGTTGGAGGGAGGGCAATTTCCCGGGCCCCATCGCTCGCTTCGGTTCTCTGTTTGTCGATCTAGAGAGCGCCTGGCGTCTAGGCTATGCGAGTCGTTTTCAAGGGCCAGCCAGCGCATTTTGAAGAGGGAGTCGGAGACACGAGTCAGAAATATTGGCCGAGGGACGACTGGAGCACGACTTGGAAACAACAGAAGGGAGAATCAGAGTCGATACGTAGTCAGCGAGTGGCAGAGTGGACGTGGGTTTATGGTGCGTCTGCTGCGAAGGTCTGGGCGCCAATTCTAATGCATTGTGACAATGACTAAAGCTACCTAGGACTCTCTCATCTATATGTATTGTGTTGTATAATGCTCCAGAGTCGTCCTCGTCCGTCCTCCTACTGAACATGATGGGTTGTTGCGTGCCTTGCCAGTTCTGGTAACCACCTAGTTACTCTTCAAATCAAATTGAAGCCAAGAGCCAATTCGTAATACAAGCCGCGCTACTTGAACAAAACGCCAACACTCTAAGATGACCGCTCAATGTGTCTGCCTCTCCTTCTTTGGCTGTGAAACGTCTAAACAAACTCAAATGTGTATCGCATGGTGACCGTGCCTCATGACGCTCGGCCACCGCTCTATGGTGGTGTCAGCTCCATCATCCGGCGCACTTCTTGCTCCATGTTCTTGGCTGCTTCGGCGTCCGTCTGGTCCTCCACGGCGCCCGTCACCTTGTTCGCCAGCTCGATCTTCTTCTGGCAGGCTTTGTGGATGAGCTCCTCTATCGTCCCACGCGCAATGAGCCGGATGATCTCCACGTCTCTTTTTTGCCCAAGACGGTGCGCTCTGTTCTCGGCCTGGATGTCGTCCTGGGGGTTGTCGGATTGGTCAAAAATGACCACCTTGTTGGCCGACGTCAGGTTGATGCCAGTTCCGCCAGCACCCGTCGTAAGGAGGAAGACGGGGATCTCTGGATTCGAGTTGTACTCATCAATCATCGCTTGCCGCTCGCCGACGTTGGTAGACCCATCCAGCACGCGGTGATCGATGCCCTTCATCGCCAATGTCTCGCAGAGCATCTGAATCACTCGCGAGAACTTGCTGAAGACGAGGACTCGATCGCCATTCTGCTGGTACTGGTCGATGAGCTCAAGCAGCTTGCGGGTCTTCCCACTATCCAACTCGACCTCTGGTGGGTAGTCGTACTTCTTGATCAGCCGAGGGTAGTCTCGGCACCACAGGTGCAGTTCAAAATCAGACTGATTCTTGAGTTCTTGGATCAGATGGCCAAGGTTTGGCTGTCGTAGTTCGGATTGATCGACAGTATCGAACAATACCCGTCCCATCTTCTCCACCTTGGCGTCTGTGAAGTGCTTGCGGAACAGCAGGGGGTGGATTGCTGCTTTGCGTAGCTGCATCCAGCAATTGTTCATGTCATTGCCTCGACCGCCCTTGATCTTACGCTGTGACGGCTCCTGGCGGAAGATCGCTTCATAGCCGTCGTAAACAGACTTTTGGGATTCGGTCATGTCACAAAGCGTGACCGTGTTGACCTTGGCAGGCATGTCGGAGAGAACCTGGTCTTTGCGACGTTGTAGGATGAAGGGCTCCAGGATGGTGCGCGCACGCTTGACACGCTCGCTGTACAAAAAGGCACCGTTGGTGATGTCGCGAATTGTGACCTTTTGGCTGAAGATGTACTTAATATGCTCCATGCAACCCTTGAAGATCTGAGGATTGATAAAGTTGAGGAGCGAAGTCATCTCCAACAGATTGTTCTGAACAGGCGTTCCTGGAGAGATGAGTTAGTATGGATTATTGCAGCGAGGTCGGCCAACGTACCTGTGAGCAGCATCTTCCAATCCGCCTGCACCCGCAAAAGGTCCTTGTAGATTTTCGTCTCCGGGTTCTTCATCTTGTGGCCCTCGTCGTAGATGGCTGCGTGCATCCCAATCTTATTGAGCGACTCAATGTCCATCTCGTTGTTGATCTGCGAATAGGTCGCGAGCACGACGTGGTAGTCCTCAGGTGAGTCTCGGACATCTTCTGCAATCTCAGCACGCTCTGCTTGCGAGCCACGATAGCCAATCACGGACAGGTCGGGGGCGAATTTCTCAAACTCGGCCAGCCAGTTGTTGTAAGTGCTCGGAGGGACGACAATCAGGTTGGGCCATGGGCATACACTTGCCGCGCCTTGCGGCTTGGCCTCCCAATCTTCCACCAGGTGGCTGATGAACGAGATGACCTGGCATGTCTTGCCCAAGCCCATCTCATCAGCGAGGATACAGCCTATGTTCAGCTTATGCAACAGAGCCATCCAGTTCAGCCCAAACAGCTGGAAAGGCTTCATCGTACAGTGTCCATCCATATACTCCGGTTGCTTAGGAATCGGCGGACGGACCAGACTCGACAGACTGGATGGCGTCAACGGTAGTTCCGGGGTGCTGCGTGCGCTGCGCTTGTCGTAGCCGAAACTGTTAATGTCCCAGGCATCGACGGCCTCCTTGACTGTGGCAGCCTTGACCTCGCAAGCCGCAACGACCTTGTCAATGGCTTCCGCAGCCTGTAGGAAAGCCTCAATTTTCTCAACAATGGTCTCGCCAATGGGAATCCGAGACTTCTTTCGCGCGTTGGGCTTCTGAGGTGCTTGGACCTTCTTGGCTTGACGAAGATTGTCGAAAGGTCGTTTCTCAATAAGGGGTGCAAGATCAACCTCCTTGATCCCCGTAATCGCCGCGATCTCGTTCTGTGCGCTTGTGTTGATATAGTTGAGAATCCTAGTGGTGATACTCTCATCTGGTGTGGGCGATCTCTCCGCCTGGAAAGCGTCCCCTTCGTCATTATCAACGAGGTCGACAACCAGGGGATCGTCACTGGAAGGGTGCTCGCCCGGCGTGAACCTCTGCGGGGAAGTTTTCCGCGGCGAGGGCGTTGGATTCCTGCGGCCCTGCATCAGTCGCCTCTTCTTGGGCGGGGGTTGCTGTTGTTGTTGCGGCGTCGTCACTCTCGAGGACGACGGCGTCGGTTGCCCCCCTTTCGCGGCATTCAAAGCAGCCTTGTTGAACAGTCTCCTCCCAGGCTTACTCGCTTGTGTATTGGTAGAGTGATTCCGTCCGTACTTGGCGAGCCACTCTATCGCCCCCTCCACATCACCATCGCAGGCCGTCAACGACTCTTTCACGGTCCCGACGGCGTATTGGTCCCCATAGACGTCGTATATCTTACGTAGCTTGTTCTTCAAGACGAGCGCCTTGCCCGTGGCTGGTCGTCTATCGTCGCCAGAGTCGTATGCAAAGGCCCAAATATGTGCCTTGAAATTGGTAGGTCGAATGTCCGATAGAGGGGGCAGATCATCATCGTCATTCTCGTCCTCGGAGATCAGGTCTATGGATTCTGCCGGGCGCTTGTTGGTCGTGTTGCTGTTCTGTGTCGGTGCTTGGAACCTCGTGCCAGCCGGTGCCATCCGCGAGAGAAAGCTGGTCGGCCGCTTCGGCGGCTGCTGAAAGGGCGAAGAGGCCGGCACTTCAACTATGCTCGAAGGAGAAGAGGGCTCGAGAGTTGGTCGACGGAGAACCTGCGTTGGCTGTGTTGTATGGTCATCGTAGCGGAGGACAGCGCCCGGTGAGCAGGGAATAGTGTCCGCCACAGCCAGCTCGTCCTCGTCGTCGATCTGTATAGGGTTTGAGTTGACAAATGTCAACTTGGGAAGTGATCCCATCGTGGTTCTACAGGCAATAGCCTCGTGCACGAGGTTGTGGGTAGGCTATCGTCGCCAGGGCGGAAAGTCGAGTGTAGAGAAGAATACGCAGATTAAAACGCAACGATGAATGATCGAATCCGGGAAGCACGCAATGACGAAGGGAAAAGGCAGTGAAGAGAATGTCAGCTCATCTGCGCATCCGAGCTTGGAGTGAGAGTCGGCTCAGGTTTGAGTGTGGGTTGGATCGTCGTGAATTAGTACGTAGTATTTTGCATGCGCGAGTGGGAAGCGCCAAAAAGTCAATGCAGTCAGTCGGTCGATCTCACTGGCGCCTGTGGCAAGACGCGTTCCGCGCGCCAGCCCCCTCCTGCCTCTTTATGAAGGGAAGCAGCAAGAGCGATAGACAAAGGCGAGCGTCAACATGGGCCAGGTTCGCCTAATTGTGCTTAAAATAGACAATTGAGAAGACAATTGCCTTTGGAGTATATTGAATGGAAATTCCAGGAAGCATTCGCAATTTCTATAATCATCAAGTACCACGATAGTACAAATTGACGTCGCAAGGGGAAGACACGAAGTCACGTGGCTCCTAAAGTGGTTGCCGCCATTGCACGTCACAGCAGACACGTCCTCAGCCCATCAATCGCATCTCCTCAGCACATGATCGTACAAGCGTAATTGCCAGGCTTTCATATCTCAAAGTTACGGCTGCAGTTGATGACTCAAAATCAGTAATACCTCTGCTACAGCTTGATCTGCGGATACATCCTGCACTGCTCTGGGACCACCACCTACACACACACGCACACAATGGCGACCCGCCGCATCGTCAACTCGGAGCGGACCGTGCTCAAGAAGGATGACAACGGCCCAGAGGAAAAGTCCGACATTGCTCCGGCCGTTCCCAAGTATATCTGACCCCCAGACCAGTCTGAGACTCAACAACGTACTGATACTGTGGAAAAAACAGGGACGTGATCTACAAGTTACTCGGCTTCACGCTGGCCATGGTTGTTCTTCCCATTGGGTCCTACTTTGCTACTGTCAACACCGTGTTCAACGGTAAGTCAACCTGAAATCTCACGGGGCTGAACTGACTGGGTAGGCAACGCCTCGTACGCGGGAGGATTGGCTGCGGTTCTGGCCAACGTGGTCCTGATATGGTACATTATCGTCGCTATGAACGAGGATCAATCGGATAGAACGGAAACGAAAAAAGACAAGTGAGCACCAATCTTCACATTTGTGCTAGTCAAGAATGCAAGACTCTTTGTTCAAAGCACGCTCGTCATGCATGCAGTGATTTATTCTGTTGTCGCACCTTTATAGAGAGCTCCTCGACAGTATGAAAAAGAATCGCTCGGCGATCCAAAGTCGTATGTGTGTGTGTGGCTAGCCGCATAGGGGCCTCATTACATTGGCTGCGTCCACCGGATAGAGGCAGCAGCCTATACCCAGTATCCTGCCAGACAGACCGGCGCTCGCCGACATAAATATCCTTCCATTACCACAAATCACTGACGGGCTGATACCCTCAACGCCTCGTACAAGACTCCGTGTGCGTGTCTCTGTCAAACCTCGAACCACACCTCCGCAAGTCTCGTGGTAGCGTCTCTGACAGTGGTCTTTCCCTCCAATTCTATCATTATCGCTCGCGTGCATTCAATCGCTGTGCCCGACAAATCCCTACCATCCCGCCGTAATCGTCTGCGCACGATTGGGTCGTTCCAAGCCGAAAACCTACTCGTGCTCTCCGGAGCGGACGCATAAGGGTATAGGGGTATTCCATAAAAAGCAAGATCCGTGTGTGCATTACCAGGGCAGGCATGTCTCATCAGACGTAGTGATCCTCGGGATTTCACTCCTTTTTGCTGCTGAACTTGCGGGTGAACCAGCTCTTGCGCTTGTCGCCGCCCGCGGTCTTTGTCGATTGCTGCGTGGGCTGGCGCTGCAGAACCGTTGGCACGCTCTTACGCGGTACGGCGGGCTGGCTCTGTACGCCGTGAGGTGGGGGGCGCGGCGGCTGCTGCTGGTTTCCATGGATTTGGTTCAAGGCTAGGTTGTGTTGTGGCTGCTGAGGTTGGCTGAAACCGATGCCGTAGTCGTTGTGAGGCTCTGGGCGCCGGGCGGGGGACCGGCGTTCGATCGAGCTGTTATCGCTACTAGTCGGGTCGGTCTGGTAGCCAATCTGATCCGAATGCCTGCTGCCCTCGGCCGCCGAGGTGACGGTCTCGTACGATCGGTCTTGATGAGACAGGTGGTAACCGCTGGGTCCACGTCCATGCCCGCCGCCAGAGTGCCCGTACTGGGGCTCACTATGCATTCGGGGGGCACGCTGGCGACCGGGGTGGCCTCCGTAGCCGTGGTGACCCTCTTGCTGGAACCTGTCCATGCCATACATGCTGCCAGCACGCTGTGCCGGCGCTTGGTGTAGGCTGAACTGTGTGCTCTCTGGCCGGAACGATACAGGGCGGCTGCCGTAGAAACTATCAGGGCGGCTCCTCGGCTGCGCGGCTGGGAAATTGTCAGCATCCACAGGAACTCGTGGTGGGCGCGGGAATGTCTCACCTCCCGGGTGATGGCTGTTTCTGCGACTCCAATTGATGGACGGTTCCGTGTCTGTCTCTTGTCAGTCGGTTGTCTGGTCAAGTGAGACATGGTGGCTTACCCGTTCGCATCATGGACCTGCGCTTGTAGCCGCCTTCAACAGCATCGTTGAAGCTGCGGATGGTTTCGAGGGGCCTTTCCCAGCGATGTCTGGTTGGGTTCGAGTGATCGGGCTCCTCTATCGATGGAATTAGTAGTGTCCTGATAGCGAATGGAGGGAGTAGTACCTATCATGTTGCCATATGCGTCCTTATGCTGCATCGATCGCAACGGCGTGAGTGACGAGTGTGTCTGGGCAGCCTCCATAGCTATTCGGATGTGTTAGTAAGTGAATGAGTCGCTTGGACAATCAAAAGCGGTACGTACAGGGCTCAGCTTCGCTCATGGCTAGGGTTGGGTCTGCTTTGCTGTGCAATCGCCTCGCCTCCTTCTCAGCGTGAGTCTCGGTGTTCTCAGCCTTACTGTTCCCTCGCTTGTGACTCTTATCCTTGTCCTTATCGGAATGAAAGCTAAATGTTCGCGATTTGGACTGTGAATGAGCTGATGGAGGCGGGCGCTGAGGCTCCGTTTGTTGTTGATGGGATGGTTGCGACGAGGCAGATGGTGCGTTGGATGACGATATCGATGCCTGCTGATAGTGCTGTTGGTTGACTTGCGACGAGCGACGCTGCTGATAAGGATCGGACTGGGCCTGCTGATATTGCTGATGGGTCGGGGGTGGAGGTGGTGGCAGGTTGTGTTGAGAGTATTGCTGCGCTTGATGCTGCTGCTGCGACGGCTGCTGGTCGACGAGCTGCGTGGAGTGCTGAAACGAAGCCTGCTGTTGATTGTCCATTGTGACGGGCGGCTTGGGCTAGCTGTTGGTTTTATTGAACTGGATCGACTCGATGGAGCATGGGCAGGGCAGGGATGCCGCAGCTGTCTGCGCTGTTCGCCTGGCGATGGGTCTGCGTTTTGCGCCGAGCAGACACGTTTGGGCTGGGCGGTCTCCGTATCGTGAGAGAAGACTGGAGCAGGTCCCAGCAGGCAACCTGGGTTCGTAACACTAATGCGTGGGGATGGGCTGCTAAATGAGCTAAGGGTGCAAGTCCAATGTCGGCCAGGGTCGTCGAGCCGGGGGGTCTCTTGGTGCTAAGGAATAGCACGCTGGCAGGTCAGGGACCTGGTCGTTTATTATGGCAGGCACCGATCGAGCTGTAAGATGATGCACGGACGCACTGAACGATGCGAGAAAAAGTGAGCAAAGGACGGCAACGAGATCGAGCAGCAACGTCGCAATGCGATGGCCGTGGGTTCCTGAGGGGAAAAGTTGTGTGTAAGAGCCAAGATCTGAAGAGACGGATGGAAAGAAAGGTTTGCGGTGACGTCCAGTCAGGTCAGTGCTGGTTGGCCGTTCTCATCACCTCCTCAGGCTGCAGCACATTCTGATAGCGGGAAGGCAGGTACCTCAAGTACCGGCACACCGAGATACTGTGATGGGGTACATACCATGCAGAGAGCTACCAGGTGGTGTGGACGCATGCATGGCCCGGAGATGACGGCATTCCAATGGCTATCACAGTCCGTCAGAACTTCAAAGTACGTACTTCTGCAGTAATAATTCTGCAGTTATCAATGGCCTGGCCTGGATGCTGCAGCACGGAAGCCGGACTGGGCGATGATCAGGCCAGGACCATCATCACTCCAGTCGACGACATAGCCACACGCTGCGCCCAATGGTGAGCGCTGCTCACCATTAGCCTTTCTCGTATCCAGCGTGGCAGCCGCATCCAGTTGAGCTCCAATCGACCGACCACACACCACCAGCGTCCAGTTCAGTCCAGTCCAGTCCAGTCCAGGTCCCCTCCGATCAGTGATCCATCCAACACGTACGGAGTAGTTGACGACGCAAGCAGCGGCGGACACAAAAAGACCGCAGGTGCCTATCTCCACGGGGCGCCGGCGGCTGCCCAGGAGCATAGCGCATAGAGGGCCTTGGCATTCCAGCGCTAGCCCAGAGAATGCTGCAGCAAAATCAGGATCAACGATGGAAAAGTCGCATCTTTATCCCCCAATCCCCATCTTGTCGCCGGATGGCCCTGGTCATTGTCTCTCTCTCGTGGACGGTGGCCCTGGCAACCGCGCCTCAATGGACCACTACATGATTCGAGCAGAGGGAGGTTGTCTCACAGGAACTAGTAAAAAAAGGCTGTGTCGTGGCAGCTTATTCCCCTCGTGCCTCGCGCCAGCGAAAGTATGCAAGCTTGAAACCTTTTTTTCCCACTCGCGTTGCGCTACCTCAATGATGGATGGTCGGGGACGCTCGCGCTTCCGAAAGTCAATTCACTTCCAGCTCCCAAGGCGCCTTCACTTGCTTGCTTTTTCCGCAGATGCGCCTTGGCCCTTGGTGATGACCAGCGGGCCCTGGGCAGAGAACCGTTGGCGCACGCGTTTCGGGTGGCTGGGGCCATGTCACCATCTCCACTCTGCCACTTCACGATGACGATTGACGGGCACGATCCGCCGGCAGCGGCTGCTTCGTGAGGTGGGCCCCTAGTCTAGTTGACCGTACGTCGGTAGTGACCACGATATAATACATAATAGTGGCCGTCGCTGCGTCTTCAACTTTTGGACTGCAAGTTGTGTTGCGCTGGCTGTTGTATCCGTACGCCGTAGTCCGTACAGGCTGCTTGGACAGCGTCGAGCGAGAACACGTTGTTTCAGCCCCCACGGGATCGTGCATTGGCTCACTCAGTCAGATAAGCCTATCCTAACCACACTGCCATTGCTATCATTGACACGGCAATCAATCAATCCTCGTTGACCGCCTCCTCCTTTTCTCACCCAAGCACGGCAGCATCACTGGTCGAGCTCCACATAGTTCGCGGGGAACAGCCCCTTCTTGCCTTTGTACTCGCCTGCCCACCAGTCCTCGTCGGGAAACTCAATGTTGGTGATCTTGGCGTCTTCAGGGAAGCTGATTTCTGTCATGAGGGTCAGCACTGCATCGATCCAAGTCAAGCCAAGCTGGGTCAACACCTACCATTGTCTTCTCCTGCCTCGTAGTCGTAGATCGCCGTGGCGGTAGGCCCAGCACTGGGCCGGGCGGCAGCAGCAGGGGCGGGAGGTGGTGGCACCGGGTTCGCTGCCGCAGCCGGCGGCGGAGGTGAAGGCTCACGAGCGACAGGCGCCGGAGCGGGAGGCGGGGGGGCATCGTCCTCCTCGACCAGCTCGACATAGTTGCAGGGGAACAGACCACGGTGTCCCTTTGCGTTAGTGCCCATCCACCAACCCTCATCGATCATGTCGATATCCGTGACGTATTCACCCTCGAGCAGCTCAATCTCGTTGTCCTCGGCCTTCTCGTAGTCATATTGAACAACGGCACGGTGACCGCCCTGGTCGGCTTGCGCGGCGTCAGTCTCTTCAGGCTCAAAGTTCTGCTGCGCAACTGCCTCAGCCGCACCGCGCGACTGCTCTTCCTGCTCCTTCTCATCGGCCAGATCCTTCTCCCTGGGGACTTCAATCTGGCTGGGGGCGACAGGAGGAGGAGATCGTGCGTCTTCGGGCTCATCCAATGTCTGAGGACCCCGGCTGACGGGAATCGCCACACGCGGGGGTGAGGCATCGCGCGGCTCCTCGCGGTAGTCGGCATCTTCGACCTCTCTTTCTTCCTCCTCATCAGCGGGAGGCGGGCGACTTGGCAGCCCAGGTAGGGCGAACCCGCCAGAAGGTCTCGAAGTGTCCGGCACAGGAGGGGGGGTTGGCTCGGCCTCCGGCTCCGGTTCAGGCTCTGCCTCGCGACGAGGGATCGAAGGAGCTGCACCAGCGCCCATGGGTGCCGCATCCTTAAATCGATCCTTGAGTGCGGAAACGCCGCCAGAGGATGCCGTAGGTTGCTCCTCGATCTCCCTAGGTGCCTCCCCCGTGTTCTCGGCGCTGATGGCGCCGGCCTCAGGGCGACCAAAGCTTCCAGAAGTCTGGACAGGAGCCCAGCTCTTACCGCTGTATCCGCTCTTCCACTCATTGCCTCCGCTATTTTGTGATGCGACCGCGGCTGGGGTGGACGACGACGCCACGCTGCCAACGTCGGTTCCACGCTCCTTGGCCTTCTTCTCAGCCCAGAGCTGGGCTGGCGTCTTGCCGCCCTGATCAGCAAACGTGCGGCTTGCAGCGCCAACCGGGGGAGGGGCGGGAGTTGCGGGGCCGCCGAATCCCAGGCCACCAGGCGCAGGGGGCTTTGTGCCAGTGAAGCTCGATGCTCCTCCAAACTTGTTTGCGACCTTGGGCTTCGGGAGCGAGGTCAATCGCTCTGATGCTGCAGGCTGAGAGAAGGCCGACGCGCGATCGGCAACTGGCCGCGACTGCTCAGGCTCATCCTGTTCTTGCGTCTCTTCACGCTGGGACTCCTGGGGCTTTGACTGCGCCTTGGCCCTAATAGCAGCAATATCAACTTTCCCGACGGGCTCGTACGATCCCTTGACAGGCGCAGGTCTGTCGTCTGCCTTCTCCTTAGCCTGCGCCCGAATAGCGGCAATGTCGATTTTGCCAACAGGCTGATATCCACCCCTGACAACATCGCCCGCATCCTGGCGCGCAGAGGGAGTGGAGCGAGTCGACTCGTCCTTGTTGCTGGTGAGCTCGGCCATGTTCACCTTTGTGGGCTTGTAGGCAGACTCGACCTTCTCGACCTGGCTGCGGGTGACTGGTGGCGCATCGGCGCCCCAGCCGTCGTCGTCAACGTTGTTGTCGCGTCTTGAGCGGGCCGTTACGAGAGGGTTGCGAGTAGCACTCGATGTCGTCGGGGTGAAGACGGGCTTGGTCTTGACCGGGGGCGGTGCAGGCGCAGACGCGCCTCCACTGGCGGATCCAGCCGAGTACTTTGCCCCCGAGGCATCCGCCACTTTCCGCATGATTGACTCGGGCTCGAGGTCAGCGTCCGAGCGAGCAGTGATCTGTACGTGGTATCCGTGGAGAATCTTGGAGACGGCAGCCGTGTGGCTGGTGAAGTAGCCTTTGGTGCGCTCGGGAACACCTCCGCCGCACCAGGCGATGAGGATGTATTTGGGAAGACCGGAGTTGGGGTCCTTGACCTTGACAAACGCATACTGAATGCGGCCCTCGCTGAAGTCCTCGTTCAATTCGCTGAGCTCACCATCTATGGTCGTTAGTTTCAGGGCCACCGTAGATCTATTGTCGCTGGAGCCTACCGCCAGTGTCTTGCACTTTGAGCACGCTCTCCTTGTTTCCATTGTCCTGGAAAGCATTCGCAAGAGGTGCTTGGACGGTGAAAAGTGCCCATTGGGCGTATGTGGGCGAGCTAGAGGACAACGCTGGGCCATTGACGACGCCAGCATAGCTGCTCTTGATGGAGGGTCCGTTGATGGACGTATTGAGGGACGACATGGCGGATGTGCTTTGACCACAGGCCAGCGCGCGACGATTCAATACTGCGATGCTGTCTGGATGTTCTCAGGATTGTGTCGGGCAGCTGGTTGAGGCTTCGCAGTGGCGTTGCTGCTTTGGGTGACTGGCGCAGCTTACCAGGCAACAGGTAATAGAGCGGGGTTCGGGGTCAACGTCCTTTCCGAGCTCTCGGTAGCTCAATCGCGGAAGGTATTTGAGGGCAAAGGTTTGTTGAGGACGTAGAGAGCTCGTCAGAATGTTCCAAGCTGTAGGCGTGGAGAAGGAGGCTGAGCTGTCGAAACGAGGTACGGCGGTCCGCCTTCCAATTGCCTTTGACGTACTACGTACAGTACCTTGCGAGTGCGTACGACTGGGCGATCCGTTGACCAATCTGCTCTCCAGCCGTCGGGCAGAAATTGCGGGGCCACCGCTGAGCTGACCGATGAGCCCGTTATGTGCATACTTATCGGTATAACGGTGTGCTTGCCATGAGAGCGAGCTCGGCTGTCCAAATGACGCAAGACCAATCCGACTTGCGGCAGGACCCCTCCTGTGCGCTTTCCTGCGAACCGTGGCGCGCGCCGATATTGGGAACGTTTTGCCCCGCCAAATTCACATTCAACCCCGACGCCACCTTTTTCGAACGAGCACCTCTTGCTGGATTACAAACTGGCGCAACTCCGGCAGAGCAAGCCGTAAACAGCGAGAATCATCCCCGCAGCCATGTCGAAAATCACCGAGATCGAGAGCGATGCCCAGTGGGAACAGCTGCTGGGCTCGCTCCCTGCAAGCACTTTGCTCATCGTCTCCTTCCATGCGCCATGGGCTGCCCCCTGCGCGCAGATGAAGACCGTCCTCGAGACGTTGGCCGCCGAATACCCTGCGAACGACCCCCCCTCGACGAAATGGGTGTCCATCAACGCGGAAGAGCTGAGCGACATTAGCGAGACGTACGACGTCACGGCAGTCCCCTTCTTGGTGTTGATACGGAATGGGCAGGTGCTCGAGACAGTCAGCGGGAGCAGCGCAGTCAAGGTGCGAACGGCGATCGAGACACACGCAAACCGGACAGATGCCGCGGGTGCAGCCACTAGCAGCGTGGCGAACGGGCCCGAGCAGGTGGCAGCGCCCAAGGTCGAGGAGCCCAGCGCACCGGTAGACCCAGAGAAGGCCAAGGAGGAGCTGAGCAAGCGTCTGGCAGATCTTGTCAAGGCGGCGCCAGTGATGTTGTTCATGAAGGGAACGCCCAGTGGCCCGCAGTGCGGCTTCTCGCGGCAGCTCGTGGCCATACTTCGGGAGAATTCTGTCAAGTACGGCTTCTTCAACATTTTGGCTGACGATGAGGTGCGGCAAGGGCTCAAAGAGTTTGCCGACTGGCCGACATACCCTCAACTATGGATTGATGGCGAGTTGGTGGGAGGTTTGGACATTGTGAGTGATTCTTTGGCAGATAGGATTGTGTCTCTTGCTAATGCTGTCCAGATCAAGGAAGAACTGGGCAACGACCCTGATTTCTTCAAACCCTACAGTGTTGAGGCCTCGGCGGCTTAAGCGGATATTCAGAAAGGACCGCCCAGCTTGGACATGTAGCCCAGCTTATTGAGATGGCTTGATGACCAGTCGATACAAGCATAGTGATGTGTATATTTCACTGCTCGACGCAACGGGATATTGTACAGCAGGGTCCGAAAAGTTAGAAAGTAGATATCTAAGGGCACAACGACCAGCCATCGATGACATTCTTAGGGCTGAGGTACATGCTGGATTCTACCAGTACACTTGACAAAGCGGACTTGATTGCAGTCAACTAATTCAGAAGAGAGTCAATTGTACCACGTACGTAGGCTATTTGCGCCACACCAGTGAATTCGAACTAACATGTTCTCGATACCTAATGTGTGCATGGAGGTATATCTATAGGTTAGGTCATATCATGCTTCCACCCTTGGTCACCGACGAAAGGTTGTTCGAGAGACTAATCTGGGCGAACATTCGCCCGCTGATGACCAAAATCTGACGTCCCATATAGCGGATCCAAAAGCATGACGATCTGCCACGGCCCACGCGTGAGTCATAGGATAGCTAGCCCACGATACTGCGTCGTGAAGGCCGCGTCTTTCGGTTGTCGCCTGCGATAGGACTGGGAACGAGGGTTGCACAGTTGGCCGGTGCTATCAGAGGCTTATGTCCGAGCGTCTCCCTAGCCCTCCCCAGGCCGATTATTAATGTTCTTGGAGATTATGAATCTTTAGAAACAGTAATTGCACTTTCATAGCTATGCCCGAGGTCTAATAGCGCTTGGGGGTAGACTGAGCCTTCGCACAGGGCGCTCATGCTGATAAGTGAGGAATTGGATGTTCGGGGTTTATGGCGTCGCCTCCAGTCACCCCACCTCCCCCTACCCGGGCCCTGCCACTTTTAAGGGTGGGTGGTTCCTGCCTCAGTTTGACTCCATGGTCGATTATATAACCAAGCTGACACCCCGACGACGTTAACGTCATCGCTTTACTTCTTCAACTCCGGGCGCCTATACAGCTTATATCCCGCAATTGGGCTCTCAAACGTGGTTGTTGCTTACTGCACTGCTTCCGACGTCGCAACTCACAGTACCTCTGCGCGCGCACACACGCAGGCCCGTTGCCGCCATTTCCGCATTCGTCGCGCCCAGGAGCTGCGCCTCATTGCTTGTACTCTCTCAACCGAGACGCGAATCGTCTTCGTTCCAGGTCACTTCGGAAACTTTGCGACCGCCACGCTATCGAGGGCCTTGACTGCTAGCTAGGCAGGTCCTCCTCGGGGGTTGAGGTGTGGTCAGTTTCACAGGGCAAATACGTCGAGGACGTCGCACGATATCGACGGACTTGCTGCGGGGCCTCATCGGAGCGCTGTAATATTGAGAATACAGTGTTGAATTCTCGTTTCTGGATCACACATATCAGACGTCACCATGACCCCGACACCACCTTCTACCAATTCCTCCACAGGCGCTCGCTCGCCTGAGGAGCAGTATCGCGTGGTTCGCAAGCGGAATCGAGTGCCCGTGAGTTGCCATCCTTGCCGGACCCGCAAGCTCAAATGCGACAGACTGTCTCCCTGCAGCAACTGCGTCAAGCGCGAGGGCGCCGCGCCTCATTCATGTTCATACGCTACGTCCGCGAACCGCAAGAAAAAGAGCGTCTCATCCGAAGAACAAAGCCCGGATGATATGCAGAACCGTATCGACCGACTCGAAGGACTGGTTCTTTCCCTCATGCACAATGGAGGTACCGTGGACGCGGCGAGTGCTGAAGCAGCAGGGAGAGCCAATTCGACCTCGCAGTCACAGACGGGGAGCTCGGTCTCTCAAGTCAAAAGCGGAAAGGGCCGTGAGGCTGCCATGGCGGACGCTGAAGGAAGTGACGATGAGGATGGGCTGGTCTCGTCTCTGGGAGTTCTCAAAGTGGATGAGGACCAAGGCAAGTCAATGTACTTTGGCAACGAGTCATGGCACATTATGCTTGCGGACATTGCCGAAGTCAAGAATTATTTTGCATCTCACAAAAAGGAGCTCGAGACGAGTTACGAACGGGTCCGATCATCAAAACCACCCACGGCGCAAGAAGGGCCGACGCTGTTGCTCGGAGCCACGCCCACTACGGAGACGGAGTTGCGGTCGGAGCTGCCACCCAAGTCGAGTGTTCTCACACTCTGCAGTCGATACTTCAACTCGATGGACAACGCCGTAAACATCATCCACGGCCCGACGTTCCAGCAGCAACTGCGAACACACTGGCAAGACCCTTCGAAAACGCCCATCATGTGGCTGGCGCTGCTGTACTCGGTTCTGACACTGGCGATGTTGAGTTACCATAAAGTAGGCGATGAGCCGCCGGAATGGAAGGGGAAGACGCTGGAGATGGCGTGCGACTTCCGGCTCAAGACAGTGCAAGCGCTGATCCTGGCTGACTACACAAAGCCAGTGGAATATACGGTCGAGGCGCTGATGCTGTACGTGTTCGGCGAGTACTCATCAAGGTGGGATGCAGACCTTGGTCTATGGATGATTGTTGGCATCGTGACGCGAGCCGCGTTTCGAATGGGGTATCATAGGGATGCCAAGTGGTTTCCCAACATCCGCCCTTTCCAGGCGGTAAGTGTTCCTCCGCTGTAGATGCGTGAGTAATCTGCTGACGAGCTCTTCAGGAAATGCGGCGTAGATCGTGGGCATTGGTGAGGATGGCCGACATTATCTTTTCTCACCAGGTCTCGCTGCCAAGCATGATCCATGACCAGGACTGCGATACGCAGCTGCCCAACAACTTGTTCGACGACGAGTTCCACACCGGGAGTAAAGAGCTCCCGCCATCGCGACCAGTCACCGAGCCTACGCCAGTCTCATACATGATCGCCAAGTCGCGGCTATGCCTAGAGCTCGGGAGAATCCTCCAAGCAACCGGCGCCGTCGACAAGCACGTTCCGTACGATGAGATCATCCGGTTTGATGCGAAGCTGCGGCAAATCAAGCAGGAGCTGCCACCGCACCTCAAATTCACCCCACTGGAGGGATCGCATGAGCCTGTGGCGCTGCTGATTGCGCGATTCAACATTGATGTGCTGTGCTTGAAGATAACGTGCCAGCTGCACAGAAAGTATCTTGCTCGGGCCAGGCAGAATCCAAGATACGCGCACTCTCGGAGGAGCGCGGTGGAGGCAGCGCTGCAGGCGCTGGACCATTTGGCGACCTTGCATCGAGAGTCGCAAGCCGACGGCCGGTTGCGATCCGTGGGCTGGTTCATCAAGTCCACGGCGACCAAGGACTTTGCTCTTCCGTCCATCATCCTCATCATGGATCTGCACTACGACAACATGCGGCGTCAGTCGCCCGACCAGAAGGAGGAGCACGAGGGCAATTTCCTGTGGACACCAGAGCAGAGGGCGCGGATGGTCACGTCACTGGAGACAGCAGGCAGCATCTGGAAGACCCTGGCGGACACGAGCATGGAGGCTTTCAAGGCCAGCAAGGTCCTTGACATTATGCTCCAGAAGATCAAGGCGCCGACGTCTGGCACCGATGCGCCCATGGACCTGATGGACGCCGAGCTCCTCGATATACCATCGCCCAACACGCTCGCGCAGAGCTTCATGGCGCCCCTTGATGCGATGCCCAACTTTGTGAATACCAACAACAATGGATTCTTGGCGCAGGAGCAGAGCACGTTTATGGCCATGGATTTCGGGCTCTCCCCTGGCGCGATGCCCGGGTACGGTGGCAGCGATGCGTTCGGCGGTGGTTCTGGCAACAATCCCGGGTCTCCATTCTCGATGTTTGGAATGGGGTCGAATTCGGGCACGATGCCTGACCTGTCTGGAAACTTTGACTGGGTAAGTGCTTCGACAGAGATGTCTCTGTGAAGGGGCAAGGGGCAACGTCGACTAACCTGTGGCAGAATGCCTTCGACAACAACTATGCGCAGATGCCGAGCTTCACCGACCAACCGCTGCAGTTCTTCAACAGTGGAGCTGATGATTCACCAGACAGCATGTTGAACAGTAATACCAAGGACAATGGCCAGGCTTGATGGAGTCTGGCTGGAGGCAGGAATCGACGACATGTACGATAATGAACATGACATTTGGATCATCTCCCGCGGCGTTTTTGTTTCAAGCTATAGCAAGTATGGCAGCCATTGTTGCAATATCAGCCCCCCTTCTTTCTAATGCCACCACCGTGGTCGAGCAAGTTTGACTGCTGTCTTGTACGTACAGAAATACGGGAAGAGAGTGTTTTCACAGGGAAAAGGTCTGTGTGTCTCTTAAAGAGTCCGGGAGCTGCCGAATGTCCGACTGTGTCTCGGGGCATCCACGAGGAAAAATCCGAAGAGCCCGTCAGGGGGTCTGACGATCCTTCAACATTCTTCACGCTGGTGACAGCTTGAGGGAACGGTCGTGCTAACCCGACTAACCTAGTATCCAGGTATCGCGGAAAGACAGACAATTATGCTGGATGCTAGGCTTCTGAGACATACTGTAGGAACAATCGGCTTGCTCAAGAACCCCGAGCACGAAAAAAAGAGCAGCAGAACCTCTCTTGTAGCAACAAGTGCCTGCTCGCTGACGAGGTGGTGGGCGCTTGGAGGTCTAGGAGATTTATACGGACATTCGGGAGTCCGAAAATCCACTAGTCTGGCCCACATCCGGATCACGGCCCCGCCGCCCCACAAACCCCGCAGCGGACGGACGACGATTGCATATTAGACATGCATGATTCGAGGTGACCGTCTTTTGGGTGTAACTTGTAAGTCGAGATTGGTGGTCCTGGCTGCTCGAAGTAGAGGCCATGCCCCGGACTTATGTCTGTCTGGCCCATTGAACTCATGGCTGGCATCGCGCGGCTTGTTCTTGGCTTGCTGAGAGGGACTGAGTAGAAGAAGGCTGGGTATCTGATATTAATATTACATGACCATCGCAAACGCATAAACCAATCTTATATAATCGCCACACCGTCCCTTCTTACGAAGTTTTGGTCGCTGTTGTCGTCTCTTCGCTATGAGTGCTGTTGCTCTCTTGGGAGCTTACGGACGCATCGCCCTCTGAATGTAAGCGCGCCCTCGCGCTCATGGTCTCGTCGTGAGGGGCATTCTCAAAGGCACGCTGCTCGAGACACTGCCTCAGCAGCTCTTCGCAGCGGCTCATGCGCTCGAGGAGCTCTTTTGTCGGTTGACGACGACGACGTGGCGGTGCTGGCGTGCTGGGGACGCAGGTTGTGTTTGTCTGTCTCTTGTTAGACATTGACTACTAGAAAGACAACAGGTGGAAGCAGGAAATGGTATTCCCCGAAGTAAGTGTACCTTTACGCATATGCTGCATGGAAAACTGCGGTCACACTTCTTCTTGCGCTGCTGGCAGTTTGCGCAAGCGAGGACCTTGGACGAGGAGGCTGTCGCTTTACGTGGGCCTAGGGACCCTATGGAGGATGTCATTATCGTGATATCTGAGTAGAAAGTTGTCGCTGGGCCTTGTATTGGAGCAGGATGAGAAGGCTTAATGATTGTTGTTGTCCAGGGCGAGAACAACGAGGTCACGAGGGGCATAGTACACATGCAAGCAGTAATAGGCGAAACAGTGCAATTATGCAGACTCGACCGCACATTCCCAGCTTCACACTGCATCTAATAGGAAGCCTTTCCAAGCTGCAAAGAGCGTGGACGCCCCCCTGCAGGTGCGGGATCGATCACCGGCCAGACTGTGGAGATAATGTGATGTCGTCGGTCGACTACGTATCGGGCTTATTATCTCAGCCCGCCGAACAAAGTTTGGGCGTTGCCTATGAAAGAATCGCCACGAGGAAGTAGAGGTCTGATAATCACTTTTCCATCCACCTTTACGAGAAGATTCCGAAACTCCAGCGTCAGTTAGGAGGTGCAAGCGAGGACCCTCCCGGGACGACGAGAACTCCCGCCGCTCCGCCAGACCAAGGCGAAGCAGATTCCCTGGTCGATGGTACATGACGGCACACATCCGACGTAAGTCCCAGATACATATAAGATGAACCGAGAAAGAGAGCAGAAAAGAAGGTTTTAAAGCCAGATGATGGCATACGTCTTCGTGCTCTAGCCCAGCGGACTATTGCCAGCGCGCGGGACAAGACTATCTAATTTGTTAGCGCGTTACTGACTTTGACTCAGGAGACTCCCATCTCGCCCAATCATGAAACCGTCCAACGACGATTGCGTCGTCAAGTGAGAGAGCGCCGGCGCGTGTCGGGGCAGCAGTCTTGCCCGACTCAGGCTCAAGAGTCCGTGGCGGGTTGGCGGACGGTGGAATGACTCCGGTGGCATCCACGGACCGGAGGGTCCCAGCATTTCGGCCCATGACGACGGGGGCGCTGCGCATGCATAGTGCCTATGCTGGATAGTTGTCCCGGGCTGATTAGAAACCCGCTGATACTTTCTTCTTGTACGCGTACTTCAAGGGGGCGGCGGGTGTGCCCCCAACGGCGCATGTTTCGAGAAGGAGATTAGAAAGCTTACGTCTCTCGGGTCCTTGCAAGGGCCCGTTGTGATTTCGTATATTATACCTCTCGGATCCCCTGAGATGTATGCCATACTTCTGAACAATCTGGTAACAGCGGTCAGTAGAAACTGTGATCGTCATCTTGATCCCATCCACGAGGTGAAATACCCCAGTCTTGTCTCTCGACCAGCGTGAACTGACCTGATACTCCCTTAGACAGTCTCACCCACAGCCCAGACGTCATGGACGGCGGCAAAGAGGATGGTGTAGAGCCGCCTCGCACCGGTTCATCGTCGACTACCAGCGGTCCGACAATCGCAGAAAGCTCCCCGGTGGCACCTCGCCACTCCAAATCTGGCCCAAGTCCCGCAGACCGAGGGTTCTCCAGCAGCAGCATCGATGGCGATCAGGAAGATGACAACGAAGACGACGATGCCTCCGAGATGGAGAGACGACACTCGGCCGTCCAGCGCATCGCCAGCCGCATGTCCCAGCAGTCCGCCGGCGACTTACACCACGACGTCCGCAGTCTCTTTGCCAACGACGACCCGGACTCTGTCCTAAACCCGGCCAGCGAGCACTTCAACGCTCGCTCCTGGGCCAAGGCCGTCGCCAAAAGGGCCACCGAGGACGGCACGCGCCTTCGTCGCAGTGGCTTCTGCTTCCAGAACCTCAACGTCTTCGGCTACGGCGCCGAGACGGACTACCAGAAGGACGTGGGCAACATCTGGTTCTCGCTGCCCCAGATGGCGCGCGGGCTGTTTGACAAGAAGGGCGGCCAGCGTCGCATCGACATCCTGCGTGACTTTGATGGCGTGGTTCGCAACGGCGAGATGCTCGTCGTCCTCGGGCCCCCCGGCTCAGGTTGCTCCACGTTCCTCAAGACCATTGCCGGCGAGACCAACGGCATCTACCAGGACAGCTCGTCCTACCTCAACTACCAGGGAATCTCCCCCGAAGAGATGCACACGCATCATCGTGGCGAAGCCATCTACACGGCCGAGGTCGACGTGCACTTTCCCATGTTGAGTGTCGGTGACACGCTCACCTTTGCCTCCCGCGCCAGGTGCCCTCGCAACGTCCCCGAGGGCATCACCCACAACGAGTACTGCGACCACATGCGTGACGTCGTCATGGCCATGTACGGTATCAGCCACACCGTCAACACGCGTGTCGGCAACGAATACATCCGCGGTGTCTCGGGCGGCGAGAGGAAGCGAGTGACCATTGCCGAGGCCACGCTCTCCAGCGCCCCCTTGCAATGCTGGGATAACTCCACGCGCGGCCTCGACTCGGCCAACGCTATTGAGTTTTGCAAAACGCTGCGCCTTCAGTCCGAGCTGTTCGGGCAGACCTGCGCCGTGTCCATCTATCAAGCCCCTCAAAGCGCCTATGACCTGTTTGATAAGGTCGCGGTCCTCTACGAAGGGCGTCAGATTTTCTTCGGTCCTATTGGCAAGGCGCAGGCCTACTTTGAGAATCTGGGCTTCGAGTGCCCTGCCCGCCAGACGACACCCGACTTCCTGACGTCCATGACCGCTCCCTCCGAGCGTGTCGTCCGTCCAGACTGGGAGAACCGCGTGCCCCGGACCCCGGATGAATTTGCGACCTGCTGGAAGAACAGCGCCGAATACAAGGCGCTCCAGGTCGAGCTTGAGGAGTATAAAGCCGAGTATGCCATAGACAGCGAGGCGGCCCGTGAGTTCAGGGAGCTCAAGCAGGCCAACCAGGCCAAGAACCAGCGCCTCAAGTCGCCCTTCACCCTGTCGTACATGCAGCAGATCAAGCTGTGTCTGTGGCGAGGCTTCAAGCGTTTGATGGGGGACCCGAGCCTGACCATCTTCTCCCTGCTCGCCAACTCGGCCACGGCCCTCATCATCTCCTCGCTCTTCTACAACCTGCCCGCCACCACCTCGTCCTTCTACAACCGCGCCGCCGTCTTGTTTGTCGCCATCCTCGCCAACGCCTTCTCGAGCGCCCTTGAGATCCTCACGCAGTACTCGCAGCGACCCATTGTCGAGAAGCACACGCGCTATGGCTTCTACCACTCGTCCGCCGAGGCCTTTTCGTCCGTGCTGGTCGACATGCCGTACAAGGTCGCCAACGCCGTCTTGTACAACCTCATCATCTACTTCATGACGCACCTCAGGCGTGAACCGGGCGCCTTCTTTTTCTTCTTCCTCGTGTCGTTCCTCATGACGCTGACCATGTCGGGTGTTTTCCGATCCATGTAAGCCGTCCTCCGTTCATTCTCCTCCCCGCGTCGGATCGCGATGCTGACATTTCTCTCCTCTTCGCAGCGCTTCTTTGTCGCGCACATTGTCGCAAGCCATGGTACCCGCCGCCATCCTGATCCTCGCCCTTGTTATCTTCACCGGCTTTGTCATCCCTGTCGACTATATGCTCGGGTGGTGTCGCTGGATCAACTACCTCGATCCGGTCGCTTATGGGTTCGAGGCCCTGATGATCAACGAGTTTCATGGCCGCGACTTCAACTGCGACACTCTCGTGCCCCCCGCCGCCCTGTATCCAGATGTCGATCTCGACAACCGTGCTTGCACAACTGTCGGTTCCCGCCCGGGAGAGGCCCTCGTCTCGGGCGCCGCCTATATCGAGACACAGTACAGATATTTCGCCAGCCACAAGTGGCGCAATGTCGGTATTCTCATCGCCTTCTGCGTCGCCATGCATGTGCTCTACTTTGTCGCCACAGAGTTCATCTCGGCCAAGAAGTCCAAGGGCGAGGTCCTCGTCTTCCGCCGCAACCGCCTGCCCAAGAACACCGCGCAGGGCAAAGGCGACCCCGAGTCCGCTTCGTCTGGCCCCATCGCCATCGCCGAAAAGACTGCGCCTGTCAATGTCGACGTCGGCAACATTCAGGGATCCACGAGCGTCTTCCACTGGAATGATGTGTGCTACGATATCAAGATCAAGGGCGAACCTCGACGTATCCTCGACCACGTGGACGGATGGGTCAAGCCTGGTACGCTGACAGCCCTCATGGGTGTTTCCGGCGCCGGAAAAACGACCCTGCTCGACTGTCTAGCTGATCGTGTCTCCATGGGCGTGATCACGGGCGAGATGCTCGTTGACGGCAAGCTGCGCGATGATTCGTTCCAGCGCAAAACGGGCTATGTTCAGCAGCAGGATCTTCACCTCGAGACCAGCACCGTTCGCGAGGCCCTCGAGTTCAGCGCCGTGCTGCGCCAGCCAGCCTCGACGCCCAAGGCCGAGAAGATAGCCTACGTCGACGAGGTCATCAAGTTGCTCGATATGCAGGACTATGCTGACGCCGTCGTGGGCGTCCTCGGCGAGGGCCTCAACGTTGAACAACGCAAGCGTCTGACTATTGGCGTCGAGTTGGCCGCCAAGCCACCCCTGTTACTCTTCGTCGACGAACCTACTTCTGGTCTTGACTCTCAGACATCGTGGGCTATCCTTGATCTCCTCGAGAAGCTCTCCAAGGCCGGCCAGTCGATCTTGTGTACCATTCATCAGCCGTCCGCCATGTTATTCCAGCGCTTTGATCGCCTATTGTTTCTCGCCAAGGGCGGCAGAACGGTGTATTTCGGCGATATTGGCGAGCAGTCGTCCACCATGACCGAGTACTTTGAAAGGCAAGGTGCGCCCAAGTGTCCCAAGGGCGCCAACCCAGCCGAATGGATGCTCGAGGCCATTGGTGCCGCCCCTGGCTCCCAGACGGATATCGATTGGCACCAAGCCTGGCGTAACAGTCCCGAATATGCCGCCACCCAAGACGAGCTCCAGCGTCTCAAGAACCAGGCCGCGCCCAACGAGAAGGTCAGCGACGGCGCACACAACAAGGAGCAGTACCGCGAGTTCGCTGCACCCCTGTGGGATCAACTCCTCATCGTCACAAAACGTGTCTTCCAGCAGTACTGGCGCACGCCCTCGTACATTTACGCAAAGTTCACGCTGTGCACGTCAGTCGCCCTCTTCATCGGTCTCGTGTTCCTTGACGCCCCCCTGAGCATCCAAGGCTTGCAGAACCAAATGTTCGCCTTTTTCAACGTCCTCACCATCTTTGGCCAGCTTGTTCAGCAGCAGATGCCTCACTTTGTCACCCAGCGCTCCCTGTACGAGGTCCGCGAGAGGCCCTCCAAGACGTATAGTTGGAAGATCTTTATGCTCTCGCAGGTCCTCGTGGAAATTCCCTGGAACTCGCTCATGTCTGTCTTCATGTTCGTCTGCGTCTATTATCCCGTCGGCTTCAACAAGAACGCCCAGCCCACGGGCGCGGAGACGGAGCGTGGCGCCCTCATGTGGCTGCTGTTCTGGCAGTTCCTCATCTTCACCTGCACCTTTGCCCACGCCTGTATCGCCATCACCGATACCGCCGAGGCGGGCGGCAACCTGGCCAATGTGCTGTTCATGATGTGTTTGCTCTTCTGCGGCGTCCTCGCCAACGAGAAGACACTCCCTGGCTTCTGGATCTTCATGTACCGCCTCTCCCCCTTCACGTACCTCATCTCGGCCATCATGTCCACCGGGCTCGCCAACACGGCCGTGACGTGCAACACCAACGAGATTGTCGAGATCTTCCCCCCCAATGGCTTGTCATGCTACGAGTACCTGTATGAGGGCGGGTACGTCCCCCAGATGGGCGGCAACCTGCTCAACCCCAACGGCACTTCGTCGTGTGACTTTTGCCCGCTGGGCTCGACCAACGAATTCCTCGCGCGGATCTCGTCAAGCTACGACAACCGGTGGCGGGACTTTGGCATCGGTATGGTGTACATTGTGTTCAACATTGGAGCGTCGCTGGCGTTGTACTGGCTGGTGCGTATGCCCAAGGGCAAGAAGAATAAAAAGGAGAAGAAGGAGTGATAGAAGAGCATTCGGGTCGGACACCTAAATGATTGTAAGCAATTTATATACAGAGACACGCGTTATTGCTCTGCTTTCCCAATTGGCATTGGGTTTCTTTTCTTCATTGTTATTATCATACTCAGCATACAGCATTAATACATTTCCTTTTGTCAAAGACCAGCCGATGCTCAGAAAGTGTGTTCCATGTGTAATGAATCCAGTCTAGCAGCGAGTGTCCTCTAGATGGCGTCCGGACATGGTCCTAGCTTGTCCCTGGATACGGAGTCGAGAGGTGGTGAGAAGGCGCGCGAGGTTGGAGTGATGCGGACCACAGCTGCTACCGATTCGGGCAAAAGCTGACTATTGCCGCGTTGCGAGCCAAACCATCATGTAGGTAAGGAGTAGGTAAATGTCTGGAGGAGCTCGTGAGTCGTTGTCGGTGGGTAAGTAGTTAACTGGTGGTGGGAGTCCAGGACAAGCGCGCGCTGCGCTGTCACTGGCCAGATTGCGCAAAGCCCCCCTTTTCTGCCGCTGGCACTCGGGCGAGTTCAAAGCCTCACCTTCCGGGGCGCCCCTTCCGTTTCGAAGTTACCATCCTCTCAGTTCTACTTCACGTGAGGAACTCGCTCTTCCCTTGATAACCTTCACCTCGCGCCATGCCAGAGTGATGGTTTGGGAACGACCAAGTCTCGCTGCCAGTGCAACGGACCACATCGCTTCACTTTGGGAGCCCGAACTCCGTATCGATCATCTCCTCCCGTGGCGATGGCATTTCGCAGTGACGCGATTCACGTCGACACACCTTCATCCGAGATGTCTTACGATTCGGCAACTGTCATGGCCTATGATGCGCTATTGCAGAGCACGCAGTCTGCCTCCAAGAAGCGCAAGTCCCCCGAATCACCATCCTATCCCAGAAACAATCTTGCCAAGCGGCAGCGCACGGCTCCCTCCAACGAAGTATCGCGCGACCGCTCGCACCAGCTCCCAGCGGAGCTATGGCATCGTATTCTCACGTACCTCCCTCCACACTGCCTTGGCAAGCTCCTTCGCGTGAGCAAGAAATTCCAGGGATATCTTGAACCATCGATCAGTGCTAAGCCTGTGGACCACGGAAGCAGAGAGGCTCACGATGCCGGGGCCACCCTTTATGGCATCGAACCCTTCGTTCCTGGTCATGATTCTCGACCCCAGCTCTCGCTGAACTTTGAGGGCGGGAACATAGAGTCTTCGGCTGCCCTGGCTGCTGCTTCTGGGCCATGTGGCCAGCTGGGTGTCGTGGAGCCCCTTGCCGCCAACGATATCTGGAAGGCATCCAGGTGCCTGTACTGGCCTGCACTACCCTCACCCCTCGAGTCCAAGACAGAGCTGGAGATGTGGCGCCTAATAGCCAACCGAGGATGCCAATTCTGTAATTGCGAGGAACGTAGCGCGGTTCCCAAGACCACCTGGCATACTGGTCCTGGCACAAGCGGTGCCGCACCAATTTTCCCATTCTCAAGTCGTGCCTGCGGAGCTTGCCTCGAGTCGCTTTGCGTCAAGGTCAGCTATTCCTGCATCACAGTGAAGATATTGTGAGCTAAAGTTTCTAGGAACTTGACATCATTCTAGCCGGTAAGACGCCGTCTTTCCTCCTGCCCGGGATTCCAGTGGCCTCAGTCGCTCCCTACCGTAAGGTCGTGCCGCCCTCAGCGCTCAAGGCTGGCAGAGTCCCTGCCGGCACGCCCATTGTCAAGATGTACTGGAAAAGCCATGTTACACAGATCGAGGCCAACTTTCAAAGGGTCAAGCTGCTGGGCACGGGCGCTCTCGAAGAGTGGCTCAAGGGGCTGCAGCTGAGACAAAGCTCCATGCTGAAAGACATGGACAGGTTGGAGAGCTGGGCTGTCGAAGATGGCTTTACTACGATGAAGCGACAGGTGGCGGCAACGCTGAAGCAGCCCCCGTCAGCAGTATCCGCCTCAGCTGCAAAATCTCGGCGAGACCCTAAGGATGTCCTTGACGCGGAGTGGGATGAGGTCCAAGCCCCCGTGAGGACAAGACTTGCACGATATGCCGATGATTACATCCGACATAAATGGAAACACTGCAAGAAGCTCAGATCGAAATCCAGCGCCTTCTTCGCCACAGGACTGCTCATGTACGCTCAAAATAGATTCTACAAAGATGTTGCCAGCGAGGCGGTGCTCGATGAACCTGTCGAGGGACCTTGGGCACAAAAGCTAACCTTGGAGAATATGAAGTGGCTATTTGATCTCAAGATCAAGCCCCGGATTTGGAAAAAGCAGGAAGAATTATTCTTGTGCAACGGCTGTTCGACCACCCAGCTATACACCCTCGACGGCGTCATCCAGCACTATGCAGCCAAGCATACCGCTTCCCTAAGCCATGGAAACGTCGTCGTGTTTTGGAGGTCAGAATGGCCCCGTCCGCCCCCATTTCGACCTAATCCTGGAGGTCCCACGGTCAATGTGACTGAACCTGGAGATTCCGTACAGATCAAGCCAGAGCCGGATGATCAAGTCGACGCAGCACATTCAACAAGGCTGCTGTTGACTCTGCCTCCGCAACTGAACAGAATGCAGGAAGACCAAATGTTGCACATCCTCCCAGAGAAGTTCCGCGCCATGAACAAGTTCAAAGGCCCGAACGCCATCAGGGCAACGGCCATTGTGCGTTGTGTATCGCAGGAGCTCGAGGCACGATTCGGCGAGCTAGCAACGTTCGCCACTTTCCAAAGCCTTTTCCTGCAGTGTAAGATGTCATTGCCTCTCAAGAAACTGAGGCGTCTCGAGTGTGCCGCTTGTTCAGGATCAGCTCCAGTAGGTGCTACGGCGCCACAGGGAAGTATACCGAAATTCAAAAGCAGCAGCCATCTGAAGGGGAGCGGGGGCAAACCCCAATTATATTCTCTAGAGACTCTCTTGTTGCATTTCCGCAAGAAGCATGTCAAAGAAGTGCAGCTGAATCTGGACTGGCAAACACAGATGATCCGTCTTCCAGATTTGGACAGTATAAGACAGATGTTGCCGTCGTGGTTTGGCAAAAACGCAAACATCGATGCCGTGCTACAGGATGCGTATCCTGGGGTTGTTCCCGAGGGCGGCAGGCCTCAGCCTCGAAAGACGTTTAATTTGAGAGGAAGAATCTCCAGGGATGTGCACACGCTTGCGGACCAAGGTTCAGATGAGGATAGCGAAGCGTCGGTCGGTCAGCCACGCCAGGCCACGAACCCCAAGTTACGGCCTCGATCGGATTCTCAGAATACTGCTTACCGTAGTGCTCCACGACACCCCACAGTCGCCGACTTCAAAGGGCCACCTGTGTTGAGACCAGCTAGTGAGGTCTACGGCGCGCCCCTTAGCAAGAAGCAATGCCGTGCGAGAGAGCGCCAAGACCTCGACTCGTCTTCCTACAGGGCGTCGAATGTATCTCAGAATGTCCCAGCGGACTCAAGTAGGGGGACGCGTGAGTATCACGCCGCACCGCGTGCCGTCCAGGAAGTCGTCCCACCGCCATCGCACTCTTACGGCAACGACCGTGATACTGGCTTGGCGCACGGCAGTTTCACCCGCGGGACAGCCGGCAGTGCAGCGGCGGAGGTCATAGCCCATGTCCCGGACCACGCTCACGAGCACCGTGAACAGATACGGTATCCTGAGCGTGCTTATTCATGGACAGCCGACCCAGGTCCACGAGCTCCTCAGCCATATGCGCCTCCTGACCCGTTCCATCAGCAGATGCCACTATACCACCAGCCCAAGCCTCGCTACCCGCTTCACTCTGCGCGCACAGAGGCCCCCTTTTACGACAGCCTCGGACCACCTGTGTGCATAGCCGAGGCTCCATCACAACAATACACACCTATGTATCCCCAAGACGGATACTGCCCTCCACTCGAGGAGTTCGAGATCGTGGAGGTGCGCGACCCAGTTCATGGGACGTACCATGTCCGACGTCCGGTCCGTCGTGACGTATATTACATTGACGAGCATCCTGCTCCGGGAGGGGACGACAGCTACGGGTATCCGTATCATGGGGAACAGCGCTATTCGTATGGAGAGTCTTCCCGTTAGCTGCCGGTTCTGGACTCCAACGAACACGTCAGATCGATTAAATTCCGAATGTGACAATCGTGTGTGCCGTGTAGTATATATACATACGCCACAAGGCAATGCTGTTTTGCCTACACCATCTTAAAGGAGCAGCAAGATCCTGCCCCAGCATTCGGGTAAACAAAAGGGTCAGCACTTGGCAATCATCATCCTTCTTCTCTACTAGGTATCCCCCCATGATGGTAGTGTGAGTATACTTGAATTCACATACAACTTTGCAAAGGAGTGCGGAATACTTTTATACAAGAGTTGAAATCAGATATATCCGTCCCTGTCAGATGTAGTACCGCGCACTACTGCTCATGAGAGTGGCGCCCGTGCCCTCCCCTTGCCCCTCCGTACATATTGTTGATACAGATAGCCAAGAAGAGCGCGCCATTCCTTTTGTTACAACAATGAGAGCAGAAAATCCATGAGAGAGTAGCGTGAGTCCCTCTTCGAGCTCTCTCCCCTGCCGTCTCCCCCCTTCCCGCTTCGAGTCTCGTGATGCTCCTCCCCGTGCAAAAGAAAATATACATGTATCATCCATATCCGCCCCGGACCAAGACACCTGGCGTTTCCTACACCGTTCAACAGCTTCGGCGCGACGATGAAGGAGCAGCCAAGCCGTGGCAAAAAAGCAGCAGTAGTAGTCTGTCTATCCGCCCCTACACAACCTCGCCAATGATCTTGGCGGCTTCTCTATACGTATCAAGCAGCTTCTCGCACTTCTCGCGGTCTTTCTTCACCGTGTCGTCTTCGTATAGCAGCTCTTCGAAAAGACTCTCTCTGTATAGCTCGGTCACGAGGCGATTCTGCACAACATCCTTGCAGTGGTTGACCAGGAGGTGCATGACGGCCTTGGGTACCTGGTCCGCAATGGACTCGCGGACAATGTTGAAGTAGGAGGAGATGAGCGCACGGATGAGCTCTGTCTCCATAGCCTCCCGGTCTGTCAAGGCAGGCTCGTTAGACTCACCGCCCTGCTGCTGGTTAGTACAGGTGTCCCTGGTATTGTTCAGTTCTGTTCTTACATAGTGCGATGCTAGACCCTTGTTGTCATGGTCATCTTCGTAGCCATGGAGTGAGCGCATCGGCAGCTTGTCCTCTCTGCGGATGCTCGGGAGCCCGGCTTCCGAGGACTGGCTGATATGCCTGTGGCCGGGCACTGAGGAGGTGCTACTCGTCATTGCTTGACCGTCCTTGCCGAAAAAGTATGTCAAGAAAGAGTCGCGGGCATTGTGCAAGCCCTGGCCGTTGGCGTTCAGTCGTGACGGGGATGCCGAGCGAGCCACACCGTTGATGGCGGACCCGATGCTAGTATGTGGTCGCACAGCAGGCGACAGGCTCCTGCCAGGGTTTGGGATCTGTTTCCGGCTGGGAATCTCAGCCTTCTCTGTGCGGTTCTCTTCTTCTTCGTCGCCAGGCTCGGTGCCATTGGTGCCAAGCTCCTTCAGACGGCGCTTCTCACGACGCTCCCTCTCCTCCTGGATCAACCGTTGGCGCTCCTTCTCCTGTCGAGCACCGACGACGTTGCTCATGGCAGCCGCGGCGCCGAGGAAGTTGGGATGGTTTGTGTTAATGTATGCGCGCTGGATCGAGATGAGCGATTCGACGTAGTTGGACGTGGGCCCAAGTCGCTCCCGCAGCAGATCCGAAACAGTCTCGATGAGCTTGCCCTGTAGCCTTGGGAACCGAGAAAGTTCTGTTGAGCCACAGGTGTGGCAGATCTTGATCAACTCCTCATACACTAGCTCCACGCAGCGTTGCGAGGGGATCTCCAGCATCTTGATCTGGGGCTTGACGAGGAGATCGAAAGCCATCTCGGGGACGAAGAGGCTGGGGCGGGGACCAGTCGAGTTGCGGATCGCGGTCCTGATATCGAGAGCTGTGAGGTTGGATGTGGGGTCGATGGACTCGAGAGAGCTGCCAAAGACGGAATTGAAGATGTAGTAGATGCGGGCGCCGCCGCTGAGCTCCTTGGTGGAGATGTTGGAGGAAGTACCATCAATGGAAGATGTGAAAGATGTCGCGAATCGGGTCATTTGTTGCAGGATAAGGGAACCACGGTGCTCCTTGCCGCTGAACTGCATGTCACCGTAGGTGGCCAGCTCCTGTTGCGTCTGGCCCATCAGAGTGTTCAGGCGTGCCTTGATGTCAGGGAGACGCTCGCGGATGTGAGACATGAGTGTGGTGTTGAGGGTTTTGGCGAGAAAATGCGTGCCGCATCGGTTCGCAATGTTGCGGTAAGCAGGATGGTGCTTGAAGAAGTCGGTCTCGGCCTGGATAGCCTCCTCCATGGGCTTGTTGCCCTGGATATCCTGCTGCGAGCGGTTGACGACACCGATGAAGCCCAGCTTCAAGGGATAGACTCGACCCGAAAGAATATCCAGAGCATTTGTACCATGGTCCATCAGATCGATTTTGGTGAGCACGCCAATGGTGCGACGGCCGAGGGGGTCGACATGACGGGCGAGCTTGAGCGCCTCCGAGTTGACCAGGTCGACATTGGCAGGAGAAACAGCAAGGATAATGCTGTTGGGCTTGGCAATGTACTCGGAGATCAGAGTTCGGGTCTGCTTCTCAATGTCGCTCGGTTGGTCGCCAATGGGCACCTTGGTCAAGCCTGGCAGATCCACCAGCGTCAGGTTCAGCACATGCGGCGAGTAGACCTTGAGGTTGATGGGTTGTCGGTTGATGCCCTTGTTGTTGCCGGCTACTCGCGATGTTTCGTTCTCAATTTCCCTCTTCACGTCCGAAAAGTCTGTAAACCTCCTGTTGGGGATGTGGTGAAACTCAGCCCACTCGGAGCGGCGAGCCGCAGCGGGCGACTTGAAGGGGTCGCTTGTGGGATCGGGAGCATCCTCGTCTTCGGCTACATTGACGAGCTGCAGAATCAGAGGTCGTCGAGTGCAGATGCCGCTGCCACGGGGCAGAAAGTCGCGGCCCACAATGTTCTCGAGAACGGAGGATTTACCTGCAGACTGGGATCCGACGACAACCTAAGGGGGGCCTGTCAGCTAACGCAAGCTTTGATTTCGGGTGAAAGGGGAGACAAACAATCTGGGGAAGATCTAGAGAGTCATTTCCAATGGTGTTGAAGACGAGATCTTGCAGCTTGTTGACGGTGCTGAGCAGATCCTCGCCGAGGGCTGCCATAGCGACGTAGTTGTGTCGGAAGTCAACACAAACACGATTAGGCGCGCAGGTGGATGCAGGTTGGATGGGAGGTGATGAATAGCTTGCTTGCGCAATCAGGGCGTCTTGGTAGCGCTGCGCGTCGCGTGCGAGCCTTGACAGTTCATGCAGACAGCTGAGATGGCTTTTGCGTGGATCTGTCGCGGCGTGGATTCCGAGGCACTTGGGCAAGACCTGCTCTCAAGGTTGACGGATACGGATGGCGTAGCGCAACTACGTCGCCAGAGTTCACGTGCTTGCATAAGGTTATGCTGGCTTATGCACACTAGCAGGGTCTGCTAGCGTTGTGTTCCCTGGAACAGGTTTTATGCATCGGATCGGAGTGTTTGATCCCGTTGGCAGCCACAGCGGCACGCCCCGCTAGGCCAGTATTGCGATAGTCGCATGATTTGGCTGCGCGAGGTAGCGCGAGATTCCTGTAAGCAGTACTAGACGACAAACGGGCCGACCATACTCATCAGAGATCAAGGTGTGCTGTGCTGTGCACCTGATCCGACCAATAGCATCATGCCCGATCATCAAACATGAGTACGTTTGGCAGTCCAGGAGCGTTGCCTTCAACAAAGCCGACGCCGTGAGTCTTTTTGCCATTTGATAGACACCGCGAGTCCCCGACGCTGACCGTCTCAGTCCACAACGAGGGAGCTTTCCGCTGGATCATGAAGGTTAGCCAGACCCCACCAAATGTACATGATGACCGCGGAACGTGTCTAACGAGCGAAATGCAGGCGAATGCAAGAAGGCCATGCAGGCATATCTTGTGTGCATGAAAAAGGTGCGCGGCGTCAATGAGGATGAGTGTCGTGAGCTCGCAAAGGGGTATCTGAACTGTCGCATGGACAAGTGAGTAATGCCCATGTTCTGGTGCACAAGGACACACTAACTGAACGCACGCAGAAACCTCATGGCTAGGGATGAACTGAAGAATCTGGGTTTCGCAGAGCGTCCGAAGCCAAAAGAGCCAGAGAAAGGCGTCAAGGGGGAGCTGCAATGGTAGCCAACGCCATTCAAGGCGAAGACAGGGGAATCAAGTGTGGCCAACATCCGCTCCCCAGAACGGCTGTGGAAGTGTATAATGTGTACGATCAGATGATTCGGCTATAGCTGTTGTACATGTATGAAAAGACGTCTCAAATGTGAAGGTGGATGGCGTTGTTGGACCTGTGAAGGCGTGATGATTCAGAATGCATGGAGTAGACGTCACGATGCAGCTTTCAATGAGCGGTCTGGAGGTCAGCGAGGACTATTGCTATGTGGAAGAGCATCAAACACTCCTCGCCAAGTAATCAGTGCGTTCAGTGCCTATTACAACACAGGATAATGAGCTCGATGGGGCCGTCAAATAGATGTCGGGCGCATGTTGGGCATGTCCACTTACAGTATGACATGTGTCTGGGCCCCAATCTTCCACATGCTTGCAAAACGTCCACCACTTCTTCCAAACCCATGTACAGCTTATTAGACGACAAAAACACCAGTCCATGCGCAACTTGAACTGTGTCACACATCACAAGGTGAACAAACGCAAGATCATATTGTCATTTCGCGATAGCGCGGTCGAGACGCCGGCCGCTGGGGGGTTGCTGTGCCAACCACCGTTTTGATGTCCACGGCTGGAGACCCTTGCTCCGCGCACCGGCCGCTATCAATCAAACGACGCCCATCTCCCTGGAGCTCATATAAATTCACGGTCTCGGCAATTAACAACACTCCTTGCATCTTCAACGCACTGCGCATTCCATCGTTTATCCCCATTAGCTTCCCATCGTTCTTCATTGCTACAACTCCCGTGGCATCTCCCTCGCCATCGCCATGAAGCCTGCTGGTACGACCAGCGACACAAAGGTGTCGCCGCCAGCGTCCAGCTACATGAACAACGATCAATTCGGTACGTGAAAGGGCGGTTGGCTTCTGGCACCGAGCTCGGCTCTAATGACACCACACGTACAGCGAACTATCTATCCGAACTTCGCAACAACCGCCTGCAACGTCCTGGCGGCGCGCGCCCCCAGCCTTCCGGTGCCCGCCCAGCACCAAGCCGAGCCAGCACTGTTGGACGCCCCAGCCTAGACACCATTCCGCAAGCCGACAGCCAGACCAGCACCAGCCTCCCTCCCCAGCCTCGACGCGTTCCATCCCAGGCCCCGAGCGTGGGTGCTGCCAGCGTCTCGTCGCGCCTCTCGACATCTTCACGTGGTCGCGACTACTATCCCCAGGAGCGCACAGCAGCAGCACCATTGCGGGCGTCTGAGGTCGTCCCGACGTCGTCGTACATTGAGCGGGGTCAGCGGTGGATGGAGAAGGAGGAGGCATTTTCACTGCGTGACGCCATGGATGACATGCGTTTGCGCGAGACACCGGAGCAATCTGCATCCCCCGAGCCCAACGACGACGCTCGCCTGTACGACGCTGCTCTCAACGAGGCAGCTGAGCTCGTCTGGCAGCACCAGAACCCTGACAAGATCCCACAGCCAAATGGCCCCTACCGTTACCGACCACATCTTAGAAAGAACAGCTACGCGCACGCCCGCGCGGCGAGCGCAGGTCGGTACGGAGAGGACATTGCGGCAAGCGGCTTGGCTCGGGACAGTGGCGCTCGCTCTGTTTCCGCCAGCTCCTCGGACAGCGACGGGGCCTCTCGCATGAGTCGCCCCTCCGTGGACTCTGTCCGCACCCAGACCAAACCCTATGGAAGCATGGGCTCGCGGGCGCCCGTCTTTCACAGGCGGCGCAGCAGCATGAAGCGCAATGTGAGCGGCGAAGTGGAGAGGCCTTTTTCTGGTGATCAGATATGGGAGGAACCTGAGTCGGCGTCCTCTCGCGGGTCAGCCAGGACGGGTCGCGCGTCGCCAGACAAGCTTGTCAGCAAGCCGACCAACCCTTTGAACCGAGTGCGGTTCGACTCTCTGCGCGAAGAAGAGGCATCGCCGGGGAAGCCCTTGGATCGCGTCGAGATTTACCGGAACCCACCCACAAAGTCCCGGGATGCCCTGTACACCAGCAACGCTGGACTGCCAGAGCCCCCCGTGGATGAGACAGTGGAGCGAAAGGATGGTATCGAGGTCCGCAGCCAGGACATTCGCAACGCCACCAGTATGAAGCTTAGGGACCGCAGCGCCAAGCTGCCAGAGCCCACTGCCGTCAGCGACAGCCCTGGCCGGCCAATTGTAAGCTTTGATGCTAATTGGAGAGCCCCGGAGGAGTCAACTGATAGCCACCCAGCAGAATGCCAGCAGCGGCAGCGACAGCAACAGCCACAACCTGAGGCAGCCGGATCGCCAGCCAGAGGCCGCTTCCAGACATCGCAAGCCCGGCCTGTGGGTATCCCTACTATCTCTGTGGAGGAGAGCGACGCGCCGCGGACACGGGCGTCGCCAAATGCAAGTGTGCCGTCCTTCAGCCTAGAAGGCCCTGACGATGCAGCAGCGCGTCCTCTGCCAGAGATCAACGTGCCGACCATTGCTGTTGATGGGCCTGCTGGCAATGCGGACGCGTCCATCCCTGTCATTGTCACCCCAGATGACGGCGGCACGGCCTCTCCTCGACCATTGCCCGAAATTCACGTCCCAGGCATCTCTGTCGACTCGCCCAAGGGCGGCGATAGCAACGTGCCTGCCGTGGTCGCCCCACGTGGTGGCAACAGGGCGCCCCGAGCACAGAGACCTCTCAGTCACTGGTCTCGCGCGCCGGGGGCTCCCCGAGACAAGACACTTTGTCATGAGTGCGGCTATTCCATCGAGGGCCGCTTCGTAGCCTTGGCTGGTACGTCCGAGCGTTTCCATCCAAAGTGTCTGAGTTGCTACATCTGCGGCACCAGCCTTGAGGCAATGGAGATCAGTCCTGAGCCTGATCGACAGCGGGCCGAGCGCCTTGAGCGCATCCAGCGCCGGGCTGCCGGCGAGATCCTCGAGGAGACGCCCGGGCAAACAATGGCGGAGGACGGAGACGACCGGCTTCGCTTCTACTGCCACCTGGACTGGCACGAACACTTTGCCCCCAAGTGCAAGCACTGCAAGACATCCATCCTTGACGAGCACATTGTGGCCCTGGGCGAGCACTGGCACTACGGCCACTTCTTCTGCGCCGAGTGCGGCGACCCCTTTGAGCAGGGCATGACGCACATTGAAAAGGATGGCTACGCCTGGTGCATCAAGTGCCAGACCAAGCGAACCGAGAGACGCGCGCCCAAGTGTAGGAAGTGCCGGACCGCCGTCATCGGGGAGTACATCCAGGCGCTGGGCTACGAGTGGCATGAGCACTGCTTCCGCTGTGCCGAGTGCAAGGGGGGTTTTGAAGATGGACAGATCTTCCCCAAGGAGGTTCCTGGCGGGACGGTCATACTCTGCACGACGTGCCGTACCCGTGAGTTGAAACGATGATGACGACGACGAACATGCGCATGATTTGACGACAGCTTGGTGTTTTTGATTTTTGATCTTTTGCATTTTGGTTTGGGCTTTTGCATGCTTGTTTTTTGGTTTTGATTTGGCTTGTTGGATCATGGTTCTTGCATTTGCTGCGAAAAGGTGCTATGATGTTTAATATGGAAAGGGATCGGGTGAGTGAAAGAGTGTGTTAGTTTGGAATTCACATTGAGATGGGCATCAGTTTGATGCCGATGCTTTGCCTTGCGACTATATCAACCGACTCTCCCGTGTGTGACGGATTAAGCGTCGTATCCCAAGGTAGGCCAGGCAATTGTCAGCAAGTGCTGACGTTCTCTTGTTGAACTCCTTCCTTGCCTCGAATGGACTGTATCATACCAGCCTAGCCTGTCGCCCAAATGATCATCAAAGATAAATAGCCCCTAGAAATCAAGACCGGGAATCCCTCCTCGCGTTATCGTATCGTAGTCGTCATCGCTGGTACTTCTTTTCTTGCCTCAGTTACCGCCAACCTGCTCCTGGTGAACATCGAGCTGGTCACCGTCGGCCATCTCGAGCTATGCACGGTCAGTCATTTGGTCCGGGTACCTAGAGACACGCAGAAGACCTACCGCCTCAGGTGTGTCAGTGGGTTGCACACGCTGGCCTTCAAACAAGAACCGGACAGAGCTGATAGATTTTCCCTGGCGCTCGCAGAAGGCGGTCATGAGCTTCTCAAGTTTCGTGGACCGCTTGATCTTGAAGAAGACCTCGTTGTTATTGTCTGACACCTTGATGTTGAGATGCTCGGTGTTGGCGGGGGCCTCGGGGTGGCCACCGCTGGGAGTGCCGTTCTCCTGGTCGGACATGTTGTGCGTGGGATTTGTGTTGGCTTGTCTATTTCATGGATCGTTAGAAGCGAGATGGGTAGAAAGAAGGGTCTCGAAGGGCGCAACGCAAGAGGTGAGTTAGGTCATGCGCCGTTCCAGACGGAGAATCGGACGTACTCAGATATGTAAATGCGTGTGCGGCGTCAGGTAGTCTGCGCAAAAGCTTTGGTCGGCGCTTTGGAAAGAAGAAAAGCGACAGAATGAAGAACGAGGTTCCGGGTTCGGCGTGAATGGCAAAGGGAGAGAGAAGAGCGAGACGGGCTCACGCTTCACTCGCGGTTTCGAGAAGAAGTTGAAGGGTGGGGAGCGGCGCGTTTGATTGGCAGGGAACTGAAGGCCTGGTGAATATGGGTGGTGCCAAAAGCACTCATTTAGCCGCTGGGGGTGCGAATTCTCTGTAATCCGCACGCACCGATCGCAAACAAAAGCAGCCATGATGTCAAGCAAGTCGGCCAAGGCATGCAACTCAACACCTTCAGAATATTGGCAGCATCATGGTCAGTCACCTCAGCTCGATGCTATCCCAGCCTTTGAGTCTAACTGGGCGCAGGCTCCCAAAGATGACATTGACACGCAGCCGCCCTGCCATCCTCGTGCCGTGAGTTTCAAAGAAGCCTCACCTTCCTCTCACCGTGCGCACAGTTGCTAACACGCTCTAATAAGTGCGCCATTCAAGGTGAAGACAAACTGCGCGCACAATCCACAGGGTGATTGCTGACAAGTCGAGCAGACTGCCTGACCAAGAACAATTACAGCGAAGCCAAGTGCCAGTCTGTGATCAACGCCCTCTACGAGTGCTGCGACGCGTTCTACTCCAAATACGGTGAAGATGCGTCGACAGTCAGCTGTCCCAAGCCCAAACTGCTGCAACTCAAACTACAGCAGATGAGGGAGGGCAAATGAGTCGGAGTCTGTCGACAAACAATTATACAATCATACAAATCATGTAATTAGCACGGGGCCATGAGGAACGCGTGAAAAATCCGTCTCGCGCAGATAGAAATGTAACCTCAACCATAGCGCGTTCGCCGGTCTAGAGAAAGTCGCTGGGAACAGTTCGGAGGAGGCAAGTTTCTCTGGGCGATCATTGAGCACGCAAGAGATCCTCAAGGGACCTGAACAAGCATTGAGAGATACCTTGTTCCGAGACTCTAATATGAATGCCCTGACATTATGTTGAAGAAGAAGGAAAGGAAAAATCGTGCTCTGGTGGGGCGTCAATATGTGGTTGGAATCGGCGCTCGGTTTGGTGCATAACCTGATGAATTACCCTGTAGTCGTCTATGTAGGTAAAGGAAGGGCCCACCTTGGCGCGGCCGGCGGCGCGTCGGTGACTGCAGCAACAATTCAATGGTGAACTTTTGGAGCTTTGTTGTAGTCCAGCCTGACATTGATATTCACACTGAGCAACAGCACGACCCGCTTCTCCTACCATCGACAAGAGCTTTATGCGCGAGCTCTCTTAATTATACAAGGCTGCACACAAGATCACTCATCACATTTCGTCGGCCATGACCAGACAGCACCGTCGAGGATAGAATACTAGACCTGGTGACCGTCGCAAGCGTCAACCCACCGGCCGAAGCACCTTTTCGAAGTTGAAATCCGGCCTCAGGATACTCAAGAGAGATCCTCGACAGCGCTTCGGGCAATTGAGATTTCGCTCGTCGAAAATGGAGCTCGACAACACTTCAACGCCCCTCGACTGGGCACCAACAACGGAATTTGCAGGCCCCGAGGTCGAGCAATTCGCCAATGCCCTCGATGACTGCCTGACCGGACGCGCACCCGGATACGATGCTCGTGAGCGCCTGCTTGCGCTGCCGCGCATATTCCACAAGAACGCGACGCAGCGTCTGGCGAAACTGCGACCTGGGAGGCTGCGGACGGGCGATGACATGGACATGGACACGGACGAACTGGACAATGAGATCTCGCAGGACACTGAGGCCGAGATACAACGACTAGAAAAGGAGGTTCAGACGTGGGATCTACTGCAACGAGTGCTTCCGCTACGATACTCCGATGCCGAGAACGAGTCACACGTTGCGCGCTTGGAACGGGTGGCAGACAAACCCAGCCGTGCGACGACGCTGGAATCCTTCTTCGAGAGCGACCCGACTGCCCGCGAGCGAAGGGCCGTCCTCCAGTGGCTGCAGACCAGCGCGGCTTCGGGCCCCGATATCGACGAGATGACGCGTGAGCTGCAGCGGAATGCGGATCGAGGCGATATCATTGCACATGGCTGGCTGCACACACGCTCTGCAATCAAGATGAAGAAGAGCGTCACGGGCTGGTCGCAATTACTAGACCAGCAGCCTGGGAACGGCACCTCCAACCATCTGACCTCGTCGAGCGAACCCATGGTCACACAGCTCGACCCCGATGCGTGCACGCGACAGGGGCGCAAGCTACAGCCCCAAGACGAGTATTTTGAGCGCGCCATCTGGCTGGGCTGCTTCGAGCATCTGCGTCGGGGCAGCACTGCGGCTACGATCCAGGAATGGTGCCAGGAGCGGACAGAGGTGTGGCGTTCCGTCTCCATGTCAGGCTTGCTCCTACCAGCACAAGACGGCAATGAAGCGCCCACCGATCTGAGTGAGAGCTCGTTGGTGCTTTGGCGGCGCATGTGCTATGCGCTAGCAACGCAGGGCGGGACGAGTGACCATGAGCGCGCGGTGTACGGCGTGCTCTCCGGAGACATTGAGAGCGTGGAGAAGGTGGCCAGGTCCTGGGACGATCTCCTCTTCGCTCATTACAACGCCCTTCTGCGCACGCAGCTGGACTCTTTTCTTTTGAACCAATGCGCGGGAGGAGAGGCGGCGCATCTCACACAGACGTTCCCTTCGCTGAACGCCGTGTCGGTGCACGGCGAAGAGGCTGGCGTGGAGAAGCGTCTGGTCAGGCAGCTCGCAGCTCGCCCCTCTGTAGCCGACGAGGCGAAGGAGCCCACCAAGGCGTTGCAGGCTTCCATAGTTGCGAATGAGTTGCATCAATACCTGTCCGAGCAGGGTCGGCACCTTGCCTCCCCGACCCGCGGTCTCGATCAGCCACAATACTTTCAGCACGCGCAGACCGATGGGTTGCGGATTATCGCGCACGTTTACGTGCTTCTTTCGCTGCTTGAGGATGTGACGGCAAAATCTATTCAGCAGCGCAAAACGGAAGACGAGATCAAAGCGCAAGAAACGATTGTCGCATGGTATGCCGGGTACCTGCTTCGACAGCAGCTGCAAGAGCTTATACCATTGTATTCTTGTGTCTTGACGATACCACGGAGATACGAGGTGCTGAGCGAGAATCTCATCGAGGAGGAGGAGACAGAACGCCGAATCACGCTTCTCAAACTAGCTCGCAAGGCCAACATTGACATAATGGAGTATGTCAGGACGCAGGCAAATATCTTCTACCAGAAGGTCACCGAGTCGCCGACAGCAACCAAGGGGGCGCCAGCCGTGTTCCGGATTCTGGAGGAGAGCACGCCCGATTCCCAGTCTGGACAGTTCATCAAGGCGGACTTCCTCGGTGATGACGAAGAGCAGCTCGCCGATGCTCTGGATGAGTATCTCGTGCGGTCCCTGGAGTGGCTGTTGCTCGTCGACGAAGCGTGGCCAGATGTCTTCAGCATGGGTGTGAAAGCCTTTGTGTTCTTTTTGCGTACGTATTCGCCACGCCTGACCAGAAACTGAGTATTCATTAGCTGACAAACTTAGGCAACATGCATCTCGACGCAGCAAGGCGGTTGATGAAGAGCATATCGTTCAGCGCTATTCTGGCGGAGCGCTTCGGAGTAGAAGACGAGTCCATGGCCAACAGCATTGAGTTCTGGGCTGAGCAGCTGGAAGGGTTGCCTGGTAATGTGCAGACATCGCCTCTTCAGGTCATGACCGATGCGCAAAATTTCCGTGATCTGGGTCATCTGGTGCAGGCGCTGGATAGCCTGGAGACGACTGGGGCATTTGCTACCATTGCCGGAGAGTACGTGCCAACAACAAAACATCCCAATACCGTCAGGAAAAGGCTAACATGCGCAGTGCCGATGTCAACACAAAAGCAGCTCAATGGCGTCCGGAGCTCATCAACGCCGTCAAGGTCACAAAGGAGAGCATGCAGCCGTTGCTGCACAACTGGATGCTTGCCAGCATCCAGGACGGCAACGAAGCCCTGGCCGAGATCCGCCAGATGTACCTCCCCGAGACGATTCTGGCCTATGTCAAGTCCCTGCACTTTGCAGGCACGCGCCTGACGAGGGACTATCTCCTGGAATGCATGGAGCTCGCGACAATCATCACAGAGCGCGACGCCGACCTAGAAGCCACCTTTGTCGAGGCGAAACGTGTCAGGGAGCTTCTCGAGGCGTTTGCCGCCAGCAGCAAGGCGCTGGCTATGGCGCCAGGGGAGAGGACGGGCGCGCCGACAAAGGCGGGAGCCAAGAAGCTACGGGAGAAGGGGTGGACAAGAGACATTTGGGCCGTGAGCTTGGGAGGATCATGATGATATCTGGCTGTAGTACAGCGACTGGGACGAGCAGCATAATATCAAAGAAGACGATCAGAGTCGATCACGCGCAATGTCATGGAGAAGTACCTACATCTAGAAGAGCAAAAGCGCTGTTCTACTCTTGTTATCCACCAAAGGGGTGTCACGTGATATCATTAAAACTCTAAGACAGAAAATGTTGCATGTGAAGCTGTATCTGATACGTACGAGAATTATTATATCCCACTACCATCATTCCCACGCAAATTTCACAATGACCGCACCGGAAGTTTCACCGTGCCGGATTCTGGTCATGGCCTCTGGCTTTGGCTCGAATTTCCAGGCTCTCATTGATGGCGTGTCAAACGGGCAGCTCTCAAACAGCCGCATCATCTCGCTCATTACGAACCGGAAAAGTGCGCACGCCACTGTTCGCGCGGACAAGGCGGGTGAGTACTTTTCTATAAATATGTGATGAGGATGGCAGCTAATTTCACGACCAGGTATTCCTTGGGAGTACTTCAACCTGATCAGCCACGGGTTCTTGGGGAAAGGAGAAAAGGACGAGCAGAAGGTAGCGGAAGGCCGTCGTAATTACGACGCCGCACTAGCCGAGAGGATTCTCTCAACGGAGAAGGAAAAGCCTGAGTTGATTGTTCTCGCCGGCTGGATGCATGTTTTCTCGCCTGCCTTTCTCGAGCCGATCGAAAGGGCAGGGGTGCGGATCATCAACCTCCACCCAGCGCTACCCGGTAAGTTTTGTCGATGAATACAGTTCTATTTCTGCAGCTGACGAGGACCATAGGGGAGTTTGATGGGGCCATGGCGATTGAGCGAGCGTTCGAGGAGCTGAAGGCTGGGCGGCTCACACGCACGGGCATCATGGCCCACTACGTGATCGATGAGGTGGATCGGGGTGCCCCCATCTTGGTCCAGGAGATTGAGTGGAAGGGAGAGGGCCTGGACGAGCTGAAGGAGAGGATACATGCCCACGAGCACGAGCTGATCGTGAAGGCGACGGCCAAGGTGGCGCAGGAGATAGTGGATGGCAGGGGATCATAAGGCTGGCAAGATACCAAAACAATGCAATGTCGATATGGGCTGCTAGGCAATCCTGCTCCCTTAAATGACATGCCTGATATGACAGACGCTTGCATGGTCTCCGAGATCAAGTGTTTAATGTTGTCCCTAAGTTAGGTGCCTGTCTTATACGCGTTCCTGGGACCGGGACCCCGCCCCCACATTGACGCGGGTAAAGCAAGTGAAGCTTGTCAACCGACTCCCGCGTCATCTTGGAACCTGCATCCACCAGCTTCACCTCCCGCTGCCAATGTCATACACACCCGTCTCCAGCGCGACGCCACCCGTGCCGCCTCCCAAACCAGGGAGCCATGAAGCCAGCGGCGTCAATACGCCAGCTCTCCCCACAACAGCAGACGGTCGGCAGCCACCTGCTGCACATGCGCCGCCGAGGCAGCAGGTCCCCGATCCTGGAGAAGGGTGGTTGCCGCAGATGCTACAGGACAAGTCGTACGTTCCTAATTCAAATCGGAGTCTATCCCCTTGGGTCTATGTAGGCTGACTATATTCCATGTAGGAAACAAGACATTGCCGCCATACTAGCCGACCAGAAACTACTCAACGCCCTGACCAACGCGCCCCAGACCATCCACCCCAGCCTGTCATCGTCCCACGAAACGCTACAACAAGCGCTCAAAGACAACATTGCGTTGGCGAACCACGTGTCGCAGTTATCGACACAACTGTCCCATCAAAGAGGCGCGACGCAGGCGCAGCTGCTCAGCACCCATGCGCTGGAGCGGACGTGGCGGGCGAAGGAGGCGGAGATGGACAATGCGCTCGCCCCGTTCGCCCCGGCGCGGCTCTACCAGCAGCTGAGCCAAGGGGTCAACGAGCAGGGACAGGTTTGCTCGGCCATGGAGGAGAGCTTTCTGGAGAGCGAGGATGGCGAGCTGGCGGAGAGGGAGGTTGCGGACTGGGTGCGTCGGTACCGCGAGGCGCGGGTGGGATTCTACCTGCGGAGCGAAAGAAAGGAACGGTGGGACGAGGGCCGTGTGGGCGGTTGGCGTTAATCACAGCAGCCAGGGGGGCCAAGATGCTGTCGTGTGGTATATATTATGCATGGTGTGTGTATATATGGGGTATTGATACGCTGGGTGAACTATCTCAATGTGCTAAATGGGCTCTTCGCCATGTCCGGGCTGCGAGGGCTGATGGGTAGGGCGAACAGATCGTCGTCCTCCGCCTTGGGCCCCGTGGGCGCGGGATCCCCCTTGACCACGGCATTCAATGAGATGGCGCCGCCCATGGGGGCAACACCGGGCGAGCGCTGGGGTATGCTGCCAAACCCTGACATGGCAATATCGTCGCCACGCGGGCTAAGCGTCTGGCTCTGGCTGCCCTCTGTGAGAAAGGTGTTTGCTAGTGTCCCGCGGTTAGTCGACGTAACGTGCACGATACTCGATGGGAGAACATACCCGATGGCTCCAGCTCGGCCGGGCTGGTCCCCAACTTGAGACCGCGCAACTTCTCGCCCAGCTTGCCGCCGATGGGACTGCGTGGCGTCAAGGGCGTCATGCCCGCGGCGCTCAGCACGCTTCCTAGACCATCGCCCTGCTTCTTCTCGGTGAGGAACGTATCCACGATCCAGTCCCGCTCTGCGCGTGCCATTTCCAGGCCCACGCTCTCCGTATTGAAGGACAGTTCTGACGCCATCTCTGCGTCGAGCTCGCGCAGGCGCTTCTTGGCCCATATGGTGTGCAAAACGCCGCGTGTACCGCGTTGATCCTGGAAGGACGGTGGGAAGATTGCGGGCAGAGGTTTGAGAGTGATAGCCTCGAGAGACGAAGGGGGTGTGATGGTGACCGTGGAAGGAACTGGCGCGTCTGGTGGCAGGAGGAAGAAGATGCGGCGGACAGAAGACGTCGAGTCTACATCGTTGGCTGGCAGAACCGTGGATTTGCCCGGCCAGGAGACGTGCCAGTCATTGCTCCTGGCTGGTGTTGCTGGTGACGGCGCATCGACTGGTGCCGTTGGCAATGCCGATGATGAAGATGGCGCAGATGCCACGGCACCAGGTGCCCATTCCACCATGAGGATCTTTGTGCCTGCATCGCTAAACTCGAAACGTGCAAGGTGAGACGTTGACAGCTCGGTGGTTGTGTCTCCTGTGAGGCCAGGGTCAGGGACCGCAGACATGGTGGCGGCGGCCAGTGGTGTCAATACTTGACGTCTTGCAGCGCTAGCACAACTCGGTCGACGGCACTTGGCTAACTAGTATCGCAAGGTCGACCAGAATCCACGATCGGATGGAATGTGCCGGGCGGTAGGGCGCGCTTGGGGGGGAAAGGATGCAGCGCCAGTCTGTGAGTGATGAGTGACTGGAGCTGGTGGTATGTGACGTGAGTGGGAGACTGGAGATGTGACCGCGGCGATAAGAATAGAACAGTATTGTTTCTGCCTACCTTACCTATTGCCCGGCGCGTGCATGCATAGCACCTGCGTGCAGCTGGCAAGGTCCGGGGCTGGGACACTGGAGCCTGGGTGACCTGGAAGAATGAGGGGGCCCCGCGCTTCTTCTTGAAGACAGACGGGGGGCATCGTGGAGTATTCGTGCTGCTATCGGAGCGTCCACCGCGGTGGTCAATTTTCCAGTGCATAGGATGTTATCGATTACATGATTTGGATATTGTTTGAGTGCTAAGATTCGTTAAATGATGTGAATATACCTGGCGTTGACATAGGTAAGCAAATGAGTATTGCCAGCGAAAACTTATACATGTACGTAACTACTTCATGTTCCTTACGCACACACCAGCTGCGACAACAACACAAGCACCACGTGGAGAATTTGAACACGCCAAATTGATATAGTAATGGAGCATCTTTCAGTCATTGCGAGTTGCAAGTCCACCTGTGAATGTGGTCAATGAGCCTAGGTGCTCTGCCTCCAGGGTAGCCAGACACTGCTGAGACATGCTCGCCCCAGCAGACATGCACGACGACGTCAAGATCAGCGATTGTAGGACGCTTATCCCTCGGGCGTAACCCTGCAATGACCCGTGAGAGGACTGTGGTCTTGCGACGTGCGAGTTGGAGGAGTCTAGGAGACGTATCGCCGGCAGTTGTTTGTCCGACTACGTCCGTAGCGTCGTCACCACGGCATATGAGCGATCGGACGCATAGTACTACTTGCATACGTGGTAGTAGTAAGTATGCAGTCTCAACGCCGACGAAGTGCGGTCGGTCCTATTCGATTGACGACATATTGATATACGTAGTACATTCTCGACCTTCTGCGCACCTGGCGACCCAGCACGGAAAGGCAAGATGTAGTAGCGAGCAACGAAGCAAGAACAGATGTCGATCAAAAGGAAAGTTTAAAAAGAGGATGCTCTCCCTGCGGCCGCGAGATCTGCCAGTGCGACAGAACGACCGAGATGGGGCCGTCGCAGTGTGTCTCATCGGCTGCTTCCGTGAACCGACCGAGTTTGTCCCTTGGGGTTGATACTAGTCTCGGTCTACAAGAATCAATTACGTAGTAGCCTTTGTATTAGTGCCTGACTCGAGGTAATTGCCGGAGTTACCTTGGCTAGGATGAACCTTACCATCGCTATGACAAGGTATGACTTCAAGAAAGGGGCGTACCTCGACGTGGAATTACCTGTTTGGGTAACGCCATCTTATGTTGCTCGATTGGAGGGCAATGGCTGTTGTTGAGAAAATGCACCCAAGTTGAGCTCGAGGAACGGTAAACACGTCTTTATTCGAGACGAGATCCTAGCGAGAGTGTTCTGTTTGACATTATTGCTCATTTGGTAAGAAGACTCCGGCTGTTTACGGAAAATGGTGGCTGTACACACCGTACGCGCGTAGAGCCAAGCCTCAAATTGGGGCTTCAACATGTTACTCGCTCATCTTGACGCCAACGACATGGCATTGCTTACGATTTCATATTCTAGACTTGAGAGATCTCAAGCGGGCGGTCCTTTATTCATGAGTGAAGAACCTCTTTTATGAGCAACATAGTGTTGTCGCACACCAAATCAACTCGAACCGTGGCGGCTCTCACGCACGATCGCGTGACACGGTAGATCGTCTTCATGATGGACCGCGACTTTGGCGACGGCGACGACAAGGCACCTCCTCTGCCGCCACGCAGGGCAGAGCTGCCAAAGCCTGTTGCCGTGCCGGCGACATCCTCATCTCTCGGCTCGCCATTTCTCCGCGCCTATCCACCCGTGCTTCACGAGTTTGGTATCTCACGCAAGGTCTTCCTCACCTTTCTCGACGACCTGAACCGGGTCGCTGTGCGCAGCCCCCCGCTGATTATGGTCAGCGCCGCGTGTGGCGTGGCTGGCTTTGTGCCGGATATCACAACCCAAGCTATCGCCCTAGGGATCGACGCGACGGCCAACGCAAGCATGTACGCGCTGAGCAAGGGCCGGACAGAGATGATGCTTCGAAAGGCCAACCGGGACATCTTCCACCGACATGGACTCAAGGTGCAAGTGGCCAAGCTAGAAGCCGTTGCGCTGCTCGCAGGCATGCCGATACTGGACGAGGACAATGTCCTCCTGAAGGATGCGGCCATCCTCGCACCTTACGAGGATATCCACGAGCTGCACACACTGTCCGGCCAGCAGAGACGGCTCAAGACTTTCCAGCCTTGGCTGTCACCGCTCGACATCGAAGAGCTGCCCGAGATAGAGGAGAGGAGGGTGGGCATCGGGAAGATGTCCGTCGCGCTCAGTGAATGGCAGCGAGGTCACGGCGAGAAGAAGCTCATGGCTGACAGGAGGAAGGCGCTCGACAAGAGAACGGAGAGCATCCAAAAAGCCGAGAAGCGATATCAAGACGACATGGAGTCGATTCTTCAACAGGAGACCAAGATAGTGGCTTCGCAAGGGGGGCTCACAGAAGAGGACCGGATCAGGCTCCAGGAGAAGCGTCGGAAAGCAGTGGATAGACGGGAGATTGACCTGTACGATGCCGAAAGAAGATATACCAAAGGCAACAAGGAAGAGAAAGGCATACGCAGAATCTATTTCCTGCTTCTGACTAGATCAGACGAGGATCTGGGTGGCATGGACGAACTGATGGCTAGGGCTGAGAGTGAAGACGAGGCGGATAGTGGCCACAAACGGCAAAGCCGCAGCACTGAGAGGGCGGACGTCCCAAACAGGGAAAACCCGCCCACTGGCGCGAGCTAGCGACTCTGCATAGGGAGGTTCAGGTCCCTGTCTCACGGAAAGGGCCGATCTATTTAGCCTGGTCGGAAAACACAAGACACGGGCTGTCCAGTCGCTGCAAACATGCACGAATTGGCAAGCGCCGTTGTCAAGCGAATGCGTCAAGCCATTGGCGAGCCAACTCCTTGAGATCCCGTAGTTACTATTACAAGTACATAGTCAGTGAATGCAGTGACCCAGAAGTTAATTCGAAATCGTCGAGCCCCCAAACGGCCAAGCCTTGGGAGGGCTGAGGGGAAATCTGGAGAAAGTGACATTAGCGTCGCGCCGCTTGCCAAATGGGGCTGGAGACAACGTGGGCGGCGGACGAGCAAGATGCCAAAAGGTCCAGTGACTAAGAATCTGAATAAGGCCCAGCGCCAAGTCGCCATCTGTTAGACTACGGAGGCTCGTAGCGATCAACAATCCGACCGATCTCTGCTTGCTGCTGCAGGACCGCCCACGTCGATGCTCGAGGATTGAGTCATGGCTGAGATGGAAAAGTCTCCCGGCGACACTTCTATTAATCCCTCCAGAGGCCAGACAACAATATTATATGTACGCAAGTACAGGCGCTGTCTTTTTGAATGCACCGAGTCCGTTCAATTGGCACCAAGGAATGAATGGCCATCATCTCGTGACATGGTGGATGCTATCGTCCCGACATGCATGCCCGACAAGGGACCGACAGACAAATTCGTTATCTAATTAAGATCTGGCGTCCTTTTCGGGGTATGCCACCGAGCAGAAACAAGACATTCAAAGCCTAAGACATGGAGGGACACAGGAATAGCAGCGATCCCGAGACATGATATGGTGCCTGGCGTTGGTGTATAATTAGGAGAGTCTTGCGATGATACAGATCGGAAGCGAAAGACGATGCGCAGAAGAGCAGCATCTATTCCATCATGATGATAAGAAGAACCCCAACGTCAGACAGAGTCAGACAGGCCGCGTGGAGACTGGAGAGCGAGAATGAGGGTCTCGACGAGGGTGGCCGGGCCGGCTAAAGTCCCACTCACTGCCCACTGGGTGCCAATGGAGACGCATCGGACTCTCCCTCACGGCGGAGATTGTCGGTTGGGCCGCTCACTGCATTTGTCTGCTCGGGCAAACCAGCAGCCACTGCCGCAAACACAGCAATCAGCATTCGTCAGCGGGTCCAATCGTTGGCCTTACTTCGGCGTCGTCTGCTGGGGAGAAAACCTTCAAGCGCACCGACTCTGACATGTATTACAGGTTGACGGCGGACAAGTGAGGATACGAAGTTGGCATGAGGGCACGCACGCAGCTCAACTGGTAGCGCGACGTGCAAAAGACCGATGACCCCCTCAAGATCGAGTGACGCCAGGACGTAGTACTTGTAGTAACTCGGAGAATACGACGGACAGCGTCGCAGCGAGGACGTGCAATACCTTCGCGTTAGGTATCGCAGCGTGACATTGCGGGCTCTCCTTCGGACTCACTTCGGTCCACTATTTGACCGGCCGCTCCTTCTGGCGAACCAGCGCCGCCCACCCGCCCGCGCCTCCAGTCCCAGATCCCCAGGAAGGTGCGACTCCCCCCACTGCCTTTTTGTTGGTTCCCAGACCAGACCAGGCTAGACCAGCCCAAACCAGCACAAACCAGCCCAAACCAGCCTGTCCGTCAGCGTCCAGTCCCTACTACGCCCGCCGCCTGCCTGCCTGTTATCGCCCAGAAACCATCACATCCCAGTCCCTCTCTTCAGTCCTGAAGCAGAACTTGACCCTCGGATTGAACCTGCTTCGACTTGGGATTCTACGCAATCCGAATCTGCCCTGCTTCGATCTCGACCGGCCGAACGCATCTGCCGCGCCGACAGATAGTCGATCATCCACGCGACTGTCTTCGCCCTCCATTCCACCGGTCGCTCTCGCCTGGCGTGCGACACTCGTCAATCAACCTCTCGCCTCGCACCCACCTACCAACATCCGCCCGACGAAGACTGACCGTCCGACGAGGCATCTCTTTCGCACTGGCATCGGGAGGCTTCTTTCGCCATTCGATATAGCCTCATCTCGCGATACTTGGGCGCTCGATTCCAGTCTTTGCGCAAAGTCATTCTTTAGACACCCGCCACCACGCTGCGACGGTTGCCACTTGTCAATCGCTCTGCTCACGGCGGCCGCCAACACCATTCCATCCGTCGGCCACACGACCGACTCGACGACCCCTTGACCAACCGACCGACCGTTGTTGACCTTGGCTTCCCCTTCACGCGCACGTCATGTTCTCTGGGTGAAGCCATTTCGCCGCGAACCATTGTGAACAGGACACTTCCTCTGGGCAGGTCCCAAAGGCTGCTGCTTGCCTCGGATTCAACGTGATCCAGCCACTCGCTCATTTCTTTCGTCTCACTGGACGAACCCTTTGCCATGGAGGGCCACCGCCACGCAATGGAATCGATCCAGACCACCGAGTTTGGTTCAAAACGGTTCCACGACAAGATTGAGCAGCAGCAACAACAACACCAACAGCAACAGCAACGTCATCATCAGCATCATGAGACGCAGCATGATACCGACTCTTTCGCGTCAGGATCCAAGTTCATCCTACCTTTGCGCGAGTCTAGGGCCGAGGTCGATCCTATCAAACCGGAGAGGCGCGAGAAGAGAGTGTTTCCTAATCTGAGGCACAAGTTCTCGTTTCTTCACCATGGGAAACCGACACATCCAACAGTCGACGTCCCACCGGTGCCACAAATAGCGCAAATACCAACATCATCTTCGGAGTTCCGCGAGTCGACAGAGTCAGGGCGACAGAGGTATGTGCATGGGTTTCAAGGCCCCAAGGTCAGTTGCTCACAAGATTGCAGGGTTCGACTGGATGAACTATTCGTGCGTTTGCCAAACGAACTACAAATACAGGTTATCGCCAACCTCTCTCTTCCCGATATACTCAACCTACGCCTGTCTTCCAAATCATGGCACTCACTTATCACAGCCCACGAGGGCCCCATCGTGCGACACCACTTACTACACACCATCCCCGCCTACGCACGTCGGCTATATCCGGTCAAAGACAATACGGAATTCAACTTCCACTATCTTTGTGGCCTGTGGCATCGATTACATGTCGCCGCCAAATTAGCCTACATGATGAGCGAATGGATAACAAAGGACATTTTCCTGCGACAAACAGATGCACAGCGCCTCGCATTCTCGGCACAAAACGAACGTATGCGGCGGCGCCTGATACCTCTGCTGTTCACAATCTTCCACTTCTTCGAGACGTATCGCAAATTGCACCTCAAGTATGTGCAGGAGCACGGTCACGGGCTGAAGATGGGCGCGCACACGTTCAACCCCATTGAGAAGGAAATCATGGACATGTACGACGACGAGACCCTTTTGCGGGTGCATGAAGTGTTCCCGCTGGTCATATCCTCTTTCTGCCGCCGACTGCGACCACCTACCTATGTCGGACGTGTTGAACGATCGCTGCGTGGTTACGTGCGAGAGAAGCCATCTGACGATGTCCATTCGGCAATCCTTTGCATTGGCGGACTGCGCGAGGTCGAACGGCTCTGGGAGATCAAAGGGTACAACAAGCGTCGAACAGCGGTCGATACCTGGTTCGGCTCGTTAACCAAGGATGCACTTTCATCCGAGAACCCAGCATCCCCTGAGCAACCCGTCAAGACGCGACGAGGCTTGTTCGGTCGTAAAAAGTCAACTAGTGGCGAAAGCCGCGAAGGTACCCGCGAGCACCATCGTTCCTCGTTCAGCAGCCTACACCGCACGCGGAGTGCCTCGGGGTCGATTGACAACGGGTGGACGTTTGATTCTAACTGGATCTTCAACACTTCACTCTCCGCCGGCGTGCCAATGGGCTCGCTCAGCCGCGAGCAAGCCCAGACCATACTGGACGACCTGCCTGTTTTGCAGAGCATCTGGATGCCCACAGCCGAGGCTCTCATTCTCCAGCGCAAAGTTGTCGGCAGGCCACAAGATATTCGGCGCAACCAGCAGGTCATGCTCGACCTCATCCGTGAGGAGGGGCTCGATAGCATGGACGAGTGGTGCTATGGACGCAAACTACACGACTCGGTGAAACCACCACCAACGACCGCTGGCGACGACGAGGCCGACTGAAGCGGGGGTTCATCACCCCTGACGATCATTACTATCCATCTACTTTTTCATAAGCTGTTTGCGTGCATAAACGAGGAAGGAAAAGGGCATTTGGCAAGGCGTTTACCGGGTATTATCGTGCTTTACGGCGAGCAGGTCGTGACAGTCGACGTCACCACTATTATCATCACACTTTCTTTTCCTTTTTTTGTCTCTTTTGAGGTCAACGCCATGTTTGGGATGGCCATTGTTATGTTATGAGGACAGGATAGATACCGCGTGGGCGGATGCATAGGTCGGCTACGTGTGATTTCATAGCGAGAGCTTGATAGGCTTGACAAATACATTACGCCTTTACGGCGACAATGGCCGAGACGTATTGCGATGGGATATGTTCTTAATTATAAGATTAGTTCGGTAACCTTGGGCGGAACATGTATCATGGCCGCCTTCATTAACTGTGGTATCGCTCTCTCACATAAACGCCCTGCCTGCCTGCCTGCTGGCTGATATAGATAGATAGAACACCATTAGCGCACCAAAACCCATTCATTCGCCTTTTCAGCCGTCAATCATTCCCAGGAAAGGCATCTTCGCTTTGCAAGTAGAATGTGCATGCACCCTTAACGCCGGCCAAAAGCATCAAAGACCCCTTGTCCTGCATACCCGCCGCCATTGCCGCCCTGCGCTCCTGGCACAGCATTATTCGCGCTCATGGCGTACTGCATACCAAGGTACCGCGTTTGCGAGGCAGGGTATTCGCCGAACTCCCGATTGCCAGTGTTATCAGTGTTGTCATTGCTGTTGTTGATGCCCACCGAAGCCTGGTTGTACTGGCTGTATTGACTCTGTGGTTGGCTCGAGGGGTAGTATGGCTGCTGACCCCTGTTTCCGGCATTATTGTGTTGTTGCTGCTGCTGCTGTTGGTGATGATGGTGTTGCTGCTGCTGAGGGGGAGGCGGCTGCTGATATTGAGGTGTTTGCTGGTACGGCCTCTGTTGCTGACCGTTTTGGCCCATTGTAAGGCGCATGTTGGGCCCAGGCGTGTAATTGCCGGATGGTGCTTGGCTCAACATTGGTGCTGCGCCATGGTTCGAGTTCTGGGACATGTTGCTGGCAGTGGAAGCGGAGCGAGGGCCTCCCGATACCCGGCGTCTTTTAGCCTGGTCGTTCTGGCCGGCGTCCGCCCGCTGGCTTCTCGAGGGCTGTTGGTATTGCTGGTCATGGTGCCGCCGTTCAAGTTCGGGCAAGGCCTGGGGTGCAGCATCTTGAACAGATTTTCGTTTTCGAGCATCTGGCGGTACGGCCTGCGGTACCGCAGCATGTGCGCTATTCTGAGGCGCAGGCCTAGCAGCTTGCTGAGGCGACATTGGGACCCAAGGGCTCTCCGCGGGAGGATCCGCCCAATTTTGTGCATGCTGTGACAAGGTCGCTTCAGCGATTGAGTTGTGGGGTCTTTGATGAGCAGGCTGACCCCCATAAGCCGAGCTATATTGATTCTGTGTTCGGGGGTCATCCATAACAGCTTCGGGAGCAGAGGTAGTCGCCGTCATAGGAGCAAATGGGGCTAACGACGCATTGGCTGTCGACGTCGTTTGCTGAGGATTGGATGGTTGTGTTCCAGTGCCAGGTGGCAGATTGGGCGTTGGCACTGTTTTGACCCTGGACCTGGATCCTTTGGGCCTACCCCTTTTACTCGAGCTCGGGCGGTCTACGTCTGCGTTCGCAACGACACTCCCGGCTCCCGTTGGCGTCTCCAGAGGCGCTTGCGATGCCGGTTGAGGTCTTGTCTGAGTAGAAGCTGGGCTGCCTGTATCGTTCGTCGCTTGCTGCAGAAGACGAAGGTCTGCGTTTGTATTATGGGAAAGAGTCTCATTGGTATCACCGTCCGCGCTGGCGCCTTGTTGGCTTTTCCTCCCTTGCAGAGCCAATGGACCTTTCTTAATCCCCTTGTCTTTGCGCGGCGTTTTGCTCTTACTGCCCTTGGGCCGTCCTCTTTTCCTCCTCGGTGGGACATCAGCCTCTGGCGGGCCTGCCTCTTGTGTAGTCGCTGGTGCTGTTGTGGTCGCCGATTCCACCGTGGGCTTGGTTGGAACCGCAGCAGCGGTGCTCCCATTGCCAAATGGCCCTGCGAAATCCGACACATTGGTCAAGGCCGCAGGGTTGCCCGGGAAGTTGGAGAAGGGGGGTTTTGTAAAGTCAGCTGGGGGAAAGATCTCAGAGAACCAGCCTACGAGAAAGGCCCCAGACCCATGCCCCTGTACACTGCTGGGGAAGCTTTCAATGCTGGGTGGCGGAGGCGCGCCAGGGATGCCTCCAAAGTACGCCAGTGCTTTACACAGCTGGTCCACCACAATCACCGGATGCAAGCTTCTTAAAAACGTTAACATTCGAGCCTGCTCGTCCTTGGTGGTCTGACAAGACGGGAGCGTCAGCGGAAACGGCGATTGCTTAACCGATCGCAACGGGGCAGCAGGCGCAGGTCGCTGCTGAGGGCTTGAAGGTCTCCATATGTGCCTGGCATGAGAGGGTCGATTGCCAGAGCTCGCGGCCATGGCTGCTGCTTGTGTAGCCTCACTGCTCCGCTGCGCCGCGCGCTCCCGATTATCTGCCATGGAGGTACTTCGTGGTGCCGCAGGTCCCATTTGCATAACGGCGAAGTTACTGTCAATGTTTGGTCTCGTGCTCAATGCCCTTGGTACCGCAACCTTGACGCGTCCGACGGGTCGCACCGAGAAGGATTGCGTAGTGTTCTGGGCTGGCTGACTAGGTGATCTGCGTGTGACAGCACTCTCGGCGCGAGGTTGGGTACTTGCTGGTCGAGAATTCGGGGGTGCCATCGTCGGCGAAGGATTCGTGGTCTGTGCTGGCAGCTCGGTGGTAGCATGGCCGGCTTGGGGGGGATTTGCATGTGATGCTGAAGGTGAAGGCGTCGGCACCGTATCAGATCTGGGATTCGTCGAGGGCGGTGGTGCTGGGTTGATTGCTGGCTGGGCACTGACAGACTGCTCGACTGGCCTCGGGTCGCTCGTCGGTTCACGTTCATCGCGCGTCTCGCTCCGGTGAAGCCGTGACTCTTCTGCAAGCTGCTCGCCGGGTGACAGACGAGGAGAGTCCTCGTGTGGCGCTGGAAGAAATCGCGTCAATACAGATGATCCAACTCTTGTGTGCGCGCACACTTTGCAGTTGCTGCGATCCCCGACTTACGTGACGCGCCGCCCGCCATTCTGAAAATGGCGCCAGTGGGATCGTGCTTTGTCGAAACAGGTGTTCGCCCAGGCTGAACAACGCACGAGGTACCTCGAACTCGTCGAGCCCTTGGGCGAAGGCTGCATGGGTGCGCGACAGCTGTCGTTGGGTTGGGCGCGGACAATGGTGGTTCGTTGTTTGGTTTGCGACGAAGGCCAAGCCAGGGGTCCAGTTCAGCGGGATTCTGATGGTTCAAGTATCGATCTTTCAAGATCGCCCAACGTGCCAATGGCTTTTTGCTGCTTCAGACCGAGCGAAGAAGTCCGTCAGAGGGATCAAGTCGCCTGACCCAACTAGACGGGTTACAGTCCGAGCTGCTAGACCCGGGTCCAGCGTACTTTCCGTTTCGTGACTGGAGTTTCATTCTTCACCTGAAGAATGGCGCCAACGCCTGGTAGCGACTGCCTTAACTGGAGGGGCATTGCGCCACAGCCTCGCGAGCCACGAATGAATGTGGCTGGAATATCCAGACGAGCTCCAGTTGCCGCTGAGGTCGCACCTTCTGAGGCCGCGGGAGTGCTCATCCAAGCTATTAGATTAGAGCTCCATGATTTCCTGTTCAGCATCGTCCGTCCTCGAGATCTGATACCTTGCTCTTGGATATAGAAGCCTGGTCGGTTTGCGTCTCTCCCCCCAAGTGGACCCCTCGCTGCTCCGACCGACCAAGACCGCACCTCTCCAGCGGACGTACGTCGTCATCCGACACTATCCCCTCCGAACCACCTGGGACACGATCCAAGGCCAAACTCAGACCGCCATGTCCACCAAGTACGCCGTAGTGTCGCTGCCCATTGGCGCATTCGACACGAACGACAAGGACGATGCAGTCTTGGCCCTGAAGGGTCAAATCTCGTCCGACAATGGCACCGTCCTGCCTTTCAGAGTGCCCGACTTCAAGATTGGCACTCTCGACGCCCTTGTACAGCAGGCGGACGACCTGGCCAAGCTCGAGTCGACTGCTGAAGCAGTTGTCGCCAAGGTGGGCGACTCTCTCAAGACGATTCTGGGCGGCGACGAGGACCGCCTAGCCTCCTACAAGATGGTCAACGACAGTGAGTGCTGCTGCTGCCGCGTCGCGCGCGGAGGATGCTGTGAGGCTCACAAGCGATGCAGAACCGACCGAGCAATACATCAACAACTTCTCGTGGAACAAGATCCGCTACCGCGCAGACAAGCCCCTGGGCGAGCTCATAGACACGTTATCAAAGGTGGGTAGGGAACAGGAGTAGCCAGCTGCCACCAGAGCTTGCCGTACTGACCGATTCTTTATAGGAGCTCGTCACTGTGGACAATGATGTCAAGTCAAAGGTGAACCAGTACAACTCAGTCAAGACCAACCTCGCGACTCTGCAACGGAAACAAACGTTTGTGTCCATATCTCTCTTTGGCGCCGCTGTTACTGACCATGACCAGCGGCAACCTGTCCACGAAATCCCTTGCTCCCATCATTGACAGCTCGCTCCTCGTCCAAGACTCCGAGTACATTGAGACGCACCTGATCGTGGTGCCCAACAACGCCAAGAAGGACTTTCTGAAGCAGTATGAGGAGCTTGCCCCCATGGTCGTGCCCCGATCCGCCAATCAGATTGCGCAAGACGACGAGTTCGTCCTGTTTGGCGTCGCCACATTCAAGAAATACAGCCACGAGTTTCTGCAAAAGTGCCGAGAGCAGAAGTGGACGCCGCGCCCGTACAAGTACGTCGAGGGCGGCCGGGAGGAGGAGCAGCGTGAGCTGGACAAGGTGACGAACGAGGAGCGCAAGGTCTGCGGGGAGGCTCTCCGCATCGCCCGCACGGGATGGAGCGAGAGTGTCATGGCCTGGATCCATGTTCTGACCCTGCGCGTGTTCGTGGAGGCTGTGTTGCGGTACGGTCTGCCCTTGGACTATGTGTCTGCTCTGATCAAGGTACGTCTCATTCTCATGTGCGGTTCGCGTTGGCGACCAGGCGCTCACAATACACCAGACCACAAACAAGCTGGCCCCCAAGGTTAAATCGGCCCTCGACTCGCAATACTCCTACATGGGCGGCAATGCATTTGGCCGAGACAAGCGCGGTAGGGTCACCAAGGACGATGCGGCGATGAGCTCAGACATGATGGCGGCGGGTCTGGGCGGCGACGGGAACGAGTACTCAGCCTACGTGTACTACGAGATGGAGCTCCCTTGAGATGGTTCTGTAGATGGCGACGGCACGCAGCGCGGTTCATGGAAGACCACGCATTGGCCGGCTGCGAAGAGTAACGTACAAATGCAGAGAGCATGGCATAGCATACCAACATGTGGCAACAACCGCCCTTTATCTTTCTGTCTATATTTGTCTGTCTGTCTGTCTGTCTGTCTTGATTTCTCTGGTTTCTTTGTTTGATTCTTCTTCGACCGCCGCTTAGGCGGACTTGATGTAGCCCTTGTCGGCCAGCCAGCTGGTGATTTGGGCCACGCACTCCTCGACCGAGTTCTCGTGGGTCTTGATGGTGATCTCTGGGTTCAGGGGCTCCTCGTAGGGGGCCGAGATGCCGGTAAAGTCCTTGATCTCGCCGGCGCGGGCCTTCTTGTAGAGGCCCTTGGGGTCACGCTGCTCGGCGACCTCGAGGGGCACGTCGACGTAGACCTCGACAAAGGGCAGGGGGGTCTCGTCGCCGGCGGTGGTCTGGGCGTGCAGCTCCCTGGCGAGGTCACGGTCGGCCCGGTAGGGCGAGATGAAGCTGGTGATGGCAATGGTGGACGAGTCGGCAAAGAGCTTGGCGACCTCGGAGATGCGGCGGATGTTCTCGTTGCGGTCCTTCTCGGAGAAGCCCAGGTCCTTGTTCAGGCCGAAGCGCACATTGTCGCCGTCGAGACGGTAGGCGGCGACACCGAGGTGGAGGAGGTGCTGCTCGAGGGCGGTGGCGACGGTCGACTTGCCCGAGGCGGAGAGGCCGGTGAGCCAGAGGGTGATGCCCTGCTGCTTGCGGAGCTCGTTGCGCTCAGTGCGCTTGAGGGAAGGGTGCCAGGTGATGTTGCTGGGCTTGGTGTCAGTACAGTATCATTCTTGGACCAGGGACAGCACGCACGTAGCCATTGTGTCTTGTGTGTTAGGAGGTTGAGGGTATTCAGAGAAGAAAAGAAAGCAACGAGAAGAGTAAACAAACCCGCTTGGTCGAGGATGGGGAAATCAATAATAATTGCGCCAGATGCAGTCTGTCTCTGCCTGTCTGTCTGCCCGTCTGTCGCACTGCCTGCGATGAGGGGTGGAGGGGCAGCGGGGCAGAGACGGCAAAGACGCCATCAGCGCCCCGAAATTTCTCATCCATGTCGCCATCCATTGGGAGAGTCAGTTAGTCGGACCGTCGCTGTCGGTGCCGATGGGCCATCTATGGGCTCTTGTCGCATTCTGAAGCTCAATCTGCCGATCCGATTTGTGGTGCTGCAGGCTCTGCATGGTGATATGATGTCAGTCTCACCGCCGTTTGAAGTTTGGGTTACGATACTGTCATGGGGATCTACATAGGTCAAGTAGTAAAATACAGTCTATCCACGCGCAAGATCCTTGTCTAGAAAGGCATCGCTGTGATCTATACAAAATATATCGCCAAATGTATCAAGCAGTCATGGAGAGAATGGGCTTCTCCTCTATCAGTCAGTGCAAGTGTCGTCGCCGTCTTAGGTAATCCTGGGCATCATCTACACAGAGAGGAGCGTCAGTGAGGCACCTTTCATGAGCGACTGTTTGCGACTTACCGCAGCATATTTGGGCGAGATGAAGAGGGCCTCCGCCTCGGCAAACACAATGGGCTTCTCGCCTGGCGCAGCCAGCTGCTCCAGACGGCCCCTGACCCAGGCCTTGCGACCTTCTACCTTGTACGTCTCCGCCTTGAGGACCAGGAACGTGCTCGCCGGTGTGGGTTTGCGATAGTTTATGTTTAGGTTCGCCGTCACGGCAATGTTGTGAGGCAGACTCTTGAAGCAGCAGCGGCCCAGACCCTCGTCCAGTATGGTCGCGATCAGCCCGCCGTGCACGATGCCTGGGTGTCCGCAGACGTCCTCGCCCACGTGGAACAGAGCGACCATCTCCTTGCCGTGCTCGTCGTTCCATGCGTACGGCGGCACAGAGACCCTGCCTGGGCCCAGCAGCGCGCCTCCTGTGAGGCTCTTGGCGCGGTACTGGCCCGGCATCTTCATGTGCGGCCTGGACTCTGTGAGATCGGAGCGCGCTCGTAACGACGTGACGAGAGGGTGTGTGTTGATGACTTGCTCGGCGTTCTTGGCTTCGAGGTCGGCTTCTTCCGGCGTGTACTTTTTCAGGCTGTCCTCGTCCGAGTAGAAACCCATGCCGCGCGAGCTCATGGCTTGCCATGTTGCGGCTGCGCCCAAGGTCGAGAATGCGAAGCCTGTCAGGAGAAACTTGGCTGCGCGACTACCCGCGCCGCCAGGTGGTTTATTTGATGCTACCTGCGTCAGCAACATCCATCAATCTGTTGAAAAGGGGAACGGTACATGTCGTCTCGGCTGCGTAGCCTCGTCTTTGGACGGCGCGCCACTTTGTCTGGCCCAGGCGACGCGCTGTGCGCCCGGCATGCTGCGCGAACATGGCTGTGCAGGTTCGAGAGTACGAAAAGAATCAACCAAAAGAGTGACGGGCTTGTTCCTGGCGTAAAGTCTATGCAATTGGAACTGCGATGCTAGTGGAAGTCTGATTCCTCAACTCAAGTCACCGAGGTCCAGGGTCCTCGCATACATACATGAATCCCGGCAGCTTATGCATGTAAGAGGAACTTCGGCACTTGGGTCATTCCGCTGAGCCGACGATGGCCTCCACGCCAATGTGAGGCTTCTTCATGCGTCGTGTAAACATGAAGAAGGACAATCACGCTCTCTCACTGCAAAAGTATAGATCCATCGTTCGTATGCAGGCTGCAGCACCAGCAAGGCAATACAGCAATATTATGCCTGCACTCCCCCAACTATCGCCTCGCCAATCCCTGGCCCTGACATCACACCGTCTGCATATGCCCTGGATGGCTGCGCGTCCGCATGGCAGTGACCAGGTTTCAGCCATCACCCAACGTGCATCCATTGGACCTGGCCCAGCCTGACGTGCCACAATAAGCCATGTTCCCAGGATGCTCAGCGTGTCGCATCACGAGCTGACGTGCGGGGGAAGCTTGGTGTAGGCGTTTGTAGCAGTCGCTTGCAAGTATAAATACGTGATCACAGCTTCTAATTGTTGTCTATCGCCTTTCATCCTCACTTGTGATTGTCTAATTCGAGAAACAACGCGCAATGGTAAGGAAAACTATCACTATATCTGGTACAAGAGACTTACAAAGTGTCTAGGCCACCGCTGAAACCGTCGACCTGGGCCCAGCCCATCCCCCCAAGGAAGACTCCATCGTCGCCTTTGAGCATCTCCTCCCCGAGCTCAAGAGCCAACTCGCCCGCATGCGCCGTGACTATCAAAGTACGCACACAAGGCTCCCAGTAGCCAACGTGGCATATGTATGGACTGGACTGACTTGACCGTCGCGACGCAGAGCACGAGACCGAGTACTTTGCCGCCGCACAGAAGCTCTCCGACGACGACCTGACGGCCTTCCAAACGTCCGACTTCACCTCGGTCCGCGTCGCCACCACGGCCTACGGCATCCATCTCTTTGGCAAGATCCGCATACCGGCCCTGGCCGAGAGTGGTGGCCCTGCCTACATCCACGTGAGGATCTTCATTGCCGGAGGCGACGAGCCGCCCAAGCTGCACAGCATCCACACCGAGGAGAAGGACGACGAGAGTGGCGGCAAGACGTACCGCGCCATCTTCACAGAGCAGGATGAGCTGGAGTGGTTTGACACATAGTCGCGCTGTCGCACATGTGACGCCTCCCCTTTTTGAAATTGAATTCGCTGCTGTTCTTTTGTGCATTACATATCCTGCGCACCCGTGTTCTATGTGAAGTCTTCGTCGGGCTCCTGGCCCAGCAGCTCGGCGTAGTCGTCCACCGAGGCAAATGTCGGCAGGCCCTTGAGCTCCTTGCGACGGTTCTTGCGCTTCTCCTTGGCCTCGTCCCTTGCCGCCTTGTCTGGGTCTTCCTCCACGGCCACGAGACCATCCGAGTCTTCAGCCTCCTCTGCTTCGTCGTCCGTGCCTTCAATGTCAACGCCGCCCTCGCTGTCGGTGTCGACCTCCATGTCATCATCGTCCAGGTCAAACGCGCCTTCCTCATCATCGTCCTCGTCATCCGAGGCCATCTCATCGTCGTCCAAGTCGTCGAAGCCCTCAGAGTCGTCGTCCCCTTCAATGTCAGGCTGGGCAGCCACAAGGGCCTTCCAGATCTCATCCTCGGCGCCCTCCTCGTCGTCGGCGCCAGCACCGGCCGTCTTCTTGGCGGGCTTCTTGCCCTCCTTGCCAGCCTGCTGGAAGTACTTGTGGAAGAAGACGTCCTCGGCCGCCACGTCCTCTGACTTCTTGTCCTTGAATGTGGCCGAGTTGACGGACGTGGGCGCCGCACCGGCAGCGCGGCTGCCGAGCCAGATGTCGCCGAGGTCCTTGGTGGCCTTGAGGGGCTGCATGATCGACACACCGCGCGCACTGTCGGTGGCCTTGGGCTGCTTGTAGACAAACTTGTCTAGGAAGCGGATAAGCGAGTGGCTGTCCAGATCAGGCTTGGTCGCCTTGGCGTTCTGCTCCAGCGCTGATGTGGCATAGGCTGACACGGAGGGATGGTAGTGGGCCAGCACGGGTATCTAGATGCTTGTCAGACAATGATCACCGCATAAGAGATGGGCTTTCAAAACTTACCAGTTCCCAGAGACAGCTCCTCTGAGCGTTGCTGTACTCGGGATCTCGTTTCCGCCCATCGTACACGGGCCTGTTCTCCGAGTCGTCGTCAAAGATAGACTCTTCAGGTTCGTTGATGAGCGTCTTGAGATCGGGGAACGTCCCTTGCAGGTGTGCTACAACGTAGAGCAGACCACACACGAAGGCTGGCTGGTGCAGATGCGTCATCTGCAACATGCGCTTCGCAAAGGCCTTGACACGTCTCACGTCCACGTCGTTCTTCAACGCGCGTAGGAGGAGATTGAGGTACAGCGATTGCTTCGAGGAGGTGATCAGGCGAGGGTCGAGGAGGGACTCGTACAGCGTTCGGTAGAAGCGGTCGGTTCCCAGACTCCTGGCAGTGGAAAGGTGCTGGATCAGGAGGAGGGCTTGGATGCCGGTGTTGAAGTTGGCGGAATGTGCAATCTTAAACAATGTGTCCATGTGCGCCTCCATGATAGTGTCGTTGGTGCCGACGAACGGTGCGGCGCGGTTGACACCGGTCAGGATGGCTGACACGAGCTTGTCGGCTGCGTCAATGTCCTGCTCGGTCGGCTCCCCAGCCTTTCCTTTGGCACCAGGCTTTGTTGGCTTGGCTGGCTTTCCATTCTCGGGTTTGTTGTAATCGACCTGCAGGGCAGCCCCTAGGCTGCCACCCTTCAGAAGAGTCACAAACAGCTCAAAGTAGATGCCCATCAGCGACTCGGCAATTTGCGATTCCCTGTTGCTGAGGATGGTCTGGTTGAGCGTGTTGATGGCGTAGTATTTGGAGCGGTGGTCCTGCGAGGGATGAAGAAGAATCTCCTGGTGGATCATCTGGATGATGATTTGCTTCATGCCAGGATGGGAGATTTGCATTTGCAGCACAAGGTAGGAGGCTCGCGATGCGATCTTACGATCACGGTCACCCAGCTTGTTTACCAACAGTCTCAGCAAATTCGACTCCTGTTCGGGCTTGTCCTTGAGGAGACCGTAGACAAAGTCCAGTGCGCGAGAGCGGGAGTACTCAATCTCATCCGAGCACCACACCTCGAGGAGCTGCAGAACCTTGAAGTAGGTAGCCTTCAGCCAGTCCTCAAAGGCCCAGCTGACGAGGTGCATGGGGGTCAGTTGTCCAGGCAGTGGTTTCTCGGGGCTCCACGACTTTGTCGAAGTCTTCTGCAGCGTCCCGATGAGGCCGGGCTGTGTCATAAACGTCCTCAAGCGTCGTTCCGAGGGTAGCAAAGAGCCGGGACCGCACAGATCGACGATGGCTCCTATCGCGCCAATGGCCTGCGCCCTGCTCTTTTTGGAGGCGAGACTCATCAGGGCGTCAAAGGCCTTAATGTTGTGCAGTGGCGATTCTTGAATCGCCAGAGTCAAGGCAGAGACTTTATCGTTCAGGGTACCCGATGACATGATGGTCGACAAGAATTTGTGCGAGGAAGAAGCGTGCTTGCTGCTGCGGTACTTGGCGGCATCACTCTCGAGCAGGGTCTCAGCATGGCGTTTGAGGGCTTCCATAGCGGGAGTGAAAGGTCCGACTTGCTCTGTCACGGGCTTTGGTAGTTTGGGCAATCTGATAATGTGCCAGTCTGCCCTTGGTTGAAGGATCTGTGTCACTAGTCAGCGGTCAGAGGCGCTTGGTGGAAGATGTATGGACTCACCATATCTTCAGGTTTCCGTGGTGCCTGAACAACATCCTCGTCGTCTGCGCCATCTTCCTCGGCCGAGACCTGGCTGTCCTCGTCCTCCTCGCCATCGTCATCCACCGCCTCATCCTCAACTTCAGGCTCACTTGCTTCACTGGGCGCATACTCAGCGAAGCCAAGCTCTTTGGACAAGGCTGCCAGCTCATCCTTGAGCTTCTTGTCCACGGGCTTCCTCGTGTCCTTGACGTACTCATCGTCCGACGAGTCGATGTCTTCGATGAGTTTGAGGTCCTCCTCATCGCCACCCAGCGCCAGGATCTCATCGAGCAAAGCCTTCTTCTCATCACTCATGCCACCTGATCGCGCGCCATTCTTGCCTTTGGGGCTTGCTTTGGCTGGTCCCGTGCTTGAGTTGCGCTGCCTTTTGCGGATCTCGCCTCCCGTCTCATTGCTGCTTGGCGGGTTCTTTCGCTTATGGTCGCTGCCTGCTGCCGCCTTGCCGTTGAGTTTCTGGTCGATTGACGAGGTCAGCTGGGCAAGGGCCGCCTCGTTGAAGGGCTTTTTGCCCTGAGGACCCTTCTGGGGCTTTCCCTTCTTCTTTTCCGCAGCCATGGTGAGATCTCGGGCAATGGGCGACCGGTTGATGCTCCTTGGCTGTATGAAGTGAAAATTATCAGTGGCCGCCGTCAACTTTTTTTGAGATGCGATGCGATAAGCCCCACATCTAATGCGCCCATTGCGCACTAGCCCAAGGCAGTTTAGCCTAGGGGTCCCTAGTGGGAAAGGTGTGGCTGGTGTCGGTTGCCTGCGCCACATCTAGAAACTCCCGAGGACGAGGAAGAGGTGTGATCTCGTTGCTGTGAGGTTCACCACGACGGACATCAGCGAGAATAATTTCGCTCCTATGCAACCCAGGGACGAAAAAAACTAATGAGAAGCGTCAATGCGATGACAGTAGTTGGCATCTCGCGGCTGAGCCGATCGGCTCAATCGCGTCTGTGCCTGTCGCAAACCGTGAGATGGATATCATGCACTGGTCATCGCGCCCAGGCGACAAGATGGACAATGTCTACTACTGTCTGGACGCCCCCAGTAGGCCGCACGGCAACGAAGGGAGAATGTTGGTCACGCGAAGCGACTGTAAGATCTCAATGAGGCTGATATGATGTAGCAGGACACGACAAACTCATTCGGACTGGGTTTCTCAGAAACGTAGGACCAAGTGCTGCTCATTGTTGAATGACCCGAGTATGCTGAAACAGACGCAGACGCAGCCTGGCATATTTCACATGCTACCGTTGGGGTTGAGGGTGCAAGAGAAGATCGAGAAGCTCCTGGACAAGCACATGCACTCAATCGGGGCTGCTCGCCTCGCATTGTCAAGCCTTTCCTCAGCGCAGCTCTGGGAGCAAAGTGGTCGGCTTTCTCAAGTCAGCGGCGAGGTGTGATGATCTGGTCACCTGTTTTTGATGTTCCCGAGCTGACAATGGCAGCTCTTCCAGCTTGAGGACCGCAAGAAGCACCGCTTCTTACTGGCCCCTACGCACGAGGAGGAGATCACCGCGCTGGTGGCAGCTGGTGTTAACTCGTACAAACACACGCCTCTCCGATTATACCAGACCAGTGAGTCGTCTTCTCCTGAAAAGCAGTGCACGACTAACGAATATGCCCAGCACGCAAGTACCGCGATGAGATACGCCCAAGACACGGCCTGCTAAGGTCACGAGAATTCCTGATGAAGGATCTTTACAGCTTTGACTGGTCTTACGAGAAGGCTTTTGAGACTTATAACTTGGTTGCCAAGGCATACCAGCAGTTTTTCAAAGACCTCAATCTGCCCATTATCGTGGCCGAGGCCAGCTCCGGCGACATGGGTGGCAAGCTCAGTCACGAATACCATCTGACCAGCCCTATTGGGTCGGATACAATCTACACCTGTAATAAATGCGATTACGCTTCCAATGACGAGGTCGCTTCGCCTAGGCTCCCCGCTGCCGACGAAGTGATCGGAGGGGAGGCAGTTTCCGTTCCAATTTTGGCATGGACGGGTGTCACCACGGACAGGAAGACACTGGTCAATGTCTGGATACCAAAAGACGCCGGGGACCCGAATATCCACGCCATCAAGGCCGCAGTGCCTGATCTCGATACGACGCTTTCGGGCCAGCCCGCAAATCAGGCTTGGGAAGACCAGCACAATTCCACCACGGCTGGAGGGCCACCTCTAGTCAAGCAGTTGATTGACGGCCGTCTGACGAAACTTATGACAACAGTCGATGAGCTCCTCGACGCTGGAGAAGGCCACACCGTCGAGAAAATAAGTCAAGACGAGGATTGCCAGCCTCTGAATCTTGTTCGTCTCAAACAAGGCGATGCCTGTCCACGCTGCGAGGGAGGTAAAGTGCAGACGCACCGCGCCCTGGAGCTTGGACATACCTTTTACTTAGGAACCCGCTACTCCGAGCCCTTTAGTGCCAAAGTGGCAGCGGCCGACCCAAAGCAGCCCAAAGTGACCCTCTCTATGGGTTGTTACGGACTGGGCATCTCACGCATATTCGCGGCCCTCGTGGAGCACTTTGTCACTGAAAAGGGGCTCCAATGGCCCGTCGCCATCGCGCCATTCCATGTCTACGTCGTTCCCACCATGGAGATGACGGACGAAGCCTGGAAGCTCTATGATGCCATCTCCGCGAGCAAAGAGCAAGACAAGGCGCTTGACGTTGTGGTGGATGACCGCAAGGTTTCCTTTGGCTGGAAGATGAATGACGCCGAGACCATTGGATATCCCATTCAAGTTGTTCTCGGTAAGAAGTTCCAGAAGGACGGGATCTGCGAGGTCCATGTCCACAAGTATAGGACGAGGGCGGATGTTTCTGTGAACGAAGCGCCGACGTACATTGCGGAACAGATCCGCAAGATTGAGCAAGATGAAGGTGTATCACCACAAATGCGAATATGAAGAAGCACAGCACAAAGACGCAAGTCGAGGGCATCGCTACTGCATGGAGTGGAACCAGAACAGCCGCGTGTAGGAGCGGTGGACAGCCTTCCATGGCTATGTATGATACGTTGGGGCTGTAAGAGAGAGCGATGTTGTACAATGCATAAACAAGCAACTCTGGACACTCTGGCACTGCATCATCATCATGCCTTCGCAAATCCCGATATTCCACTGCAATTGCTTTTCCAAGGTCAGAAATTTGGACGCACTCGTCATGCCAACGCGGTATACCATGTGTTCCGGCCCGTGGCCGTGCTGGACAGCTGCATATGCCGGTGGGGGTCAAGAAGAGGGTTCTCTCAAAGCATGTAGACTGACTACTGGTTCACAGAACATAATAATAGTAACACAGAGGCGGGCAGCATCCGGATCGCGGCATTCGATCGAGTAGCAAGCCACACGCAGAGATCGAGGGTCTAGTCCGGTCCAGAAACGCCTATTCATCTGTCTGCCGTTTGTCGAGGTGGAACTCCATGTCGATACTGATTGCCTTTCGCCCATACCTGGAAGACTATGTGGGATTCTGTTGGGTTCCAAGATTTCTTAGGCGCTCTCTTTCCAGGATCGCAAATTTCTCTCAGTAAAGTGAAAGCTGTCACTTACCGTCTCCAATCATCCAGAACACATGTTGTTGACTGGACTTAGTCACTAACTCGCACCAATATCATGCGTTACACCACGCAGGAAGCACAAGCTTGCGTCGATGTCTTGGATGGACGAATGACTTTGAGCATGAGGGCCCGTCCTTGGCCTGCCATAAAGGTGAGCAGAAAATCATACGACTATTTCAATAAATCCAAGCCGCAGTGCAACGCTTCCTCCGCCTGTCGCTCCGTTGCAGTTGATGCATATATGGAGGCCTGAGGACTGGCGCTGAGTCCTGCTGCAGGCTCAAGTAAGCCACGAACGCCTTACATATATCGTCCGCTGACGGCGTCGGAGCAAAGCGACAGACGGTCCGCATGAGTAGGAGTATGTTTCATACGGAAATTTACGCACCATTTACGCAAGAACACGGAAAGTCTGCATCTTTGTCTCACAGACCGGTCTCGCCTTTCAGTCCCCATCAATATTAGCCTCCAGGTAGGCAGCGATGAATGCAGAGGGATCTCCGCACGGCATGACGACTGATACAGGTAGCTCTCTGGACTTGACTCGGTGTGGATTGGGCATTGTACTCCTCCACGCAAGCCTGCAAGAGCAAGCCAAGTAAGACACTGGTCATCTGGAACCTCCTGTCCTCGCCTTGCAGCTTCCGCTGAGGATGAGGATGAGGCGACGCCGGGGGCGGTCAAGATGTTGTCGTTTGCTGGTTACATCAGGCTTTGCCCGGGCTACGATGTCGATGCCCTGGGCGGGTATATAAAGGAGTCCTCCTCGCGGGTCTTGCTACACTCCTATTCTCAAGACTATCAACACTCTTCCCGACAACCTCCTTCAGCTACATCCCAAGCTACAAAGCATCTCGAGAACTTGAACCAAGATGGCCTATGCTCAGTGGGTTTACATCCTCCTGCAGACGCAGGCGGCGATGAGCCAGAGCAATATCACGCTTCAGAACGTGCATCTCAATTGGTAGGATGACTCTGTGCAAGTCCATCAACTTGATTCTCACACCGTCCAGGGGCAAGTTTTTCGAATACGACAACAAGGACAGGGAGGTTTCGGTCGATCAGGTCCAGAAGACTTCCATCAAGCCTGGTAACCAGGTCGGAATTGCTGCCTGTGGCCGGTCCGATGCCTCCTCTGGTACTGAGGGCAGCTTTGAGATTTGGGACGGCGAGACCAAGATCTGCAAGGTGTACTGGGACTGCCCCTGGGGCTCCAAGACCAACACCTTTACCGTCTCCGAGCTCAATGACGTCTATTCCGTCGAAGCAAGGGGCGCCAACCTGGACAGTGGTGCTCTTGGAAACGTCACCGTGAGGATCAGCAAGTGGGCCTAAATAGGCAGCATTGATGAGTGTTTCGCCAGACGAAGATGAGGAGGATGTTCGTCTGTATGGGGACGTACGTATAGTGGCCTGCTCTGATTGTATCTACCAGCTTAGTACGAGCTCTCTCTAAAATCACAGCACTCATTGCCTTCGAGAATTGTTTGCCCCCTTGACCAACCATCAGTCTGAGCTTCTTTATCTCTTTTGAATTGTGAGGTCGGATATCAGTTGGACCATAAGTCTTTGCCAGGCTATGATAAACTGTTTCCCTCGCTGGGAGTAATTCCAATCTTTTTCTTCGGCGCGCGCCAGAAATTCGTGCTGTCTCATGTCGTTGAAAGAGTTGTGTATCTTTTGTAAATATAATACTGGCGAAGGTACCAGGTAGTCAAAAATACACAGTAGCCGTTAGTCAAGGTGGGTGGGGCAAGTCCAGGCAAGGTCCGCACTCGACCTCACCTCCATCGCGGGGCGTCGCAGCGCAGCTTCAAAAGAGAGCTCTCGCATCTACAACCAGCACAATGTCCGCCCAGCCACAAGGGGAATCAGGTCCTGACCCTCTCCGTTGCTTTTCTGCGTTCTAGCATGCATCGCTGACAAGCACACAGTCAACCTCGACACGCTCCATCCGGAGCAGCTCGCCCAAGTCAAGAAGCAGCTCGACGAGGAGCTCGAACACCTCACCAACTCCTTCCAACAACTCCACGGCGCGTCGAACAAATTCCGAGATTGCTTGCGTGTCGTAAAGTCGCGACAACAGGCCGCAGAGGGTAGGGTTCGTGCCACGCGCAGCGACAGGGCATTTCAAGCTGACGAGGGTGTCAGGATCGAATAATGTGCTGGTCCCATTGACGAACTCGCTGTACGTGAGCGGGCAGTTGACGAATACCGATCGTGTGTTGGTGGATATTGGCACAGGTTTCCTCGTGGAAAAGGTAGGCAGCCCGTCGTCAGGTTGATGTAGAGGGATACTCACGCAGGCACAGGACCTCAAATCGGCTGCAAAATTCTACGAGAACAAGGTCACAGACCTCACAAACAACCTGAAAGATCTCGAGACCATTGTGCAACGGAAACAGCAAAACGCACGGACGATTGAGGAGGGCAAGTCTGAGTTACATAATTTCTTCCCCGGGTTCTCGCCGCTAACAATAGCTCCCAGTACTAAGGCAGAAGATCATGGCCCAGCAGGCCCAGGGAGAACAAGCGCAAGCCGCATGAAAATATATCAATAAAACTTTTCAACTCCAACTCCGCACCTTCCCATTGTTTTCATGAAGCACCCGTGCTACGGACGTGCCGATTGAGAATTTTGGAATCTCAAAGCTCGATCAAGTCCTCGGACGAATCGGTTTCGCGGTCGCTGTCTTTTTCTTCGTGTCCGCTGCCCAGATCCATATTTTCGAACATGGTTGACATAGCGTCTGAAGCCTTTCTAGGGCTGGTGAGCGCCTCGGGGGGTTCGGTGAAGTCCAGGTCGATCAGATCGTGGTTGGTTTTCTCCGTCTCCTCTTGAATCCCTCGTTGTTTCTCACTGTTGTCGTGTACTTGCTCTGCAGTACTCAAGCCGCGGAGTGTATCCTGCACTGTCAGGATGCAACGAACGAATTGTTCAAGCCTCTGACGGAGACTCTGGCCGGGCGCCTCCTCATGCCACACGTCTTTGAAATCCGAGCCCCAGTCACGGCCATCTCTACCGCTTAGATTCATGGCCTCCTCCCAATGCTCCGAGTACATCTCGATACTCCAGGTCGTCAGGGGCTCAGCTTGGAGCTTGTCATCCCACTGGCGAGTCGCGCTGACCTCGACTACGTATTGTGTGCCCGCTAATGGAACGATCAGAGAGCTTTTGACGCAGGTTTTGATGATGTCGAGACCCTTGACCGTCCAAGGGCGATTCAGTCGAGGCTTGAGAAGCTCAAATGCCTCCATTGGCTCGTCTTTGCTCCACTCGAAGCTGATATTCTTCAGGTACTCGTTACAGCGAGTGGGCATCTCTTGACTGATTGTTGAGTTGATGCGAAGCATCCAGTCGAAGTCTCTGAAAAGCTGAGGTTAGCTCGGTGTCACGCAAATATTATCTTGCACCTTGGTCTTACTCTTCTGGCGCAATCGCGCACCAGTCTAGGTGTGGCACAGCGACCGGCTGTTCTAGCCTTTCGTTACCCAGACGTTTCTCGAGGATCACAGCCCGTAGTTCGCTGTGCATCTCGCTCTCTAGAATGGTCGTGATCAGCTCGTTTCGTCTGGTGCACTCGTCCATGGGCAAGCCGGGACCTCCGCGGCAAGTGAGCAACTTGATGGCCTCGTCTACATTTTGCAGGTCTGCCAACCTGTCTAGACGTGAGTTACAATGGACACATTAGACACCAGGGAGCTCAACTAACCGTGTTGCAAGAGCGGCGGCATGGCCGCGGTTCTGGTAGAATTGGAGGGCTTTCTCAAAGGACCGGTAGGACAGCTCATCTGGCACATCCTTTCTCCTCTTTTCAATATTAAGCCGACCGAACGAAATTCGCATTTCCAGGAACTGCGCTGATGGTAGGTTCATGGCGCCATAGGCGGCATTGGGAACGTCAATAACAAGCCGATCCAGGAGACTTGACATGACCGCCGGGTGCTCGGCAGCAGGAGGTCCACGCAGCAGGTTCTTGCCAATGACAAACGGTCTCTCTGACACCTCCAAGGAGATCATTGCAGTCCAATCTGACCGTGCGGGTGGCTGGAGGAACAGGGTTCGCGAGAAGGAACGCTGAATCTGGCGCAGAATGTGTAGCCTGTTGGCTATGGCATTGTGTGCAGCGTCCATTTGCATCTTGTCCTGACTACGCAGAATGAGCATAAAAGGAACACCTGTTAGAGTTGACTCCTCAATAGTACAACCAGTATCTTTGGCGATCTGGTCGAAGAAACCTTCTTCTTTAATCTCATCGGGTACAAGGCTGTCGCTGGCGATGATGAACGCACCCTGGGCACTCGTCAGATCCGCGATGAAGTAAGTGCCTCTCGGGCTTACCTCAAGCTGCGCCGACTCTTCGCGTTCTCTCGTGAGCTTCTCCTCTTCCTCATCGCGCTGCTGGGTTTGAAGAGCCTTGATGGATTGCATCGACTTCGTTTGAGCAAACCTCTTCGCACCGCGGCCACCAGGGCCACCACGAGCTCGGTCTGAGGCCATGCGCCAGCCATTGGGCTCAACGTTGCCCATGGCGATATTACACAGAACAACTAGGCTGCAAGATGGATGGGACCAGATGTTGGTGGTATATGTAGAGTTAAAGAAAGTGAGGAGACGATGTGGAAGTTGAGTTGGTCGAGGAAGGCGAGGCTGCTCCCGGGTACTTGCCTTAAGTACGGCGAAGCACTTTAAGGAAGGTACGTCACCAGCCACTCAACAGGCCTGCTGGCCTGCTGTGTTTTCTTTCGTTGTCACCGCTGAACTATCTGTAAGGGCAGATCCTGGCCTGATCTTGAGCTGTTGGTGTGATTGTAGCGTGCATTATCAAACACAAAACATGGGACGACTCAGATCGGCCTTGTTGTTGTTTACACCGATTACGAGATGTATCATTTTTCCAGTTGGAGTCTATGGGGTCTACTGTACACGGAAGACTTTGCCCGCAGACTCTTGGGAGGGCCTTTAAACAGAGCTGTTCCTCTTCTGCTCACTCGTCCTGTCACGGGGCAGGAAACGACTGTATAATAGGTCTTGGGGCTACAGGCCATTCACAATGATCAGTCCGTGTGGATATTCACTTTTGACCCAGTGGGACAATTGCACCCCTTTGTCCGCAACACGTCCTTAGAAGAGCTCCAGTCCGTGGATGTGGCAATGTAGTAGGAAGTGCCCCTACAATCCGTTCAGGAATACAGTCTTTCAACATTCTTGGTACTACCAGAGTGTGAGTGGTAATTTCAAGCAGCTATGCTCGAATACTGAGCTGGCTCATGCTGCTGCTCCAGATTACATGTAGACGAGGGAGTGCGAAGCCGCATCTGGTACTCCCGAGTAGGTAACCAAGTATAGTAGATGATACTCTGTCACTTTAGTAACACAGATATTACTTTGACACCTTACGCAGAGCATAGACTCAAGTCGACATGGAGGCTGCTGTAGCTGATCACCCCCTGAGTCCTACTTGTAAAGGGGCAATTGGGGGACGCAAGCCCCTCCGTTTGGACAAACTTCCAACAATCACCATGAGACCGTCAATTTTGGAACCAAACAGCTAAGTGGTAACAAATTAATAGACTTCCCGACTGTTGTGCTGACTCCTTTGAGACAAATGAACATCGCTCGCGATCTGACCATAGACCCAATTAACGGGGTTATGCACCTAAGCACCACCAGTCAACGACGCGTCTCCCAGGCGCGTAAATGACCAGAACCTCTCTCGACGAGGCACGCAACTCGAATTTCCCACAACCACCCCAAAATGACTGCTCAGGGTCACTCTCCAGAACAATTGCTACGGAAACGAAGGGCTCCAAAGGGCGTGTCGCGCGAGGACTCGGACGACGAACTCGGCAGCGAAGATCTGCCCTGGGAATGGATCTACGACTCGGCGACTACATCAGCGCAACCACGAGACCCTGCCAACGATGAGCCGACTGGCGAGCGGAAAAGGCGGAAGGTGTCCTCCAGGAATATTGTCGGTGCGAAGATTGGCGAGTTTGTGTGCCGAGTTGGCGACTGTGTCCTGCTCAAGGCCGAAGGGAGCGGGGAGGCATGGATTGGCATGATCTGCGAATTCATCGAGGACGATGATGGGGAGGAGGAGATGAGCGCGAACTTCATGTGGTTCTCGACGGAACGCGAGATTCGCAACAAGGATAAGAAGAGGACAGATTATCTTCCGGTGAGTATAGACGGCTGTTTGGCCTGGCCTCTGCTCGAGTGGACTTTGAGGCTAACAAGCTTAGAATGAGCTCTACATCACGCCTTCGTGGGATGTCAACCCCTTGGCGTCGATCAATGGGAAAGCAAAGATCATGTCCCTGGGCGCTTTCGAGAAGGAGTACCCCAGTGGAAAGGTGCCGAGGCAGTCACCGGACTATGGCAAGACATTCATTTGTCGTAGGGGCTGCAACACACGGACAGCCTCGTATACGGAGGAGTTCATCTGGGAAGAGGTTCTCCAGAGCACCGAGGATGTGTTCAAGATGATCCAAATGGTAAAGGACAAGACCAAGGCCACGAGAAGACGCAGACGCGCGAGGAGTCAATCGCCACAAGATGACTATCTACCACCTCAGACACCAACAAAGACTGGGCGTGGTATGAACGTTTCGACGCCACAATCTAGGCGGAGTATCGCAACCCCTGCTTCAAGAAAAAGGTAAATTGCCATGACCTGCCCTGCTAGTCGCTGATCACCTAACAATCTCCAGAAACAAAACACTCGAATTTACACCTTTGGCCACTCGCAAACTCTCACCGAGCCAGATTGAGGGCTCGCCTTTCCAGGTAGCTCGCAACCGTCTGCACGTCTCTTCCGTTCCCACTAGTCTCCCCTGCCGCGAAGGCGAGTTCTCGCTGGTGTACTCGCACCTCGAAGCCGCCATCAGCGATGGTGCCGGTAACTGCATCTACATCTCCGGCACGCCTGGCACGGGCAAGACGGCCACGGTCCGCGAGGTGATTGGCAGGCTGGAGGAGTCTGTCAACATGGACGAGCTGGATGATTTCATCTTTGTCGAGATCAACGGCTTGAAGATTACAGATCCGCACCAGTCATACACCTTGCTGTGGGAAGCACTAAAGGGCCAACGGGCGAGTCCAGCACAAGCTCTCGATCTGCTGGAGCGGGAATTCAGCAACCCTAGTCCGCGACGGACGCCGTGCGTCGTCCTGATGGATGAGCTTGATCAGCTCGTCACCAAGAACCAGGCTGTCATGTACAACTTCTTCAACTGGCCTACGCTCCGCCACAGTAGGCTTATTGTCCTAGCCGTGGCGAACACTATGGATCTGCCAGAGCGCACGCTCAGCAACAAGATCAGCAGTCGTCTAGGTAGGTTGTCTCACACAGCTTGATTAGTAGTAGATGCTAACGCACACGCCAGGTTTGACACGAATCACATTCCCAGGCTACAACCACGACCAACTCATGAAAATCATCCAGTCACGACTAGAAGGTGTACCGGGCAACATTGTAGATCCAGACGCCATTCAATTCGCTAGTCGAAAGGTAGCCGCCGTCAGCGGAGACGCCCGTCGCGCCCTCGATATCTGTCGTCGCGCCGTCGAGCTCGCAGAAGGCGACATCCAAGGCGACCCAGGCACGCCTAGCAAGACAGGTCGCGCCGATGGCTCGAAGGCCAGCTCCAACCGCGGCCGGGTCACCATTGCCACCATCAAAAAGGCCATCAATGAGGCCACCACCAACCCCATCCAGCAACACCTCAAGAGCCTGCCCCTCATGTCCAAGCTCCTCATGGCCATGCTCATGCTACGCATCCGCAGGACAGGAATGGTCGAGACGACGTTTGGCGAGACCCTCGACGAGCTGCATCGCGCGAATCTCCGTGCCTCCTCCTCCAACCCGGGACTCGCACTGATCCTCCCCGGAGGCGCCCGCGCCGCCCACACATCCGACGTAAGCCGCCCCGCATACATTCACACAGCGGCCATAGAGCTCGCAGCCGCCGGTGTCGTGATCCTGGAAGCGCAGCGCGCCGAGCGATCCAGCAAACTCCGCCTGGCCATCGCGGAAGACGAGGTGAGAATGGCGCTCCGTGACGACGTGGAGCTCAGAATGCTGGGCATTGGCGTGTAGAATTAGATATAGAGTAAGATACCCGAGGCGCAGCCTCCAAAGCATCGTTCGATGATCATGTGTACTCCTTCTCGGACCCTTTCAAAATTTACGGTGCTGTAGTGTTGGTGTCCACTGGAGTGGGTGTGTCTCGGGAGAGGCCTTCTCATCGGGCTTCCAAATTTTGACTAGTGACATGTTAGTCGCTCTGCTGTGCATGTAGGGCTGTATGTAGAGTGAACTTACTGGTCTTGTCAGCCTCGCCGCAGATCAGGCGGAGCCCCGAACGATCGAATGTCGAGCTCATGATGCCCGCTTCGGCGTCTAGAGAGCCCGGCTGCGCCATGGTGTCCATAGACTGGTACCGATGTCCCGTCTTCCAATCCCAGAAGCTCATGGATCCGTTGTCAGCTGTCGAAATAATTAGCATCCGCAAAGTAGTCATCGCGCTGGTTTTGGATCTCTCTTACCTCCCGAGAAGAAAACATTGTTCTGGTTTACGCTCAACGTGTTGATGATGGCGTTGTGGCCCTCAAAGTTCTGCATGAATGCACCTTCCGGGCACTTCCACTGCTTGATGCTGCCTGTGCTGCCCGTCGCAAAAGTGAACTCTTCCGGGTGCGTCGCCAGCGCTCGCACGCCCTTCTTGTGATGTGTCAGGACGCCCATGGACTTGCCGGCGGCCAGATCCCACATGCGCACGGTCGAGTCGAGCGAGGCGGTGATGACCTGCGGATCCGCCTCCTGACAGACAAGCTGCGAGACTGTCTGCTTGTGACCGGAGAGGACGTGGATGTTGCTGCGCGTGCGCATGTCCCACACGCGGGCCACGCCGTCGCGGCCGCCCGTGACGAGGACGTCGAGGGTGGGATGGATGGCAAGAGTGTAGACACCACTCAGGTGGCCGTGATAGTGCCGGATGACCTTGTTTGTCTCGAGATCCCAGCATTTGACCATCTTGTCCTCGCCGCAGGAAAACAGGTATGGATGACGGGGGGAGACGGCCAGCCCGCGAACAGTGCTGATGTGTCCCGTCAACGTCAGTTTCAGCCCGCCTGTCGGCATGTCCCAGATCTTGATGGTCCTGTCACCGGCACCACTCGCGAACCACTTGTTCCCGGGCTCGACGGCCAATGCGCGGACCCAACCGAGATGGCCCGAGATAACACGCATCAGCTTCCATGGGGGGTGCCACTCCGGTCGAGGCTGGACAAGTTGTGGCGTCCCCTTTGTCGTCAAGTCCATGCCCGCCTCGCGCGTCGCGCCGTCGCCAGGTTTGCTGCTACTGCCGCCAGGGCCTTCCAATAGCTTCTGTGTCGGTCGCTTCACCACCGCGTTCGTGATTGTCTTCTTCTTGGGCTTCGCGCCGGGCTGCTTCGCGGCTATTGATGCCGGTAGTTTCTCTACCGTACTGTACTCGGCGAGGTAGCGATGCTTCATCATGGGGTCCTCAAAGGACGCGTCGTCGAGCTTCTGGCGTTTGTTGGCGGCTTCGGTGGACGCCGAGTTCGATGGCGCCGCGGGTCGTGTGTACAATTGTCGCGAGACGGTAGCATTCTGCGATACCAGCGCACTGAGCGCAGGGGCTGATTCTGGGTTCTCCATGGCTGCGAATGGTGATGGTGGTGACGATGGACAATTCGCAGTGTCGAGCGTCCATGTCCAACTTGGAAAAAACGACGGAGGCTGCAGCCGCGTGTGGCGGTGTCTGTGGCTAGTGAAGCTAGCGCCACAGCGGGTGTGCAAGGCAGCCACTCCACGCCATCATCGGCGCATCGCCGTGTAACATGTTACAGTGTCGCACTTCGTTCTGTTACAAACTTGATGACTGTCTTCAAGTAGCACGAGACATCTACATAAAATCCATCGCATTTTCAGTCATGGCAAGCGAGGATGACAAGTTCCCTCTACACACGGCCGCCCGTCTCGGCCAAGGTAAGCCGACTCATCCTTGCAGCTTCATGGTGACTTACACGAGGCAGTGAGTGTGGCAGATGGGCTACTCAAGGTAAACTCACGCTCCGCAGATGTCTTGAACTCCCTCTAACATCTCAGACCGATCCCAAGCTTTCACAGCGCAGAGATGACGACGATCGTCTCCCCATCCACTGGGCCGCATCATCCAACAATCTCGACATTGTGGTGCTCCTCGCCAATCAAAAGTCCTTCGACCCGGACGTACAGGTAGGCGCCATCAGCAGCAGCAGAAACTCTCACCTGAAGGACCGCGCTCTCTGACCGTATATACGCAGGATGGCAGCGGCTGGACACCTCTCATGATCGCAGCCAGCGTCGCCGACAGCGAGCCCATCCTCAGACTACTCCTACAGAAAGGCGCCGACGTCAACGAGAAAAGTATTACCCTCACCTTCTTTCATCTTCGAGCCAACTACTAGTAGCTAACATGCCCAGATAACAGCGGTGCAGTGAGTTCCTACCTATATTCACTAATACGTAAGCCTGGCCAGAATGCCTAACCTCATTAGACGGCCTTGCACTTTGTCGCGTCCAAGAAGAATCTCGACACAGCACGCCTCCTCATCGAGAACAAGGCATCTACACGCGTCCGCGATAAACGCGGCCAATACGCCATCCATCGCGCTGCGGCCGTTGGATCCGCCCCCATGGTGACCCTCCTCCTCCGCAACCGCAGTGCGCTCAACGCCACGGATGTTGAGGGTTTCACGCCGTTGCATCATGCCGTTGCCGAGGGTCACGGTATGGTTGCCTTGCATGAGGAAACGAGAGAATGTGACTGACAATGTGTAGGCGACGTTGCGGTGCTCTTGCTCAAAGAAGGTGCCGATCATACATTGAAGAACGCGGAGGACATGCTCGCCCTCGACCTGGCGCCCGACAAGGATGTGCGTACGCTGCCTACTACCCCAATGCTCAAGCAAAGTCCCTTCCGAAGCCAATGACCGATGAACTGACCACGTTTCTTTCTTCTGATGCAGGTGCGCCGGTATATATTACAGGGTGCAGAGCGTGAGGGCGTCAACCTGACCTAGCCTAGATGCTCTGATGATGATGAATCAAGCTTGACTGTCGGAAATCATTGATACACGTACGCTCGCTCGCTCGCTCGCTCATTTCACCGTCCTCTCGACCAATTCACGGTACATGGCTTTCACATCCTGCACATCGGCACGTAGCTCCTCCACCAACTCACTCTTCTCGCCCAGCATCTCCAGCGTGGTCTGGTACCGCCCGTTGATGTCGGCCAGCTCCTTCTCGAGAGCCTGCACCTTGTCCGCCGCCCCCTTGGCCGATTCAATCTCCTTCATGAGACCAACCATGTCGGAGCGGGCCTCGTCTCGCTGTGCGCAGATGCGCGCCATCTCTTCCTTGGCGGCGACCTTTTCCCCCTCGAGACGTCGGATGGCGGCACTCATCCGCTCGACGAGCTGCACGGAGGGACCAGCACCGACGGTGGAAACTGAAGTCATATCTTGCGCCACGTGCCGGGGTGACGAAGGGGCTTTGCTCTCGGCGGGATCGTCGTGACCCGCCAACGAGGGAGACCTCATGTTTGTTGGCTCGCTGGGTGCCTCGAATGGTGAGAAGGGGGTCGGCAAGGGCTGGGGAGAGCCCACGTTGGAGAGACCGCTCGCGACCCGGCCAGGCGGTTGGCTCGACATCCTCCTAGGGCCATCTAGGGGGCTGTCGGGGATACTGCCGACTGGCGTCCGTCTTGACCGCCCCGGAATCTGGAAGCCAGCGAGGTCCGAGCTAAAGGTGCGCGAGATGGACAATAACGGTGACTCTGGCCGGCTCTGGTTGTTGCGGATGCCGAGGGGTTCTTCGGGCCACGGCCTCCTTTCGTTATCCCTTTGCAGCTCGCGGGCCGCTTCGCGCTGATGCTTCTCGAGATCAGCACGGGCTTGCTCGAGGGCTGTCTCGGTCGCTTTGGAAGATGCTCTGAGTGCCGCGAGCTGTTCGCGCGCGGTCTCGAGCTCTGCCTTTGCGGCAGCGAGATCCGGCTGCAAGTCTTGGAGCTCGTCTTCCAAGTGACGGTTTTTGCTGGCCTGGACCAGTTAGCATCTTCTCTCGCGTTCCACAACGACCAAAACGTACCGCTTCGCGCGCTTTCTTCCTCATCTCTGACTCGCGCCTCGTAGCCTCATCCCTCTCCTTCTCCAGGTTTGCCACCTTGGCCAGCAGCGATGCCTCAATGCCCTGCCAGTTGTCGCTGGCGGTAGCATACTGCGATTGCAGGGTCTCGATCTGCCGGATGAGCTTGATCTGCCCTTCGCCGCCCGATCCGGATGACGCCTCTTCGGCAACAGAGCGCATAGCCTCGAGCTTGCTCTCCATCATCTTGAGCTCATTCTTCATCTCGGTCTCTGTAGCGTGACTCCTCTCGGTAGCTCGGTCCAGCTTCTCGCGCCATTCCAGGCTCTCAAGCCGCGCCTTGTCGGCCGCCTCTTCTAATTCACCCTTGAGAGTGGCGATGGTGTCCTCGAGGGCCTTTTGCTTCTCTCGCTCGGCTGCGAGCGCTTTGTTATGCGAGTCCACGGTGGCGGCCTCGGCCTTTTCCGACTTGGCTCGAAGCTCTTGCTCAAGGTTCTTCATGCTCTCGTCCTTTGCGCTCACTTCCTTTTTCAGCGCATCAATCTCCTTCTGCAAAGCAGCCGTTGCCTTGCGCACCTCTTCCTGCCTTTTGGTCCTTTCCTCGTCTCCATCGAGTCGACTTTTCAGAGCTTCCGTCTCCGCGAGGGCCTTCTCCTTCTCTTTCCTCAGAGTGTCGGCTTGCTTCTCGTTTTCCGCAAGCTGTTGCCGCAACCTCTTGATGGTCGTCCGGAATTGCCCTTCTGTCTTGGATAATTTGCTGCCCTCTTCCATGAGAAGCGCTATCCTCTCGTCCCTCTCGGCAATCTTGCGCTCCGCACTGTTGGCCGGTGCACTCGACACTGTCTTCTTTGCTGTCTCGGCCGCTGTACGTGAAAGGTACAGGACCTTGGCTTGAAGAGAGTCTATCCGCTCAACATATTCCTGAATCTCTTCCTGGTGCTGAGTCTTAATGTCGTTTACATCCCTGGCGATACTGGAGAGCTCCTCGCGTGGGAGTGTGATCGTAGGGATTGCCTCGTTGGGTTTCGGCTTGGCGGGTTCTTTCGTTTCGGCCTGTGATGGTTTTCCTTCCTCAGTAGTCGTAGTCTTCGTAGTCTCGGGCACGGCTTTGGCCTCAGTCGTTGTCGGTGGCGGCGGAGGCGGTGGTGTCGTCGTTGTCTCGCTCGTCGCGGGTTTGTCTGGAGACGCCTTGCCGCCCTCGACGGCAGCCTTGGGCTCCTCTATGTTGTCTCCTGCTTCGGCTTTGGTAGCGAGACCCTCCTCCTTCTTGTCGCCATTCACCACATCCAGCGACGGGCGGTCCATGGAGCTACGACTGTCGAACGAGCTTCTCGGCGACGCCTTACTTTCCCCTCCCTTCGCGGCCATAGCCTTTGCTAAGCGCGCTTGTAACCGGTCGTTGACCCTAGAATTCGAAGAGCTCCTCGCTATTGCCATGTTAGCAGTGTCCTCCCTCCCAGCCTCGACGCTTCTCCACATACCCGGTGTCGCCGCCACCTTCGCTGACGCAGACATGGGCGCCTGCATCGCCGGCTGCTTCGTGGGGGGCCTGGGATCAGCCTGGAGTGGATCATTCCCATCCTCGCCCTCTAGCATGTTGTCCAGTCGGGACTCCACGCCCGTGATGGCGCTGGAGATGAAGGTGCTCCATGCAGAGCTCTTGTTGCCCGAGGCGGTCATGGTGACAGACACATCGGGTCGCGCGACCCTGTTGCTGCTGATCAATGTCCGGAGGGTCGATCGCGTTCGCGCGCCACGGTGCGCTACGTGTCGTTTACGGGCCTGAACTCGGGGTGGTCGTGTTTGGGAGGGAATAAGTCAAGTAATGGGTTGGCGTTGGCAATTCAAGGTGGCTAGCACCAACTGGCAACTGGCGGGTAATTACGTACCGCCCGTCGCTCATCACTCTAGGTTAAGCTGAATGGCCCGATAATACTTGGGCGCAATCGTAGAGAACAAGCATGCGCAAACTCAATACATTTAACAGTCGCTATTCCACTTTCATCTACTGATCATGTAGGCCAGCTACTTCGCTAAGCCAACAATGGGTATCGAAAACCTACAAACACATACACCGTACCGTGTGGCATCACGAGCCAATCCAAACAGGCAACAAGAACAGACAAAAACTTGAACCCAAGACACCGTTGCCATGCTGGACAATGCAATGGATGAAGGTATACGCTTGAAAAGAGAAGATTGCCGACAGATTGTGCTCCAAAATCAAACAAAGGCACCGTGGTCTCGTGGCGTCTCGTCTCATCATCCCGCCAGCTTCTTCCACCAGCTGGTCCGGGGCGTAGCGCTCATGCTCGCGCCAGTGTCCATGAACAAGGAGTTACGGCGGCTCTGGTGGCGCTCATCACTCCCTTCCGAAGCGGCCATGCGCTTCTCACGCTCCCTGTCTTCTCGGCGACGGCGACGGCGCGGGTCGTCCGTCTCGTCTGCCGTCATTTCCGCTGCACGTGCGCGCCGCCGTGCCCGTCGAGCCTCGCGCCGCGCCTCCTCGTCCTCTGCCTTCTCAGGTGGAGGAGGCGGCGGTGCGTCCGAGTGGTCCTTGACCCAGGATGATGTTCCCGAGTGAGGCCAGGCGGTGCTCTCCCGCTCGCGCCGCCGCTGCTTTCGGGGAAATGCTGATTCATCCCCAGTCTCCTCGGCATGGCGGCGGCTGCTCTTCCTGCGTTCCGGACCTGCTGCTGCGGCTTCCTTGGCCGCACGTCGTTCTTCGCGCCTACGACGCCGCTCGGCCTCGTCTTCTGACGGATCGACTTGGCGCGATCGATGACGCTCGTGTTTCGAGGACCGGGGGGCACCCTCGTCGGCTTGTTCGGCTGCCATGGCGGCAGCCTCCCGCTCCCTGCGAATGCGACGCCTCTCCGCCCTGCGCGCCTCCTTCGCCTCCTCTTCGCGACGTTGCTCCTCCTCTCGTTCTCGAGCAGCTCGGCGCTCCGCCCGACGCGCCTCCTTTTCGGCATCCTCATCGCGTCTGCGGCGCTCTCGTCGAGACTCGTCCTTGGCTTTGCGGGTGCTCTCCTCTGCTGGAGCAGCAGCAGCTGCTGCTGCTGCATCACGCTCCGCCCTCTTAGCTCGGCGCGCGACTCGGCGTGCCTCACGTTCAGGACCGTCGACTGGTGGTGGCACAGCTTCTGCTGGAGGAGGTGGTGGCGGTGGTCCACGAGCTTCGTCGTCAGTTGTTGCGTAGGTGCTACGACGTTGCAGTCCACCACGCTCCGGGCGGTCAGCCTTTGGCGTCATCAGCCCGCTGAACAGTCCAGAGATACCTCCCTTGCGCTTCAGAGTCGTTTCCACGGGCGGAGTTGGCGGCACATCGGGCATCAGCTCGTCGCCTTCCATGGTAGGCTTTCTTGAACGGCGACGCTCAGACTTGGGTTCAGACCGGCCGAGACTGCCCTCGGCTTCCGTGAGAGGCTCGTCTTCAGGCAAGCGCGATTTCCGCGACTTTCTGCGCTCACTGCTGCTGGGCTTGCCGCCTCCAAATCCCAGGATCTTGGCTGCCTTGGAACTCATCTCCGGTACCTCTTCGGGGGGTGGAGATGCAAGACCGTGATCTGCCGAATTACGACGCGAGGAGCGACCCATGCTCGGGCGCTTCTCTCGCGTGGACATGGAGCGTGAAATGGGAGGTGTCGAGCTAGTAAACATACTCGCCAGCCGTGGACGAGCAGGAGGACCGTCAGGGCGGTCGGAGCGAGGGGCGCGGTCTGCCTTGTCCGAGTTGGAACCCTTTGAGGAGGATGTCTTTCCCTTCTCGCGCTCCTTGTCCTTCTCCCTGTCCTCCTTCTCGGCGGATCGCTTCGAGCTTCTCTCGGTCTTGGTACGCGAAGATCGCTTCCTTTCCTCCTTCGCTGGAGGGTCCTCGGGCGGCTCGGGGGCCGCGGTCCAGTTGCCCCACGATGAACCACCCTCACGGCTAATCCTCGTTCTCTCTTTCTTGGATCGCCTCTTCTCGGGCTGGGGCTCTTCCTCGCCGTCCAGTGGGGAGGCAATTGCCGACGGAGGGTCTGGCACTGGAGGTGGTGGCGGAGGAATCGGCGCATCAGCCATCGCCCTAGACTTGCTCTTCTTACTCTTCTTCTCTCGCTTGGGAGCTACCTCGACGACAATCTCATCGTCGGCTAGCGCAGGTTCGGCGGCTGGCTCGGGTTCTGGCTCTTCCTCGGGGAAAGCGCCTGGAAGCCCCGATGAACTGCCTTCCTCGGCAGGTGTCGGTTCGGGGTCTGCTTCGGGCTCTGGCGGTGGTGGTGGCGGCGGAGGGGGCGCTGCCGCAGACTTTGATGACTTCTTTTTCGATTTCGACTTCTTCTTCTCCTCGACAGGCTCTGGGGGAGGCGAAGGGGGCGCAGCTACCTCGGGCTCAGGCTCTGGCTCAGGTTCCGCTGGGAGGTCTTCTTCACGCGAGGCCTCGAAAGCTCTCAATCGATCAGTCAACCGACTGCCGTATGAGCGACGAGACGCAGAGTGGGGGGCATCGGGAACAGCAGGGGGCGGGGGTGGGATCGCATCCTCGCCGTCCATGGCATCTTCCAGATCTGTCGAGAGTGTCAGCAATCTATTTCATGCCCGTCTCGGCTTCCACCGAAACAACGGAAGGGGGGGGTTGGGGTCGCACGAGACGCTGTGCTCGAGGCAGGGGGCGGCATGTGTACGTACCCTTCTTCTTCTTGGAGCCCCCGAGACCCCAGAAACTGAATGCTTCGGACGTTGCGCGCGGCTTGCGGTCACGATCCACCTCTTCCAGCAATGCGTCCACTTCGGCCGGATCGAGCTCCGGCTCTGGCTCCACTTCGGCCTCCGGTTCTGGGGCCGGCTCCGCCTCCGGTTCGGGCTCTGGATTTTTATCCTTGGACTTCTTCTTCTTTTCCTTCTTCTCTTCCTTCTCCTTCTCCTTTGAAGACTTCTTGTCCTTCTTCTTCTCCTTTTCCTTCTCTTTCTCTTTCTTCGCGGCAGCAGCTGCTTCGGCTTCGGCTTCGGCTGCCTCTTTAGCTGCCAGTTCCTCCGCCTCGCGAGCAGCGGCTTCCTCTGCCTCTTGCGCGGCGGCAGCGGCAGCAGCAGCCTCTTCAGCTTCTTTCGAGGCAGCTTCTTCATCGCCACCCGTAGCTGCATTTCTCTCAGCAACCTTTTGGAGAAGGATTTCGTGGCGTTCGCGATCCTTCTTCAACAGCTTGCCTCCACGTTTGACCTTCTTGTCTTCCAGAGCCTGGAGCTCGTGATCTTCTGCTGCTGCCTCGTCCGCTGCGGCCGCCGCTTCAGCTGCTTCAGCTGCTTCACCTTCTTCGACTTCCTGGGCCGCAGCAGCTTCCTCGGCTTCTTTGGCCGCGAGATCCTCTTCAGGGGGTGCGTCCGCGGGTGCCTCGGCTGCAGCTTGCTCGGCAGCACGCGCATCAGCTCGCTCTCTGAGGAACTCGTACCTCTCACGCTCCGACTTCTTGGACAGCTTGCCCTTCTTGGCCTTGCGAGCCTCGAGATCAGCGAGCTCTGCCTCTTCGGCCGCAATCTCCGCAAGCTCTGCTTCTTTGGCAGCCGCCTCAGCTGCCGCCGCCGCCGCCGCCTCTTCAGCTTCAGCGGCCTCACGAGCAGCTTGCTCTTCCGCTTCCTTTGCTGCTTTCTCCTCCGCTCGCTTGTCTGACCGTTCTTTGAGGGTAGCGTACCTTTCCTTTTCGCTACCTTTAGATAACTTTCCCTTCTTCTCTTTCTTGGCCTCAAGTTGGGCGAGCTCAGCTTCTTCAGCGGCAACGTCAGCCTCATCGGCCTCTGGAGTGGCCTCAGGCTCAGCAGGAGGTTCATCTGCCGCCTCTCCGGCCCCCTCCGCAGCATCGGGGGCAGGCTCAGCCTCGGCTTCGACTGCTGCGTTAGCATTCGCCCTATCGTCGGCACGCTTTTCCAGCTCTTCGTATCTGTCTCGGTCTACAGATTTCGCGAGACGTCCCTTTTTGGCTTTCTTCACTTCCAGTTCGGCGAGCTCCTTCTCTTCGGCCTCAATCACTGCAGGATCTTCAGCAGCAGGAACGGGAGGCTCTTCTAGAGGAGCCTCCGGTGCAGGTTCCTCTTCAGCAGGTGCAGGTTCTGGCTCAGCAGCAGGTGCCGCGGCATTCGCCCTGCTTTCAGCCTTCTCCTTGAGGATAGCAAGCCGTCCTTTATCGCTGGATTTAAGCTTGCCTTTCTTGGCGAGTTTGGCCTCAAGGTCAGCCATCTCCTGTTCCTCGGCAGCTACATCGAAGGGATCTTCGACCGGGACGGCCGCCGGTTCTTCAGGGTCCGCCTCCGGCACCTCTTCAGCTGCAGGCTCGGGCTCGGGCTCAGGTTCTGGTGGAGCCTCTGCCTCTGCTGCGGCTGCAGCTGCCTTGGCTTCGGCGCGTTTGTCGGCTTTCTCCTTGAGCACCGCGTACCTTTCTTTCTCGGCAGTCTTGCCTAATTTACCTCTCTTGGCCTTTTTAGCTTCTAGATCTGCGAGCTCTTGCTCCTCGGCTTCGACTACCGCAGGATCTTCCTCGGGTACAGGGGGTTCATCCGGCGGCGCCTCCTCGGCTGGCGGTTCTAGAGCAGGTTCGGGCTCTGGTTCGGGTTCAGGTGCTGCCTCAGGCTCAGGCTCAGGCGCAGCGGCCGCAGCTTCCTCAGCCTCCTGGGCAGCTCGGGCCTCGCTCCTCTTGTCGGACTTTTCCTTCAACACGGCATACCGTTCCTTGTCCGTGGTGGACTTCAACTTGCCTCGTTTGGCCTTCTTGGCCTCCAGGTCAGCCAGTTCCTGCTCTTCGGCTTCGACCACTGCGGGATCTTCTCCATCACCTGTTCCCTCCTCAGCAGGAGCCTCTTCAGGTGGGGCCTCTTCAGCCGGCGGCTCGGGCTCGGGCTCAGGCTCGGGCTCGTGCGGCGCCTCTGCCGCTGCCTCAGCCGCCGCCTTCTTCTCAGCCCTCTCTGCCGCACGAGTCTTGAGTTCTTCGTAACGGACACGGTCTGCACTCTTAGAAAGCCTGCCCTTCTTGGCCTTGACCTTCTCCAGCTCCTGCAGCTCTGCCTCTTCGGCAACGACAGCTGGGTCTTCCCCTGGTTCTTCAGGGGATGCCTCAGGCTCGGCGGGGGGCTCCGGCTCTGGTGCAGGCTCAGCTGCTGCTGCTGCTTCTGCCGCAGCCGCCGCTTCTGCTTCTGCGGCCTCCCTCTGAGCTTTTTCGACAGATCTCTTGATGGACCGCTGTTTAAGCTCAGTGTATCGCTCACGATCAGCAGCTTTGGGCAGTCTCCCTTTTTTCGCCTTCAGGTCTTCCAACGATTGCAATTCTTCCTCGTCAGCAGCAATGGCGGCATCTTCAGAAGCTTTCGCTTCGTCAACCTCTGGTGCAGGAGGCTCTTCGGGCTCAGGGGCAGGAGTCTCCTCTTCGGCGGCGGCGGCGGCGGCGGCGGCGTCCTCTGCCTCCTTCTGTGCCTTCTCCTCAGCTCTCTTGTCGGCACGCTCTTTGAGCTCCTCGTAGCGCATCTTGTCTACCGTCTTGCCGAATTTCCCTCTCTTCGCTTTCTTTTCTTCCAGAGCTTTGATTTCCTCCTCCTCGGCTGCGATTTGGGCCTGTTCAGCGGCCTTGGCGGCATTTTCAGCCTCTGTATCGACAGGCTCCGGGGCCGGAGGTTCTTCAACAGCCGCTGCCGCAGCAGCGGCTGCCTCTGCCTCAGCATCTGCCTCCTTTTGCGCCTTATCAGCTGCTCGTTTATCTATGCGCTCCTTGAGTTCGTTGTAGCGATCTCTGTCGTCCGCTTTGATCAGTCGATTCTTTTTCGCCTTTTTCGCCTCAAGCTCAGCAAGCTCGGCTTCTTCTTTTGCAGCGATGGCTGCTTCTGCTTCATCTTCGGCACTAGCCGCGGCGGCGTCAGGGGCAGGAGGCTCTGGGGCTTCGGGCGGCACAGGCGCAGCTTCGCCTTCAGCATCAGGCGCGGGAGCTGCGTCGGCAGCGGCCTCCTCAATCTCTCTAGCGGCAGCAGCTTCCGCTCGCTGGTCGGCAGCATCCTTCAAGATGTCGTAACGCGCTTGGTCTTTCTTGAGCAGCTTGCCTCCTCTCTTCACCTTCTTTGCCTCGAGTTCTTTCATTTCCTCCGTGTCTGCGGCGATTTGAGCTGCTTCCGCTTCTAGCCTGGCTCTCTCAGCCTCATCGACAACAGGTTCTTCCGGCTCAGGCGGTGGCGGGGGAGGTTCCTCGACTTCAGGAGCTGGGGCCTCCTCGGCCTCTTGCGCAGCTTTTTCCTCAGCCCGCCGTTCAGAGTTGGCTTTCAGAATATCGTAGCGAGCCTGATCCTTCTTTAGTAGCTTTCCCATCCTTTTGGCTTTCTTCTCTTCAAGCTTTGCCAATTCTTCTTCCTCAGCAGAAGCCTGGAGAGCCTCGGCATCTGCCTTGGCTTGGGCTTCAGCGTCGATTTTGGCCTGCTCTTCGGCCTCCTTTGCCGCTTGCTCCTCAGCGGCTTTGGCTGCTGCTTCCGCTTCGGCGGCTTGATCGGCTTCGCGAGCGGCTTGCTCCTCAGCCCGCTTCTTTGCCTTCTCCTTGAGAAGGTCATACCGTTCCTTTTCCTTCTTGAGAAGCTTGCCCTTCTTGGCTTTCTTGCCCTCGAGGACTGCCAATTCCGCTTCCTCTGAGGCGGCCTCCGCGGCCTCAGCGTCTGCCTTTGCCTTTTCCTCGGCTTCGCGCGCTTCATCTGTGACCATGATTATCAGCCTGTGCACAAAGTTTCCGAGTGTCTCGCGGCTTACCTGCGGGATCCTTTTTGGTGCCTAGATCCCAATCATCATTGTTATCCTCGCCCCAGGAGAACGTGTCCTTCTTCTTCTCTTTCTTGCCCCATGAGTTGAAGAAGTCGTCGTCGCCTCCTCCTGCCGCAGGTGCATCGTCGAGTTGTATGAGGTCGTCGGCCGGTTTCTTTTCCTTCTTAGAGTTGGCCCCCCAAGTATCCCAAATGTCGTCCTGTTTTTTGGGCTCTTCAGGGACAGCATCGGCGAAAATGGAGTTCTTCTTCTTCTTTCCGGCCCCCCACATACCCCAGCCTCCTTCGTCCTTTTTGGGTTCTTCCTTGGGTTCGTCATCTGCAAAAATAGAGTTTTTCTTCTTCTTACCCGTGCCAAGTCCCCATCCAAAGTCGTTGTCCATACTCGTAGCGCCTGGTGCGTCAGTAACAGGAGGGGGAGCGTCAGCAGTATCATCGAAAAGCCCATTGTTCTTGGTCGCCTTCTTGGGCTTGGAGATGGCGCCCCAGAAATCGTCCGCCGGCGGAGCGTCTGGAGCAGCCGGCGGAGGGTCCGAGGTGCCGAAATCATCCAAAAGGCTGATCTTCTTCTTGTCCTTCTTCCCACCTGGTGTAAACCAATCTTCATCTGCGGGATTGCCGTTAGCTTCGTACTGGTCCAAACTAAGGGGCTCCGACTTGCCCTCGTTCTCCTTCTTCGAGCCAAACGCAGGCTTGGATCCCCAGGGGTTCGCACCGCCGCCGCTGGCGCCTCCTCCCCCTGAGTCGCCTCCGCCTCCGCCTCCAGCCCAGTCCCAGGTCGACCCGCCGCCGTTCCATTTGTTGCCCCAGGTTCCTGCAACACCATTGTTATTACTCGTAGATCCAAAATCAAGGTGTGGGCTTGCCTCCGGAATCATCGCCAAGTTTGATCTCTTGGAAGGCTTCGGTGCCAAAGTCGGACGTTGGAATGTCGGGCAGTCCTCCCAACTGGGGCGCGCCTTTGGCCTTGGCCTTGGAACCGCTGAACGTAGCCCAATCGTCGTCGGGCTTGTCACCACCATTACCGCCATTGCCACCGTCTCCAGCACCACCTCCGGCGTCCCCAGCTGAACCTCCGCCTAGGTCGCCGTTGCCTCCGTTGCCGTCGCCGGGGGCATCGTCCTTCTTCTCATTGCTGTTGTTGTCGTTGAGGTTTAACGGTGTCGACGCAGCCTTCTTCTTCTTCTTCGCATGCTCGCGCCGGCCGTTCTCCGAGTTGAGGTCTAGCAGGATATCGAACGCGGGGTCACTCAAGACGTCTTTCGAGGACTGGCAATCTCGGGATGAAGATGAGGTCGATCCAAGCGCGGGGCTTGAAGCATCGAAAGCGTTATTCTGTCGGCGCGCAAAGTTGTCGGTTCCGCTCGGGTCCATGACTTTGTCGGACAAGGTCGGTGTGGAGGATGCTGGCGATTCAGCAGCGCCTTGTGGTATTCTTCTAGACCATGGTAACGATGTGGCGGGGACTATGAGAGTCCTCTCGACGGACTGCGTTTTGTGTGACGTGTAGAGTTTCTGCGGCAACGAATGGATTGTCAGCAATGATACGAATGCCAGGCCGTGGCACAAGTGTCTGAGTCGTCGGGCCCGCGTGCGAGCAGGTTCCTGGAGCGGGCCGCTCGTGAGGGAGCACCCGAGCACGCGGCCCCAACGGTTTCCAGCGGCTAAGACTGGGGAAGTTGGAAGTCAAGATGCTTCAGAATTGCCTTGCGACAACGTACGTACCTGAATTGGTCTCCTCTGCAGCGACCAAGCCTGAGATATCAAACTCAGCTGGGCGCGTAACGAGCGCTCATCCCACCCAGTCTGCGAGGGCTTCGTTGCCGGGCAGCCATGACCGTTTGCGAAGCAGCTTTCTGTGAGCGCCAGCACCTCGGCCGCGGCCATTGTGGAAACGTGAGGTCGTGTTCTGGGTTTGGGGCGTTGCAATCATGGAAGCTGCTTGGACAGAAGCTGTCGGTGCGCGTTTCGAGGGCAATTCGTCGAGGACGGAGTCGAGGATGGGCAGACGGCTTGTTTGCTCGTCTAATGCGCCGGGATGTGGCGTGGGGATGTTTCTGTGGTCGCGCGCGCGAAAATTGATGTCGCCGTAATGTTACAACATGGAGCAGCGTTGAAAAAAGAATGCTCCTTTGGAAATGGAGATGCGCAAAAGGCTTGAACCCTGGAATCGGAAATGTTGGATCCGAGACAGTATCTCCCCGCCACCTCAAAAAAAGCCTGCGTGAAGCTGGCGGCAATCGCTGGGCTGGTTTGCCCGCGCGCGGCTGTCCAGCGATCCCTGGTCCCTGTCGAGTCTGTCGTCACTAGGACCCTTCTCCCCCGGATTGTTGTTGCTTCTGTAAGTAGCCAGATGGGGCTGTGGTCGAGATGGAGGAGGAAACTCGGGTAACGACGAAAAAGAGAGGTTACAAAAATCCAACAGAAGAGGAGATAAATCCAGGCGAGCGCGTGACTGACTGGCTGTCACCTTCCCGGGGCTGCAAAACAGGCGGTGATGCCAATGGGGAGGAAGGAGCCAATGACGCCGGCTGCCCTTGCTTGGATGGACACTCTGATCGTCTTGCGCAGGCGAATCGGAGCGTCGCACGACACTCTCTTCACGAATGCGCCAGTCTTCCCTTTCCCAATACTTGGCCAAAGTGCCTCTCCTCAGGAACGAATGAGTTCAAGGTAAAGTAAGTAAGTAGGCAAAGCTGGCGAGGGAGGAGCATAAAGTCCTGCAGCATCGTGTTGTTGTTGGCGCATGCGAGCGGGTGCATGGACCTCTTTATTCCTCACTTCGCCCGTTGGTCGGTCACGGTCACAGACTCACAATGGCCTTGCATGAATCTTGTCGGTTCATTGGTACCTAATGTGCCCATAGGCCATGAGGGGCCACTTTATCTTCCCATCCGACATGATGAGCTGCTACTCTGTTCAACCTGTTGCCTCTGAATCGCCTGGTTGCTTGCCGGAAAGGAGGCTGGGGGCGGGGCATACACAGCGAAATCCCATCACCAGACACAGATTTTGAACGACTGTCCAGCGTCCCCCACACCACCATGGACGGCATTAGGCAAGGCGTCAAATGGATACTTGATTGAGCAACCTCGATCATCTACTTCAACGCAGTTCCGAGACAAGATTCATCAGTAACCCCTCGGGTGCCTTTCGACTTCGAGAACCTCCCCAGCTCAAGAAGCACCCCGCCATGAACGAACCTTACCCTATTCCATCCCTTTCAAGGAGTCCTCGACTACCTACGTACATACATGCAGAATGGATGTCTCCGTGCTGCATGCATGCAGGTTGACATTGCAGCTGCGCGTCGTCTTTTCTTCCCACGCGGTTCGCATCTATCCACTGACTGACTTCCGATCCAGTCGCTGGTGAGGAAAGCATGTATACCCTATATGCTGCTCAAGGTCCTAGACTACAATGTGTCAATGCCAGTGTCCGGCAATGCGGGGTCCAATCGCTCAGCGGCTGCTGCCAGATAACCGACCGGACACGATCATTGACCAGGACTGGCGCTGTCTACGACTGTCCCTTTCCCCTGGTCATTAGCTGGACAACCGGGTCGATCAATCGTGAAAATCTGCGGCGGTGACCACGCGAACATTGACGACGCTTGCTCATGCGGCGAGGCCCAACTGGAGCAACTGCAGCACAGACGTGGCGTGAGCTGCCTGCCTCGAGGCAAGGTGCAGAGTGGTACATGTGGGCCTGGGCAGCGACGCGCCACTCACGCAGGTATCTTCTTCCTGTCTCTTCTTTCACCAAGACGAAGTTGACGAACCCAAACTCGGCCTCGAGCCGCCGAAACGCCACAAGCGCCTCGCCAGCCTGCGTGCGTGCGGTCTCTTCGGCAGCTCGAGAGGGCCCTGCGTTGCTGTCGCGCCGTGGTCGTGATGACCTGATTCGCCGCACGAGCATGGTCGACGTGGGAACGGCCCATCCCGCCCTTCACCGCTCTTCTTGGACGGAACACCTCGGCGGCAAGTGGCAGAAAAACAACGCTTCGAGCAACGTACGTACATACCCGAAAGACGTGCGTGCTGCCAGCAGCTCCATGCATAGAAAAGAATGGAAGCATGTTCCTGTTTTGCTGCCGAGGGAGGCCGGGCGAATCTGCCCGCGATGCTAGTGTAAGGTAGATCTGGTCCACGGTTGCTCAGATCTACTTCGTAAGGGTAGCGGATCTGTGGCGGTCAGACCCAACGGCAGACCAGTCTCAAATTTGCCACAACTATCCATTGACCGCCGTGTAATTAGGTTTGCCTTGATCCGAGCATCGGCGGGCATGCGTCATTGCGAAGGACGGTGGACTGGCTTCAAAGCTGAGGCGTTTGCTTGCGGTACAGGGTGACCATTATCGACCAGCCGTCCAATGTTAGCGTGTGCGACCTGTACATGCACGTATCCGGTTGCAACAGAACGACGACGAATAGGTATCAAGCGTGACATGTGAGACGATGCGGAAAGAAACGTATGGCTAGCCTATGCCGGGCGACATGGACAGATATGTCGCGCGATGCCGCTGGCATGACATGGCTCTCCGGTTCGTGCCACTTATTGTTATCTGTAGCGGATAGCGGATATCGAGGCAGAATCGACAACCAGTGATCAATCCTCCATTACAACCCCATTGGCCAAGGGAACTTGTAATCGTGCACCTAGACATCCGCTAACCAACCCAATTTCAAGATCCACAAGTAGCTAATGCATGGCACACTTGACTACTGTGCATGTTTGATGTTGGATTTTGGAAGGGGAATGGCCGTGAATCATGAATTACTTGTAATTACTGCCCGCATTTCTCCAACAGGGTTACATGTACTCGGAGACTCGGAGGGACTAGACTAGACTAGACTGGACTTGGACAGTTGGACTGGACCCCGTTTTATATGTAGTTTCCCCTACTGGCCAATGGGACACCAGCACGGCAGCCAATGGACCACCGCTGTGAGCCTGCAACCAGCGGGGGGTCCATGGGGGGTTGGAGGGGGAAGTCCAGTCCAGACTCCAGAACTCCAGGCCGTCCAGTCCATCCAGTACAGTACATGTACAAGCAAGAATCAAGAATCAAGATAGGCCAACTCGATCCACCCATTCATTGTTGGACATCGCCCAGGCTGGGCGCCCCAGTCGACCTGCCGGTGGGTGCCGATGCATGTGGCCTGGCTGTTGGACGACACGACGTACATGAATCCACTTCCCACGCGCACTCAGAGTCTCAGACCCGGACTTTATCTTCAACCCTCAACTCTCTCTCGCACCTCTGGATGGTCGGTCGGCCGGTCGACTGCACCCCAATCTTGACGGAATCTCGATACTGTACCTATCCTACTCTGCGACAGCCTGGCCTCTCGGCGCGCTCGCCCTCCTGTGATCTGCCCGCCAAACAAACCACCAGACATCGTCTACGAGGTACTATCACATGTGCTCCACTGCGCACCCCTCATCAACACCATCGTCCATTCCAGACGCGGCCAAATCATGAACCGAGCCTCGTGCAGCGCCTTGAGCATCCAGAGTCACCAGCCGTCGTCAAGGTCGCACCTGACTTCATTACACCACGCCACATAACATGAGGGTTCAGCGACAGGTCTCTATCGCGGTGCCCATACCACCGTCCCTACCCCCCCAGGCTGTCATTGCGACTCTGCAGACGGTATCCCCCGTCATCCGGAACCTCGGGACCCTCTCGCGCTTCGAGGAGACACAGGCAGGCGGCGAGCCGGTCGCGACAGACCAATTCTTCTACGGCGTCGGCAACGTGGGCAACTCGCCCGGCGGGACACCGCCAGCCGTCTCAAGCTACCAGATCTACGAGCTCATCACGCTGGCGCCCGGCCTGACCAAGGAGGTCACCTATCCGGCCTACTTCCAGCGCGTCCCCGAAGGTCTCCGGGTCCGGGCGAACGGAGCCGCCGGAATCACAGGGTGGTGCGAGTTCACCGTCCGCGCGCGAGGCAGCCACGCCGGCTCGCCCGAAGGCTCCGGGTCACAGTCTGGTAGCACGCCTAGCACTGGCATGTCGGGCGACGTGGGCGGCTACGAGCTGTACGAGAGCCTCGTGGTCGAGGCCAACTCGCTTCTGATGCCCTTTGTCGTGCAGACCATGACGTACGCGCATCGAGGGCTCTGCGACAAGGTTCTGCAGGAGGCCGCTGTGAGCTATGCGGCGTCGTTGGGGTTTGATGAACACACAAAGACCATGGGGAATTCCTAACACCCGGGGAGGCCATCCGAGGCCCTGTGTAAACAGAAATTAGAAACACGAAGCCAAAAGCATGGAGAGGTGTCGGGTGATAACACGGTGTTGGTACCGCAGCCTAGTCTAGCGCTGCGGCACGTAACGACAGGTTTTCAGACCTCAACACCACGGCCCGCAAGGATACATACACCCTGAGAGCAGACAGACAGCCGCCCACAGCCTGATGCATGCACATGGCCAACGTTGCCTCGCAAACTCTGGGCAAAGCGCAGAGTGCGAGATGTGATCTGCGCTGCCCTGCCTGACCGCCGCTCTCTGCTTTCTGACACGGGAAATGGCAAAGATAGAGCTGTGTTGAGGCAAACATAAATGCATTTGGGACACTGGCACCTCTCTTGTGATCCGCAGGTGCTTTAAGTTTGATTAATCACGTAGCTAGCGGCGGGGCCGTTTGTAGACTGGACTTGTTTGTCACTTGTTGGAAGGCCCAACTTTTGTTTTGTTATACGTGCCCCTCCTTGATCCATCCATCCGCAAGACCCTCAGATTTCACCGCACACCATGCTCCCCTCACAGCTCTTAGGCACCTACAGACAGTACAAGCGAGACACTGACTCGGTGGCCTCATGGCTCGCGTCGACTGCCAAGGCCAGCGGCTTCCCAGCTGACCTGCTGACCGCGCCAGGAGGAGCGGGAGGAACACAGGCGCCCAACAGTGGACGCCTCAAGGGCAAAGAGCGAGCAAAAGCTCGCGGCAGTGGCAAGCAAAGCACATCAAAGCCCGCAGAGAGCAAGGTCGCCAAGCACATTATCGCTATCAAGGACTTCCTGCCGCTGGCCCAATGGATTGCCGGTCGCCAAAACCCGGCCATCTCGGTGCCAGATGTCTTCTCCGCCACGATTGATCGCCTCATCACCCTTCGATCCGAGTTTAATGGCAAGCTGAGCGAGCATGGGGTCGAGACAGACACCAAGTCTGACGAAAGACACGGGTATTTTGTCGGCGTGCTCGAGGCTGTCCGGGCGGCGGTATGTCCAAGGGGGACTCCCACGACTGCCACTGCGGCGGCTAATGCAGCCATTGACTCGGCCAACGACGCCTCCCAGGCACCGGGCGAGGACCTGGGTGGCCGCTTCGCTGCTCTGACTGTGGACGAGCCGTCCCAGGCCTTCATCGAAGTCTTCCGCAACGCGCCCCATGAGAGGCCAGAACCACGTAACGATGATCCCGCCTCGTACGAGGCCGAGCCTCAGACCTCCCTGGAGGATACGCTGTTTGCCTTTTTCGTTATGATCGACGATCTCAACAGAATCAGGTCGCGTATCGAGTGGATCTGGTCCAACCATCGCGATGGCATGTTCGACCTTGCTGCAGCGGCCGTTGCTACGAACACGGCCATCTCCCTCGCTCGCAGCTTGATTGACGAAGTGAAGCCCATCTTCGACAAGCAAGAGGGAGGTGCTTGGGGCCTGTTGAACAAGCTGTTCTTTGCGACCTGCCTCAGGAAGGGGCATCAACCAGAAGAGATATATCTCGGTGGCAGCAAGGATAACTTCAACTACAATTTGTACGACACGGCCGATGAGTGCTATCTTGTCGCCTTCCGACACTTGACCAGCTTCGTCGACGTCCTCGACCCTAAATGTCTCCCCTTGATCAAGGAAGGCATGTTTGGAACATATGACGCCAGCAGCGACCGTTCCTCCAAAACAGGCCCGCAGAGGCATCAGGAAGACCAGGTCCTCCTGCTGGAATTCTTCACGGAGCTTGTCACGGTGAACCGACTGCTTCCAGGCTACCCAGTTGAGGACGAATTCCTGCGCGGCATGAAGGAGTTGGAAAAGACCGGCACGGTTACCTTTTCTCTTGTCTTTGCTGCGCAGATTTTCCTCGACATCCACCACACCATGCGTGCTGCGGTGCGACGGAGCTTCGCCACCATGTTTGAGGAGACTACCGTCATGCACAACACGCTCCAGGCCCATCTGGACTTTCACAAGAACCTGAAGATCAAAAACTGGCCGGCCTCCAACGACCACGTACTGCGAGAACTAAGCCGTATGCTGGACTGGATGGGGAAGGATCCCGTGCACGGCGCCAAGGCGAAGCAGTTTACGCGGATGAAAAGGCCTGTGCCCCCGGAAATGGAGGTGCACCGTATCATGATCTACTCGCCTATCCTGGCGGGTCTGTACCTCTTCCGTATCCGCGCACAGGTGTACGAGGCAGGTGTCGCCGTCGCCAATGCCTGGGGCTCCATCACCTATAGTGCGCATATCTACAATGCTCTGCTTCAGCAGGGGCTGGTGGAAGGCCGGTGGGAGGACATGGATGTCTTCTTGACCAACATGGGCGATGCCAACTTCTGGACGGGGGGTGAGCGGCCGCAGACTATGCAGGATTGCTTTCAGAAATTCTGTCTGCAGATGGGCGTCTCAGCTGCCGCGTTTACAAAGAATCGCCGACGGCAGCCTACTGTTGCCTCGCGCGCTGGTCCACGAGGCATCAAGGAGGGCGCGCCGGTGTCGTCCATGTTGGCGACCAAGATTTGCAACAAAGCCGACATGGACTGGACGCTGGACTTGATCGACAATATTGTTGCGCGCAGCGCCTATAAGATGGAAGGCTCGCTCAACGACGGGGATTTGACCATGGCACTGATTGACGACGCGCAAGAGCTCAAGGCCCGAGATCGGCTTCGGCAGCAAAAGGCCAAGGCTAGGGCGTCTGGCAAAGACAAGACCACCCTTGTGCCGGAGGAGCTTGTCGAGACGCTCGCCCTGTCACTCAACTCGGAGTCGCTCGAGATGTCGTTCCCCCTCTTATTCATGCACCGCTGGTGCTGGAGAGTGCTGCGATCGATCAAGGAGAGTTGCGACCCTGTTCTGAGAGAGCGCTACACACCTGCGTACATGGACAAGGAGAGCGAATTGCCCTGGGTCGCTGGGTACATTCTCATGTCTGCCAGTGGGTTCGAGGGATCGCACGACTTGAGACTGCTGCGTCTCGCGGCAGACCCTCTGAATGAGATGCTAGGCGTGGGGGGCGGTCGAATGGCCATCAAGCTGCTTCGGGATATAGGGAAGCATATTGAGTTTGAGGAGGAACACAGCGAGGGTGAGTGACACCTTCTGGCGCGAGGAAGAAACGCAACACCTTGAGTACTGGTGTATTTTAAATAATAAAGACACATCTTGCTTGTTAGATGGTCACCTGGTCCTCTATGAAGTTCGCAAGCACAGCGAGTCTCCCCTGCGCATACAGATTCTGTTGTATGGCACTAAAGCCTCTCAAACTCCTCAGGCAACCTCTCCTTCTTTACCCAAGCCGACACCCCTTGGGCAAAGAGCTCTGGAAACTGCATGTCCCATCCATGCGCTGCCTTCCTGATCACAACGGCGCCTGACCCATCCTCTGGCCACGCCTCATCCTGCTCCGTCCGCCTGCTTCTCAGCGCATCGGCCGTCCTCTCAATCATCGGAACGTCGTCCCCCTGTGCACCCGCGATCGACAGCGTCCGCACTTTCAATGCCCGCACGTGATCCAACGTAAACCGCACGATCCACGGAAACATGTCTTGAACGAGCGGCCAGGTGATGTTCTCCCTCATCGCCGCTGTCAATTCGTCACTCATCAGCAGGCCAAGCGATGCCATTTGGTACCGATACAACCAGTCCGGGAGCCAATGCAGCGTAAGCTTCATGGTATAGTAGGTCACGCTGGGCCATTGCGCCATGAACAAACGCGCCCCGACGGGCGGTGCAGCACCGGTGACGAAGAGCGAGAGGACAAGGTCCGGCTGGTCTAATGCGAGGCACTGGCCGATGTAGCCGCCCATGGACACGCCCACGACATGAGCTTTGCCGCCGTGGGCGTGTGATCGAATGAGCTGTGCGACATGCCAGGCCGAGTTGTCCGTCGTGCCCGGTTGGATATGGCGTGAGGCGGAATGCAACGGGAGGTCGGGGACGAGGACGTGGAATTCAGAGAGGTGCGGAAGGACGAGTGCAAACTCGAGATGGCAAGTAAAGCCTCCGTGGAGAAGGACAATCGTTGTCAGTTTGTCGTCATTGTGTGACGTGAATGACAGCAACGGGCCAGCTGCGTCTACTGGAGAGGTCGAGGTCATGGTGGTTGTTAAGGAGAGGTTGGAATTAGGATGAGACGCCATGCTTTTATGTGAATCAGGACCCGGGAACATCCAGAGGCCGAGCATACACAGCACAGCTTCGGGATCCGCGAGGGGTCCGAATTACAGGTACAATCCTTACAAAATCTTTATAATAATACCAAACAATGGCTTTGTCGTTACACTTCTAATATATCGCGGTCTCTATGATAGCACCAAAACAGCATGCTAGCGAGCAAGCTATCACGACTGAGGTTCAACATTTCTAGCCGTACCCACGACCCCACACCAACAACCACGAGGAGAGCTGCGCATAGTACTGTGCTTGTTAGATTAAAGCGACGACTTGGTGCAGGAGGCAGGGAGGAGTATCCAAGCAACGTCGTTAGTTTAGTCTTGAGGAGGTGGCGCCTCGCTCGACATGCTACAAATCACGTTGCCTTACGATAGGCTCGTGGACAGCCTTCTTGAGGCTTCACTGCAGGAGGCTCAGAGCATGAGCGACTCGTTCAGAGATAAGAAGCAATATACTAACTTGTACTGCTTCCTGGACGGCTCCTCTGCACGAGAAATCGTTGGCGCTGAAGTACGTGAACATGATGTCTCCGATGTGCACGGACGCTCCAGCTCAACGTCGCAGCAGGACTGGTCTCTGATGGCACGGGGGACGGGGAGCCATAGCTCACACCCCAATTGCCGTGGCTCGCGCACAGAGAATTTTGTCACCACCGAGCCTGGTCTCCCACTTGGGCGGCTTGAGAATCTGATTGTTCTAGTATATAACGGGAGGACCCTTGTCAGTTCTTACAGAGGCCATCCAAGGATCCTCACGTTATGTACGAGAACAGAGATCAATGTCATGGCCGACCCGCCGCATGGACCGCACGCTATGTACGTTAATGTCAGAGACACTACCTTGAAGTACGAATAAAAGGGCCTGGCTTACATGCTTCTGACGCTTGTCACGCGCGTACACCACGACGGGTTTCCCCTCTCCGGGACTACGACGGTCAATGTCGAACTGATGCGTGGCAATGACCAGGTCACCAAGCTTGAGATATCCAAAACTTCGAGGGTCAAAATCTGGTTGTTGCTTGGTGATGAGACCGCCGACTTTGGCGAGATTGGCCCACCCCTCCTCATCTGAAGCCGCCTCGACCGCCCTCCGTAACTGGGCCGTCAAGGGGGTATTGTCGTCAAACTTTGTCGAGGAAGCTCGGTTGTGCAGTGGCATGTCCATGGCCATGTCCAACTGTGGTGCGGCAAGCGGCTCGTGGTGCGTGATGTTCTCAAAATAGATAAACTTGTCACAGGCGGAGACAAAAGGTTTCGGCGTCTTTTTCTCACCGAACCCATATACAACCAGGCCTGACTCGCGGATGCGTACCGCGAGCCGGGTGAAGTCGCTGTCGCTAGAAACGAGACAGAATCCGTCAAAGCGGTTGGCATAGAGTAGGTCCATGGCGTCAATGATCATGGCCGAGTCTGTCGCATTCTTGCCATGGGTGTAGGCAAACTGCTGGACGGGCTGGATCGACTGGGAGAGGAGCTGGTCTTTCCAGCCCTTCAGACTGGTCCCAGTCCAGTCGCCATATGCCCGTCTCACAAACGAGGTGCCGTACTTGGCGACTTCGGCGAGGAGAGCGCCGGCCACGCTAGGTCGCGCGTTGTCGGCATCGATGAGAACCGCCAGTTTTACGGCGGTGTCGGACGCCATTCCTGCCCGGTCCTTACGCAAGCAATCAGCTCGCAGATGTTCGTTTAGATGCTTGCTTGTGTACATGTAGAGAAGAGGACAACGGCTCTGGCGGCACTGGGCCACCAGTACGCACGTGACTACCCTATATCTTGGACCCTGTCACCCTGACCAAGGCTAAGCCGCCCTACCCTACAGAGACACCGTGAAGTCTTGGCAGGGCATTCCTAAATTCCTGCTCCGACTTGCCCTCGTGACCTGCATCAGCTCTAAAGCGGACAGACTGACATGCGACTTTTCAAGAGCCAGATCGAGCAGTCAGATCTCACCAAGATCTATAATAAGCTTGTAAGGCCGACGCGGGTCTAAACGGAGATAAGGAACCCGCGCTCCTGCGTGTCGGCCGAGAACGTGAAAGCTCACCCTTTGAAGGCCGTGTCAGCAATCTCACCTCGTCTCGCTCAAACCGCTCCGTCCTTGCCTCCGTTACTCGGGAATCATACCTTATGTCTCGACCGAGAGCGTTCGCCCGTCTTCATGGAACGACAACGCCGCCGCCGCCGGAGACCCGCGCTCTCCTGCATCGAATGCCGGCGTCGTAAGATCAAGTGTGACCGCAACGACCCTTGTGGCCACTGCATAGCAACGAATACGCAATGCACATTCAAAATCTTTGGTGACGATCTAGCTAGGGATTCAGGGGATTTGGGGAGCAGCACGGCACAGATTGAGCCCGCGCCATCACCTCGGACTTTACGGGTCGGTGTGAATGCGCCAGCTGCGGATCAACAAAGCGATTGTCTGTTCGTATCGCCGGCCGCGGAGAGTCCGCCACATTCTAGACCTAGCACGCATGCTGCTGGACCTGAGAGTACTACTAGGCGACAGGGTCTTGGCCAACAACCTCCAGGACCAAGATCGCAGGCTTCGGCCGGCACAGCACTCAGCAGTCTCTCGGACACTGGACAAAGCATTCTGGCAAGCCAATTTGGTCTGGAGGCAGGGAAAATCCTCTTGAACAAAACGAGGACGTTGCGTTCCAGTCACTGGATGGGAATGGCTGAAGAGGTAAGCGATAGCCTCTCAACTACCTAGAACGGAGGAGCTAACAGTCTGCAAGTTTAGTTGCCTGAATTCTTGTTACAGGGCCATCACCGGCGAAAGCACCCAAGAAGCATGGCTGCAGGATGAAGAAACCAAGGCCTCGATTGCCCACATTCAAGAACTGTTGAGGAAATGCAAGACAATCACAAGAAGTCTGAAAATCGGAAGGCCGAGCAGGTCCTTGTTTCCAACCCTGTCCGATCTCCTCCCACCTACTCGCGATGTGGCCGACAAGCTGGTCAAGCTTTACCTGGAATCCTTTGAGCCACTTATGCGAATCCTTCATATACCTTCATTCTGGGCTGAGTATGAAAAGATTGCCGAGAGCCCCGATACGGCCAAACCCGCCAGCCTCTTCAAGGTCCTCCTCATTATTGGGCTGGGATCATCCCTGACACCAGAGCCAGACCCAGCGTTTCGTATCAGGGTCCAACAATGGCTGCATGCTGCGCAGATATGGCTTTCGGGCCCTCTGGAAAAAGACCGGTTAAGTATTTCTGGGATACAAATCTTTTGTCTCACACTCCTGGCACGGCAAGTCTTTGCCATCGGAGGGGACCTCGTTTGGACGTCGACCGGATCTCTCCTCAACAGGGCTATGCAGATGGGTCTACACCGAGACCCTAAACATCTACCGCCCATGTCTCCTATACAAGCCGAGATCCGTCGGAGACTTTGGGCGACCATTCTGGAACTTACTCTACAGTCGTCTTTGGATGCGGCGATGCCCCCAAGGATTTCCCTGGAGGAGTTCGATACAAAAGCACCATCCAACGTGGACGACGATGAAATCAGCGAGTCCACCATGGCTATACCACACCACCCGAAAGAAACGTATACTGTATCTTCAATGCAGCTGGTTCTTCTCGAGTCTGTGCCCACAAGGCTGAAAGTCCTGAGGGCTCTCAATGGCCTACACGCCGAGATCTCCATCGAAGACGTACTCGCCCTTAGCGCAGAACTAACCAGAGCGCTTCAAAAATGCGGTCAAATCATACAAAGGAACAAGAGCAAGGGATTGCATTCGTTTCAGAGCAATCTTATCGACTACCTTGTGCGTCGATTCATGATTCCCCTACACTGCGCATTCGCCTGTAAGGCGCGCACGAACCCACTGTTCCAGTCTTCTCGCAAAATCTGTCTTGACACGGCCCTGTCTCTCCTGTCCCATGAGACAGATGACAAGTTTTCGCGTCTCATGGCCGTAGGCGGCGGCATGTTTAGAGAGGGCATCCGATATGGCTGCAGCGTCATCGGCCTGGAGCTCATCGCCGAGACCGAATCGCAACACAAGGATGGGACGCTGCACCGAGCTTCAGCATACAGGAATATGCTCAAACAGAGTCTCAAAGACTTGATTGCGCTGTCCGAAGAGAGGATCCGCCAGGGGGAGAACAATGTCAAAATGCACATGTTCCTCAACATGATCCTGGCACAAGTAGAAGCAATGGAAGAGGGAAAGCCCATGGAGTACACAATGGTAAAGGAAGCACGGGAAAGTCTGGAATTTTGCTACGAGCTCCTGCAGGCGCGCGCTTCCACCATTCCTTTGCCAACGCCAAACGTCCAACTTGAAGATCCGTTAGGACCGTTGCCGGGTATAGGTGATTGGCAGACGGAAGCAGACTTTGCGGGTTTCTTCCTAACCAGTACAGCGCTTTTCTGAGTCCCAAACTGTAATGGATCTCTCAATGGTTAATTCCGTTGGTCAATGTCAGGGGCTGCGGAGATTATCGGCCCTACTACTCCAAGCCTTTCGGTCGAGACGACGGTCGTAAGCGCGGATGTAACGCGCACTTCTTCTCAGTATGACCAGAGTCCGTGATATCAGTGCTACCGGGAATATAAGGCAGACATTATATAAAGAGGCTGCAAGAAAGTTTATTCTGTGTTCATTAGGCCTGCATCATTTCTCATATCTTCTTGGTCATCTTCTGTCGACCCCCCGTATCGCACCTTGACCAAGACCATCCTCCTACGACTGCTGTCAAATACCGCGGAAGCACCATGGGCAACATGAAAATCCTCATCAGCGGAGCTGGAATGGCCGGCAGCACCCTGGCCTTCTGGCTGTCCAAGCTCGGCCACAATGTCACCGTCATTGAGCGCTTCCCCCATCTACGAGCCTCGGGGCTACAGCTCGACCTCCGCGGTCACGGGATCGAGGTGATGAAGCGCATGGGACTGGAAGATGCCTTCCGAGCGAAAAGAACTCCAGAGCAGGGTTTCGAACTCGTCGGCAGCTCTGGCATGCGCTGGGCGTACTTCCCTGCCAACAAGTCAGGCCAGGGACCGCAGAGCTTCACCACCGAGTACGAAATCATGAGGTCGGACTTGTGCCATATTCTCCACGATACGTCCAAGGAAAGAGTCAGATATATATTTGGGACCTCTATTGCCAGTTTCAAAGAGGACGAGGACGCAGTGGAGGTCTGCTTCCACGACAAGACGACGGAGCGGTTTGATCTCCTCGTGGGAGCCGATGGCCAGGGGTCGCGCACACGGAAAATGATGATGGGACGAGGGAAGCCGGATGGATTCCACCCAATGGACGATACGTTTGCTGGATACGTTACCATTCCTCGCACCATGGAGAAAGGAGAAGGATACAACGCCAAGATGTACATGGCTCCTGGCGGACGCGCAATCATGACGCGCAGGCATAGTCCAGACCAGATGCAGGCGTACCTCACCTGCAACTTTACGTCGGATCGCATGAAGGCCATCGCAAGGGGCCCAGTCCAGGGGCAGAAGGAGGCCATCGCCGAGGCCTTCAAGGGGGTCGGGTGGAAGGCAGAGGAGATCATGAAGGCCATGATGGAGGACAACGACTTTTACCTTGCCGAACTCGGCATCGTCAAGTTGGACAAGTGGTACAAGGGCCGCATCGCCCTCGTTGGAGACGCGGCGTACTGCCCCTCTGCGAACACTGGCATGGGCACATCATCCGCCATTGTCGGGGCCTACATCTTGGCCGGAGAGATCGGAAAATATTGCGCGGGGGGCGCAACAAGAGAGACTCTAGCGGCTGCTCTCGATTCCTATGATCGCAAGTTCCGCCCTTTCATGGACCAAGTGCAAAAGGGCCTTCTGGACGGCGGCGGCTTTTCGGGTTGGATGCCACAATCCGCACTGGGCATTACCATCATGAACTGTCTCGCTGGGGCGGCCTCGCTGCTGAGGATCGATCTTGCCAGTAAACTCATGCGAGAGGAGATCAAGGACTGGGAGCTTCCAGAGTATGAGGGCGTGTTCAAGGCTTAGTCGAACAACATGAAAGCTGAGCAGGAGGCTCGACATCCCAAGTAGGCTACATGTAGCAAATCACCACTCACCAACCTTACGGATTATTATGAATTTTGAAACCAAGATTATTATGTACTTCTACGGATAGAGGCAGACGATATTATACCATTGGAGCGACGTCTTCATGTACGCACAGATAGTGGTACTATCACAGTCCGCGAGCCTCGAACAGATCGACCAAGTGCTAACTATATGAGATTGACTTGCTGCCAGTACTATCACATTCGACCATACCTAGTAGAAATTACGGGATCCCGTCTAATTCTTGTTCTCTGGGCATTGGGATCAATCTTTGCACACCATGTCCACCCTTTTTAGAGGACAATTCTTCCGAATCTGATACCCTTTGCCCCTGAGAGACTGTCTTTACTTAAACATGAGAGCTAGCCTGGGCCCTGAAGGCCTTGAAGCAGGCTCCACGCCGCTGGGAATGCTGCTCATTCGAAACCTGCACAGTCGAGCGCACGCATGCTGGCCTGTCCTTTTGCGAGGTCTTGGAGACATGGACGCTCCTATAGCGATAGCTCAACTCGCAGGACACAGCTTGTGCATGAGGGTTTTAGGCAGCCTGAGCCTACCCTACAGAGACACCTTGAAGTCTTGGCGAGGTATTCTCAAACTACTTACTACACCGACTTGCCCACGATTTTCTCCAACCTAACGTTACATTAGCTCCAAAGCGGACAGACGAACATAGGACGACTCGAGGGCTAGATCGAGGCCCTACATGCAGTCACTCAGCCAAACGAGTGGGGCGTCTGACAGCTGCAGGCAAGAGTAATAAGACCCGCCCGACTCTCGTCGTTCTGATTCGAAGCCGGCGGTGATATTTGTCGCCTTGCATTGCGCCTGGACTCTGGAGGTCGCCGTCCATCTGAGTGGGGCTTTGACTTTCATCGTCGTCACAAGCCAGTTGCATACATTTACCATGACGTTCGGGGGTGGACATGGTGACTCCATGTCATCCTGGGCTCCGGCATAGCGACAGCTCGGGGTCGCCGCTGCTCGGTCCTACTCGGTTGCTGCCTGGATGCGGGCTGACATGGCCCGACGTAGGGAACTCGGCCAGGGCTGACTAGCAAGGCACGCAACGGATGAAGCCGAGATGGAATGCCAGCAACTCTCCCTCTGCTGGCAGATTCTAGACTCGTGACAAAGGACGGCCAGCATCCATGAAAAGTATAAATACTATCGTGATGGCTCTCAGAGAAGGGAGAACCATCCATCGTCTCTAGCTTCACAAGGACAAGCTGTCTTGCCCTCGACTCCTTTGTCTATTATCGTGGCAGTCTCTGAGCAGCACCCGACACACAACCCGCACAATGCTTTCGTCGATTCTAGCGGTGGCCCTTGACACTCTCGACTATCATCCGTGGTGTCGTGGCTGAGCATAACCCCAAAGAGAACGTCGTCTTGGCCGACTGCGGCATCGGTGATGTCCCAGGACACCCAGACTGGGCATCGTCGCAACATGTCCTCTACTACGACGGAGCAGTATGTACGTATCCCACGGCGCCCTCCCACGAGAGCAACAAGACACTGACTTGGCATGATAGGGACCGACGCCGCGGGATCCGCAACGAACCAGCCCAGCATGGTCCAGGTAGTGCCGTGGGACGGCTCCTACCCCTGGCGTTTCTCCGCGGTCACTGTCATCATGCCCAACAACGACAATTTCTACATTCAGATATCGAGTCCAGAGGCTGGTGACGGGAACACGCTGGTGGGCGTCATCGTTCACTCGTACGACGCCACGTGGCTTCGATGCTACTCATGGCACAAGAAGAATGTGTACCGGCTCCCTAACGGCCAGTCGTGCGCCTCGGCGTTTGTGTGCAACCACGCGGACGGCCCCGTCTCGCAGTCCAAGGTGACCGTCAAGGTCTCGACCAACACGGATAGCGCCACGCTCGACACGGTCGTCTCGGTCGACGACGTCTTTGGCAAGATCGACTACGGCAACGACAAGCAGGTCTGCGATGAGTCCTGGAAGGATATGCCAGGGACGGGCTGCAAGATCCGGGCCAGGTGCCACGGTAACGTCCCAGGCCTCGTGGAGAAGATGGTGAGCGGCCTCAAGGACCTGGCACGGTCCAAGGACGCCGGTATGTTCTCCGAGTCGACCGTCCGGGACAAGAAGTGGGACCCGTGTAAGACAGGCCGCGACACGTGTATCGGTGGTTGGGACTGGTACGACCGCCCCGTCACTAAAGTGGCGCAACAGCTGTCCGTCTATGTCAGCGATGAGAATGGCAACGACAAGGGTGAGTTGTCGTACGAGCTTGACTGTAGCATGGCCAAGTCATGTGCCGGCTGCGATGCCGCCAAGTTCGGGATGGCAGTGGGCAGTGTATTCGGCGGACCGTTCGCAATCCTCTTTGGCGCGGGCGGTCTCGTGACGGAGGCGGCTTGTGCTTCGTCGGGGTGTTGATGCTGCTGGTCTCAAAGATCCAAGGCCAACGACTGGAGGAGACGCCGAAGCAAGGAGACGCCGAAGCAATGGGGATCGTTTTGCTCAAATTAATAGAGTACTTAACACAACAACATGCTTCTTGGTTCTTCTATAAATCTCTCCTCCTTTACTTACACAACCTATACACCAACTTGAACCTATATCCTCATTAACAGTGTTGCAAGAACTCACATGAACGGAAAGGGATTCTAGACTAGTCAACATCTTGCTCATCGTCAGTGGCACTCGAAAGCCGGTCCTTGTTTGCCTTGTCACGTCTGTCCTTGGCCCTCTGCGTAACCCACCGTGCGATCATCCCAGCAACACCATTCGGTCTGAACGTGTCTTGTTGCGATGACTCTTCTTCCCTATCCAGATGCACAAAGCTCTGTTGGCCCTCCACAGTCCCGGACGTGTGGAGGGTGCCCCTTGAAAACACGTCATGCCACCTCTGCTTGAGGAGGAGCCGTCTTTGCTTGCCGTCGTCGTTGGCGCCGTCACGCTGTTCGTGCTCGCGGAGGACTCTGGCCGCGTCCTCGTGCCCACGCGTCTTGGCCCACTCATACGCCGTGCGGCCGTTGTCACTCTTCGCATGGACATTGGCGCCATTGTCAAGGAGGGCATGGATGGTCTGCATGTTTCCCAGGGCAGCGGCGAGGTGAAGAGCGGTACCGGTGGCGTCAACTGTGCGTTTCACGCGCGCACCGCCTCTCTCGACAGTGGTGATGCCGCTGACCTTGATCGGGCCCTCGACGTTGTCTCCGCTTTGAACAAGCAGCGGAATCAGATGCGCGCGCCCGACGGCTACCGCCAGGTGTAGCGGTGTGAGCTGACTTTGCAAGTTGACGTGGAGGTCCAGTTCATGTTTCGACGCCGTCTTGGCCTCCAAGTGCGCACTGCATGGTGAATCCACGGTGGTGTCGTGGTTCAGAAGAGTCAACATTGTCTCTTGATCCCCCGTCAGGGCCACGAGATGGATTGCCGCGAGGTCTCCCTTGACCTTGATCCTCACTGTTCCCGCTGCTTTCTCAACAAGGCGTGAGACGGCATTGTTTCCGAGCCATTCTGCAAGGTGAGGCGCTAGGACATCCCCACGGACAGTCCTCTCCACGTGAAACTCGGCGGAAGCTGACAAGCTCGCGTCGTGTTGGAGAAGACAATAGGCTGTACGCGAGTGACGCCCCAGAACAGCGAGGTGAAGAGGCGTCAAGTACGCCTGCATTGTATCTCCAGCATTCATATCGCATCTGCTTTCGACGGACGCTCCCTTGGCGATAAGGGCACGTGTCATGGAGGTGTTGCCAAGGGCGCATGCGACGTGGAGAATGGTGGCAAGAGCCTCAAACGTGAGACTCATCGTCACTGTGGAGGAGAAGTAAGCGTCCATCTGGACGCCAACAGTGACAGCGGTCTTGTCGTCAACCTCTCGTAGATAAAGCAAGCCCGCCTGCCCTAGCATGTCGATTCCCGAGGCCGACGCTATCATGAGAGCAAGTATACGCAGCCAGCCCGTCTTCGGACTGCTGGCAGCAGCGACATGGAACTCGTAGTCAGAGAATAAAGCAATCATGCTAGCTTGATTCATACCGGCAGCGGCATCGAGGGCCGATATGTCGGTTTCCATCCGTAGCTCGATAGTGGCTGACACCTTGGACCGCATACTTGCTAACCCTGGTACATCGCCCTGCTCAGAGAACAGCAGTACGTGGAGAGGTGTGACCTCGGTTTGAAAGTCTCGTCTAATGCCCAAAGTGTGTCGAGCATGCGCGTCGGCGTGATTTCCTAGGAGAGTTTGCGCAATGTCCCATGACCGTACGATGGTCGCCAGTTGCAACGGCGACAGCTTGGCATAGAGACCTCCCACGTCGAGGTCTAGTAATGACTCCAAGTCTGCTCCTCTCCGGGCGAGGTGCTGCATGTCGATTTTAGACCGTCGGAGGATGGCGACATGGAGTGGCGTCAACTGGAGAGCGTTGCCATGCGACTTGACCTTGAGGAGGGAGTTTGGATCTGTGTTGATGTTGTCGTCACCGAGCAGGAGCTCTGAGATGGTAGATGCTTTGAGCATGGCCGACAGATGTAGGGCGGTCAGCTGAATGCGTGTATCGCCGACGTTGAGAAGGAGCATGGCATTGGGATCGGCGAGATTGGTTCTCTCCGGCAGGGTCTCATGGGTCAAGCGAGCCTCTTGCGCTTGCTGGGCTTCTTGGCCAGCAGCAGATGGAGATGGAGGCCCATCGGAACCCTGGGTAGGCTCCCGTGGGTGGACGATTGGCGCCGCGCCCTTGTCCCCCCGACTTTCCCGGCCCTGATGGACAGTTTGCTCTAGGCCGTCTGTCATGGTCTCGGATCCGTCCTCTCTGGCCTCGGTCCTGCGATCCATCACCTTATCCATGCGCTCGAGTAGAGGATGGAATATGTGTCGATTGAGCATGCTGGTGACTCGCCCTACTTGGAAACGGGGCTTTAGGGACCGCCGTCCAACCCTACGTCTTGGTGGAGAGCGCCGCTGTCTTCGCGGTCTTCTCCATTGCCGTCGTCGGCGGTGTGGTAAAGACGGACCCGTGTGCCGACGACGAGGTGCCTGACTTGGCGGAGGAGACCTTCTCGTTCGGGATACTGACCGCGAACGAGGCAGGCGTCCTAACCTATCACGTAGCTCGGACTCTGACAGGGAGTGAACTGATTCCGCGAAGCCGGGCTGGACTTGATGGGTCCCAGGCGTGGGACGCGGGCCATGTCCAAACCTACCCCGAGATCGAGGCCGTGCCCTTTGTGAGTGAGATCGAGAACGCCCTCGGGCGCGCGGCCGACGATGCGAATGCTTCCGATTCCTGCGTCCAAGAGACGCCAAGACCACCCCTGCAGTACCGGCCAAGATGGAAGTCAGAGGCGCTGGTGATTCACTACGCGATCGTGATCGGGATGGAGACGGGGCTCTGGCCCTGGAGTCCGCTGGCGGTGGTGAAGTCGGCGGCACTTGATGCTGTTTACGTGAGCGAAAGGCAGCAGTGGCAGCAGAAACCATGCCGGCCGACATGTAGTCACGTACACGGGTACGGGATCGCGATCGACCGGCGTGCGGTGACGGTGACGGTGACGGTGACGGTGAGGACGTGGAATGTGTGGATGTCTCGCTCTGACTGTCGCTGTCGGCTCTAGGCGAGAAATAGGATCGCCGGGGAGATGAGCGGTTCGAGGCCCTGATGTAGCTGGAGTCGTACGAAAAGTTCGAGTTAGACTTAGAATCCTCCGAGAGTAGGCTGCTGCAGTCCGAGTCAGCATCGGACGCCAGCCAAGCATGCTCCTCTTGAAGCAACGGTCTCTTGGAGACGAGGAGGTGGACCATGTCGTCGCTCATGCGGCCCAGTGCCATATGAAGCGCCGTCATGTCTACATTCACATCGTCCGTCACGACGAGTGCTCTTGCATCGGGGTCGGCTTCACGGTCGAGTAGGAGGAGGGCTAGCCGTTTCTTGTCCAGCGCCGCCGCCATGTGAAGTGCAGCGATCTCGGCGTGTGTCTCGGGACCGTGAATGACGAGCCTGGCGTTGACGTCGAACCCCTTGTCGAGGAGAAGCTGCGTGACCTGTACCCGCCACAAAGCGGCAATGTGCAAAAGGCTCAACTCGACGTGCATCTCATCCCAGAAGTCAGCTTGGATGGGGAGATGGATGTCCATGTCCAAGTGGATGAGCATCTCCATCACATCTCGGTGTCTGGCGAGCGCTGTGATGTGCAATGCTGTCAGCTTGGTGCGGAACGCTGGGCCGTCAATCACTGCGATTTGGTGGACGTTGGCTCCAGCGTCGAGTAGACTAGTCATCATATCAAGACCACCGGCAAACGCGGCCAGGTGGAGGCATGTCAGCTCAACATGGGACATGGACTGTATGTCGATGACACATGGTGTTTGGACGTCGTGGCCCTTTTCGAGCAGATGAGATACCACCTGCTCGTGGCCCCAGAGGGCGGCGAGGTGCAGGACTGTAAACGTGGCGTGCATCTTGTGACAGTCCAATCTTGCCAAATGCTGACTGTCGTGGTCCGTGTCTAACAAAGCCTCGACAACATGGACATTTCCTGATAGGGCGGCGAGGTGTAAAGCGCTCAAGTCCATGTCCATATCGATCTTGGGTCGAAGAAGCAGACGGCACCTCTGAGACGCGTCGCTCTTGCTGTCGACTAGTGCCAAAACGATGGTCTCTTGTCCCAATAACGCGGCGAGATGGAGTGCGCTCACAACATTCTCGTCATCATCGTTGACACGACAAAGAGCCCTGGCGTCTGCACCTCTCTCGAGGAGCAGTCCCACCAACGTCTCATGACCGAATAGACACGCGAGATGGAGAGGGGACAGGCAGACCCGAATCTGCTCACCCACCTGAATGGCGAGATGCGCAGACGTGTCAGCGCCGGCATCGATCAAGTGAGCAACCGTGGCCTCGGCGCCGCAGAGGACTGCGAGATGGAGTGGCTGACACTGGACATGAGAAGAGCCAACAGCAAAAATCGACGCCGCGTGGATGTCTGCGCCATTGTCGATGAGGACCTGGATAACTTGCTCATTGGCGGCCAGGATCGCGAGGGAGAGCGCCGTGGAGCGGACCTTGGCGTGATACGACGTCTCCTTCTCCTGCCTCTCCAGAGTCTGGGAGATGCTGCCAAACATAGAGGCGTCCTCGAGTTGCTCGCCCAGCAGTCCTACAAAGTTCCGGGCTGTCCGCGTGAAGAAAGAGTGGATCGGGTCCATGTCCACACCTTCCTCTCTCTCCTTGTCCCGCCCGTGCTTGTCATCGGGGCCTCCCTGCTCGAGGTCACCTAGCTTCCATGTCTTGTGGAATTTGACGTCTATGCGCAACTCGTCATTGACGTCTGCTCCTGCTTTGACGAGCGAGTCCGCTAGTCGCCAGTCTCGAAACAAGGCCATGAGATGGAGCCCATTCAGCTCCGCGCCATTGTCCTCGTCTTCTTCCACGCGGACGAGGATCTTGGCGGTGGCGTCGGCCCCTTGGTCGAGAAGAAGCTGAATGGCCGCTGTCCGCCTACATAGGGTCGCGATCTGCAGCGACGTCGCGTCGATCCTCAGCGGGAGCGTCTTCTCCACGGACGCATGGTAGTTCAACGGCACGTCCAGGTCGATCCATCCCTGAGCATTGACATCCGCCCCCCCAGCCAGGAGCAGCCTCGCTTTGTCCACGTAGCCGAGCGCGACGGCCATGTGGAGAGCCGTCAACTCACACTTGAGCATGAAAAAGTTGACGAACCCTGTCTCCTGCACTCCCGCACCTTTGTCTAGGAGCATCTGGACCACGTCCTCTGACCCCGACACCACGCCGCAGTGCAACGGCGTCCATTCGACATCGGGCCTTGCGAAAATGTCAAAGTTCTTTGTTGGTTTGGGCCGGACATATTCTACTCCCTGAGTCTCGGTACAAGACGCAGTTCTGGCCCGGATGTCAGCGCCCTGCTCGAGGAGTATGCTCACCATGGCCTCGTGGCTGGAAAAAGCCGCCAGGTGCAGCGCCGTGCATGTGGTCTTTATCTCTACTTTCGTGAGGAACTTGGTCTCGATGGTGGTGTGGCACCTTGCCTCCACGTCCGCGCCGTGTCTCACCAACAGCCTACTCACCTCGGCGTGTCCACATGCCGTGGTGCAGTGCATCGCCGTGAGCTCATCCTGAATGGCAAACATGAAACGGACTTTTGCAGGCTCGTCCTCCTCCTCTTCCCTGGCCTCGCTCCCCCCTTGGCCATGTGGCCCCTCGCCGGTACCCTCCATCATATTCCAGACAGACCATGGGAGGGTCACGCTCTGCACATTCGTGGACATTTGCAGCGCCGCCACCACCTCGCCATACTCGTGGCTCATCTTGAGCTCCAGAGCGCCCGACGGCAGCCACGCCAACCTGTTCTGCCAAAAGTCCAGAGGCTTGCTCAGCGCCGTGGCTAGCCTGTCTTGCAGCACACCGGCCTGCTGATGAATCACCTCGTTCATCTCCTCCTGTAGCTCCACAAAGCGCCGGAGAAGGGCGGACGTCTCGTCTTGGAGGGACAGCACCCGCGGCTTCAGCACGTCATGTCGCTTCTTGGACGCCCAGTGTAGTGGCGTCCATGCCTCGTCATCCTCAGCGTTGACGTCCGCGCCGTTGCGAATCAGGAGCCGGGCGAGCTCCGCGTGCCCTTGCGCCGCGGCGCAGTGTAGAGCCGTGAGACCATCCCCGCTGAGGGCATGAACCGCGTCCGGCGTGACGAGTAGTGCTCGCACAACGTCGGCATGGCCCATCCAGGAGGCGGTGTGGATTGGCATCCAGCCGTCTGCGTCCCGGGCGAGGCTGCTGGCTCCGTGCTCCATGAGAACCCGCGTGGCGGCCTCGCGACCATTCAGGGCAGCGAGGTGGAGAGGTGTCTGACCAAAGGTGCCCTCTTCCGCAACAACATCGGCCGAGTGTCCGAGGAGGATGCGGATCACGGCTTCGTGGCCATTCTCTGCAGCCCTATGAAGCGCCGTCCGGCCATCTCCGTCCCTCACGTCAATCGCATCGGCGCCAGTGGCGGCTAGAAGCAGCCCTGTGGTATTGGGTAGGCCAAAGGCCGCCACCACATGCAACGCCGTCACCTCCCGGTCATACCATGAGCTGTACCCAGAATACCTACGTCCGGTACATTGCATGGCCTGGTTGGCAGACGCCAGTTTTCCTTGGTTGAGCAAAAGGTGGAGGGCGAGATGCTGCATGGACTCCGTCTCTCCTCCCGCGTCATGGCCGTGGTGTCCCCAGTGCTGAGCAGCGTAGGGAAGAAAGGGGTAATCATCCAGTCTCCTGCCCATCTCCTCATCACCGCGACAGGGTCCATCTTCGAACACCGAGTACGATATGTAAGTGACGCACGCGCTCGCAATCATCTCCCGCGACCCGGCCATCCAGCCCGGCCGTCGTTCCGGATCTTCCAGGTAGGTCCTCGCGGTGTGATGCATCAGCTGCACCGTGTCACTCCTCTCATTTATCACGACCAGTCCAGCGCAGAGGGCCACAGCACCGTCGAGATTCTCTATCATGTAGTGGCGTTGAAATTGAGGGCGGCCGGTCTGTATAGCCAGGGCGTGGAGAAACTCGTCACGGGTCAGTGGCCTCTTGGACTCGACGACCCAGGATAGCATGCGATGAGCGAGGTTGCGGTCGCCCGGCTTTTGTCCTCCGATCCGTCCGAGGGCGTTTTCGTACACGGTGGCCAGCTTGTCGGGACTGTCCATGAGCGTCTGGAGAGCGTCTTCGACGTGGCCTCTGGATCGCTCGCCAATGACGGAGTCATGGAAGGGCTGGGCGAGGAGGAACCTATGGCAAAATTAGACTCTGCAATGTCGCCGTCTTGACTGAGAGATACTAACATCCCATCGACAGCGAAAGCTATGGTATCAGTGACACGTCTGCGTAGCTCTTCATCCTCTCGGACAAAAGAGTTCGACTTGTCAATGAGCGCGTCGAGCACGCTCTTCACATCCAGTACATCAGCTCTAATCTCCAGCACTTGGTACTTTGTGCCAAACTCCTTTTCAAACTCAACAGTCGGCCTAGCCGTCGCCAGGATTCGGAGGCCCGTCTTCCTCTGCTGCTCTGCCAGTTGCGCGAGTAGCTCCCTTCGTGTTTGATCCGAGCACTCGTCTAGCGCATCGACGATGAGATAGACCCTGGGGAATTCCTTTAGAACTCGCGTGAGTGCGAGAGAAATGTCTTCAAAGCGCAGATGAGATGATGCGCCAGTCCCATGCTTCTCAAAGAGGTCAACCAGCTCATCGGGGAGGAGCTCGCACTGGTCCGCGAGCTGCCTCAGCATCGCCGCTGCCAACGTCCGCAATGTCTGCTCCTTTTGTCGCTCGTACTCGCAGAAGAGACAGATCACTGCGGCCCTGGATGCGTCCGGCTGCGCTTCCTGACCAGCTTTGAGACTTCTCACCACGACCGAGGAAAAGACAGTCTTACCCCCGCCGGCGATTCCGGGACACCACAGTGTTTGCGCCTCACCCAATGTCCAGTCTCTATATGCCTCGGACTCGAATAGCTTTCGGACCGTGCTGGGTTGCCATTTCTCGTATGAATCCAAGAGTCTCTTTGTATGCGTGTCGCTGTCGAGCCAGTTCAGGATCCTATCGCGGTCTTGCCGCGCCTTGTCTATTATCTGTCAATACAGTGAGGGCATCACAGGGCGAGGGACTGCCCGCATACCTTTCGCGAGACGGTCTACATTTTGCTTGATATCACGCGCACTATATTCCACTAAGATACGCACAAGACTGTCAACACTCCTGTATGTATGCTTGGGACAGTTCGCACACACAATCACTCACCCCTTTCCAAGATCTTGACCACCTCCTCTGTCGTCTGCACCTCTTCCCTAAGCACCACCTGCAGTAACTCCTTTGTGTACGCCGCTGCCGTGGCGGCTGCGTACCGCTGCCATATCTTGTGCTTGTGTGTGTCCGCGTAGTCGCAGATGCCGCGGACGACGAGGCAGGGGAAGTCGTTCATCAGCCCCGCGGCCTCCATGTCGAAGCAAAGGATGCCGTGCTTCTTGCGGATGGCGTCCCGCGTGAGGGCATGGCGCATGACCTGGTCCGCCGAGGCGATTGTCCCGTAGTGGATGACGGGGCCTGGATGCTTGCGGGGTTTGCGCTGAACAAGGCGGGCCGGGTCGCAGTGAGGGCAGGGGAGGGGGATGTCGTCTTCGTCTTCACTAGAGAACCGCTCATCGTCGTCGCTCTCCTCTTGGCTAGGTGGGACGGGGACAGTCGTGTGCTCATACTCGGCCGCGAACAGCTGATCGTACTTGGGGTCAGGACAACGATACAACTCCTCAAACTCGGGGTTCGCGTCCTCGCCCGCCATAACCTTGTTGATCATGGTCGTGACGTACCGCGAGACGGCACTGCGCTTCGCTTCGTGCATCCCTCGCAATTTCGCCACAGCATTGGCCAGCGGCGCAGGCGGCATATTGAGAAGTCCCGTGTGCTCAAACGCGCCCCCAGCGACCGTCTTTCCACAATCATATTTGACGACACCACCTAGATGTGTAGACACGTTAGACATGCGGAGCGGATGACCACCCGGGGGTTGAGCACAGGATGCGCACCCAGCTCGCCTTGCGGGATGCTGACCACCACATCCCCCAGCCGAATATCCTCATGCGGTCTCGCCCGCCGCGCCGGCGCACCGCCTCCGATCCCGACCATGAGACCGAAGCGGATCTTGGGGAAACTCCGGAGCATATTGGCCGCGACGGTGGCGGCGGGGGTGACGCCCGTGCTGCCGGCGGGGAGACACGCCATGACAATGTTGTGGCCCGCCATCTCGCCGAGGGTGTACATGTTTCTGTCGCCGCGCGCGAGGTCGAGGTCCTGGTGCGTCTCGTCGAACATGCCGACCGAGGCGGCCAGCTCGAGAGGCAAGGCGCAGATCCATCCTATGCTGTAGGCGCTGCGCGATAGACATCTAAGAGATGATGGGTGTCGGTTGATGAGATCAATGGTGATGACACGCCAGGTGGACCTACTTGCGTTGTTTGTCGGACATTGTTACACCCAAACAACGGGCCAAGAGTCCGCGTCTGAGACGCCAATCGCGGGATGTCTGTGGAAAATAGAACGCACACCAGGAGCCTGGTAAGCCAGGAGATGAACCCGATTACAAAGCCAAAAATGCTCCGTGTTTTAGGAAATCAGAATCGAATCGGAAACAGCCAGGATTGAATTGAACACACACAAGGTTATATCATCATATTACAGGTAGGTCACGCGTCGCCTTGCAGAGGGGAGGGAACGAGGGGATCGCTTTCAGGTCAGTCAGCGCAGCTGAGCCGACATGAGTCACATGACCTTGCTCGTGCTTCCGACCATCGACGCACCTGCCGCATGTCACCTGGACCTGAAGTGACATGTGCTCTCAGCTCTACTAGGCAGACGAGGACAGCGACAAATCTCGGAGAATGGTCCTCCATTCTGCATGCGCCTGCCCGTCCGTCGCTGGTTCGATATCATTTTGATGATGGCGCCTACTGTGTATAGTAGTCCCACAGCGGCGAGTGGCATAGTACGTACATCCTCCGCGTCCAGGACTGGAGCGACAGGACTAAACTAACCAGCCGACAGCCCCGGAAGCCTCGCTCTCGTGGCCTCCTCTCCAAGCTCATTCGTTCCGCAGCCCTCGCCGCCGGTGAAGAAGTAGTTGCATCAACTATCACTCGCGTAAAAGAGGACAGCCCAGGCTTCACATCACGCGTACCCAAGATGGCTGTCTACGGGGCCTTGATAGACACCACAGTCACACATCTTCTGTTCAAGTGCCTTGGAGTCGTCTCTGAGAAGATGCGCGGTAGTATAGGACCAACTCTGCAGCTCGTCTTGACGTTCATCATTGTAAGACACACACGCAGTCTGTTTAATATAGGCTCTATACGCTCTATTCCGCTTATCATAAAAATGAATAGGTTACTCCGATTCAGAAGCTCACGCGTCTCATAATGGTTGCGTACACGACTGGCGCTAAGACTTACACTAGATTAAAGAAGACCGTGAAGCGCGTTTTCCTCCCGTCCCTAGCGGCGCTGGGTTTCCTAGCGCCGGCTATGGTAGCCTTTGCACAGATCTTCCTGCCCGAGGGGGCGCGCCCACTGTTCTTCCAGTACATGGCATTGTTTATTAGGGTGTTTGATAACGTTCTCGTGAAGAAGGCCTTGCGAAAGATAGGGAAAAAAGAGAGAGAGAGAGAGGGCGATAATAGGCGGACATCGAGGACATCGTCATCAGTGATATCAAATGACAAACGGGTTTAGATTCAATGTCTCAGCATGCCTGTCATAGTCACTGAAGGTAGGCGTTGGGGTGTCATTGCTGACTTCTGTAACATAGTGAGGGAAATATATACATATATAATTACTCGCCAATGCCTATACATACGACCACACCCAGTGGAAAATACGGGATCCCGTCCGCTCTCCCATAGTCAAGCCGCTGAGGGCTGGATTAGTAGTTGGGTCGGTGACGACCAGCGAATACCCGGTGTTGTATGTGAATTCTCTTTTTGCCTTGCACCGAGGCACCTTTTTTGGTCATCCTTATCATTGCAAAGCCGGGCTGTATTCTTCGATAATCTGATCGCGCATCCGGAAGAAAACTTGGCATCCCTCGTCGCTTTTGGCATCGAGGTACTGGGCCTTGTCGTTTCGCCGCGCATCTCCGTGCAATGGCTCAAGCCCTTGGCCCACCCCATCCACGCTCCAGAGCCTGAATGTTGGGCCAATTGCGGCCATGACATAGATCGCCTATCTTGAAGTTGGGAGAGTCGCCTCGGCCACCAGGTGTCTCTCCGCCGCGTCGAGCACTTGTGCCTCGACATCCCTCACAGACCCAAGCGCGTTCCCGACTTGCAGCCAGAGCAGGACGATGTTTGGCTCGTCGAGGTCTTCCGGAGTATATTGGAGCACCCTGTCCGTCTTTCTTACGGAGTTATCCGGCGATGCCGCCATGATGAGCAAGTATTTTGGCGCCGGGAAGTGCACGGTGAAGACTGCCTGCCAGAACGCAGCCGTGTGGCGTTCGGTGTCACTGGCTGAATTATTGTAGAACCTGGCAAGAGCGTTGCTGGAGACAATGGAATTCGACATGACTTCGATTCTAATTGACGACGAGTCGCCGATGGGACAGCTCGGTGATCATTAGACGTGTTCATCGGAGTGATTGATGCCTCGGCGGATCCACGTACCTGCACGGTAATCACGTCGAGTTTTCAAGTTTGGTCAACTTTTCACAACGCGCAGCGTTTGTTCTAGGACTGACAGATGAATGCTGAGTGTACGGTGATGGGTCGTTCGATGGAAGATTTTGTTCTGATTTGAACCTGAATTGATGCCATTTTGTACGCGCTTAATGAAACCAACAGACCGCCAAGCTTTGCAGCACAATCATTCTGGCCTCCACGCTCCTCCTCGGCGTCCCACGGCGTCTAAAAACAGATCGTGAGGATCATTTTTCTTCCATTTGCTAGCTGAACCTCATCATCCTCATGGTTCCGTCGCGAGAACTGCTCGTCTCTTTGATGATTTTTGGCCGATCATGGACCATCTGTGTTGTCAATGAGCGAGGCTTCCTATTGATCATACGTAGGCATGGCGTCGGTGAGAGCCACAATCCATGTCAAGCTTGTTTGTCGACATATATTCAATGATCAAGCACCAGAGCCGTTCCTTCCAGGCCCCTATTAAGTTGACCGAATTCTTCATGTTCCCCGGAACGATACTTCGTCGCAGTAACTAACCCTGTAGTCTGAACTTCGAAGCTACATGTACGACCTACATAAACGATGCAACCCCAGGAATTGTGTCGCGAAAGGGTTATCCGTTTGCGCTAGCAAGCTCACGGAGCAGTTCAAGCGGAGCTATCTAATATTACTCTGGAGTCCGCGAAAGTTGAAGAACTCGCTACTCGTAACGCAACCGGGGAAAAGTCCAGTGCACCAAACTAGTGATTTTCAGGGGTTGTACGTATGTCCACACCGCAATCGCGGAATTTACGGCTCACCTTGCGGTGTTGCACATAAGCAGGAAGGATTGAAGGAATCATACCTGGACAGGCATCCATATAAATATATATATATTTATAACTTATTGTCGCCATACGAATGAAGCGACTAGATACGGGGTAGTCGGAGTGGCCACCGACGGCACTACGTTTCCCACCTCTCGGACTCCTTAGCAGCTTATGTAGCCAAAGACTAAAGTACTTCTCGGACTTCAGGACAATTGATGGCATGATGCTGCTGACCGTCCTTCCAAACCTGGCCATCCCTGTCATTCGCGGAGGAGTATATGGTCGTAGGATCAGGATCCAACATGTGGGCTCAGGATTTAGTCTGCAGAGCCGAGCCCATGCGAGCATTACAACATGAGGGCTATCAAACCCGTCACGTCACTGTGGCAGCGAAGACAAACCACATATATTAACAGCTAGTTTTCCGGACTGGACCATTGAAGCCACCCACCTCTTCTTGCAATCTTTCCAAGACAGGATGCACCTTTCCGCATATCTTTCGTCGGCGGCAGTGCTTGCGCTGTTCGCACCCTCGGTAGTGGCAGTGCCAACCTTGGAAAAGGTTCAGGATGCTGCCGTCACGCTCGATTTGACCGCAGGGACTGTGGTCCCTGTCCCGGGCGGCTCACAGCTGGGTAAGTTACGGCTCCTCGCCCCCTAACTTCTGACTGGAGTTGGGCCTGGTGAAATAAAGAACACTGGCTCCTTTCGGACAAGGCCTCTTTGTTGTCCTTCATCCTGTTCCCCCGCAGCGCCAAAATCCATGGACAAATTCTCATGGCTCTCTAGGTATACCGGTCTCCGAAGTCGTCGTCAAAAGTGACAACATGTTCAACGCCACTTGCAGTGGCTATTCTTGGACGACCACCTATGATGCCGGCACCGACGCGGAGTACACAGACGTCGTAGTGCGTTTGACGTGTGAGACCGCCGATGAGGTTCCCTTTACTGTGTTTGAACACGGAACTGGTAAAAAGAGCGAGACAACGCTGCGTCATATTGTAAGCTCACCTCCCCAAGTTGTCCCTTCACGGTGGGGACATCGTTTTCTCCCCATAGCGCGTTTGTCTTGCTGACCGGCGGATGAAACAGCAATACGACATTGGCGCTCCATATGAGCACTTGAGATCACAGTTCTTCCTGGCCGAGGTCATAACGCCGGTGCCTGAACTCACTCTCGTGGTGTACAGGGTCGTTCAGTGAGAGAAGTGGTGGGGGAGAACGGGCGGCATAACTAGTCAGGAGTCGGGGACTCGGGGCAGGGGTAGGTCGGTGAGGTCGGTGACAACCAGCAAATACCGGCTGCCGTGTGTCCTGTTTGTTGCCGCAGAATATCTGCCAATGTTGCAGTAATGCGACGATGTCGTCAATATTCTCAACTGATTAAATTAAATTATATGCAGAGGAAGATGTTTACTGTCATGGAGGGGATGGCCGGAGGTATCTCTGGTCTGTCTGTACATGTACCGTCTACCGATTTTGCTAGTCGCGGAATTGATTACCCTCGACCTCCGGTATCGTTCGTCAACTCACACTTCGAGTCCGTTTGGACAACCCGACTGCCCCAAGAAAATACTCTTTGAGATAAAATTATGGATGGGATTGGTGAAATTTCTTTGATGGGTTCCTCTTCATTTGCCACCTGAGAAACCCGGGTTCTGGACTCCCGGATTAATTAGAACCCCTGAATCAAACAACATCATGTGATGGCGAATATGATTGACTAGCATGGGGGCCTGAAAATTGCCCCCTGGGATATGTCCCACCGTACGACTGCGAGAGGCCAAATCTTACAGCAACTTCAAAGTCTTCAATCTTGAACATTACCCTGTACAGATACTTGAAATCTGGCGGTGCGCTTCTATACAGAATCTGCTCCGAAGTTCGCGTGCATACATCAGTTTTCCATATGCAAGGCTGAATCGCGCATGACGTAATTGTGCTGATCAAGCTGCAGTCGTCCCACGACGTCGCGATAACATATTTTGACCGCAATTGATTGATAATACTTAGCCCCCCGAAATTGAAGCAGGCCATTTGAGCCAGATATCTTCACGTTCTTGCCTCCACGTAAGCAAGAGACATGAGTCGTCTCTTGAGTCATGTCCCCTTTGATAAGGTTCCTGTTGCTCCAAAGTTCAAAGTCAATGCCGTCGTCGGATAGTTGCGACACCTCCTGTGGCACTCGTAAAGCTTGTACTGTAACGCTTGCTGGATCAACGTCTCCACATCGTTGGGTCCGAGTCCAGTTTTCAATGCCACCACGTCGAACTCTGGGAACATGACACTGTCAACTCGACTCTGTGGTGAATGGAGGATAATTACGTCTCGAATCCCGAGGTAGATGGGCTGTTCTAATGTTCTTACCGCCTTCTCAAGTCTCAATATTCAAGGACGTGGGGTGGACGGGTCACGGGCTACAGCTTGGCGTGGGAGGGAGGATCGACGCAATCCATGCTGGTGAGGTGAGCTAAACTGGATCTGGCCACTGGCGCCAGCCGCAATCGATAACAGAAACTGGAACCGCTAACAAATTTCTTCACCTGCCAGGCGGCGAGATTGAATGTCTTACCACGTGCAAGGATCAAGGAGGCGGACACCAGCCAGGCACCAGGGTCTGGTTATTATTGCTTTGTGTGGTCTGGTCCAGAAACTGTTGAGAGGGTCCATTCGACTTATCGATTGTCAGGATGACGCTATGGCACCTTTTAAATTAGGGAGACTGCTCTGACTTGCCTGAAACCATCCACCAACATCTACCGTTTGCACTTTCCTCACGCCTTCAACCTTCAGTCCGCATCCGCTCTCCCTCGACGACAAGCACGTAAACCACTGCATCTAACCCGTCTACTGTCACCAGTCGCGCATCCAACCTCTCCCACCAAGCTACGCATCGTGACTAGAGTGAGTCCCAGCAGCGGGATCCTCTGAAGCGCGTCTGTGCCTCAGCTTACCTGCCTGGACACTAGTAAGAGAGCTAGTCAAACGCTGAGCAGCAAGAGTTTGCCTTCTCAATTGCAACAATGTCCATGATGTGGCACGGCGTCGCGCGCGCCTGCGCCAGGACCACCCCAAGGGTCGCCCCCAGAACTTTCGCGGCCGCCCCTAGAGCTTTCGCTACGTACAATGCCTCTAGGCATTCCGTCCGCCAACCACAAAGCCAGAGCCTTTTCCACACCTCGCAATCGCGTTTCCAGTCTACAATCACAGCTCCCGCGCTCAGCAACCAGAGCCTGAAAGCGATCGAGCAGGCGGCCCGCCAAAAGAACAGGGATGTCGAATTCCCCAACTTCGATCGAAGCAATGTCAAGGAGGGCATTGTACACATTGGCGTCGGTGGTTTCCACAGAGCGCACTTGGCTGTCTACATCGACAGCCTGATGAAGGAGCACGGCGATCGCAACTGGGCGATCTGCGGTGTCGGCCTCCAGCCTTTCGATGCTGGCATGCGCGATGCCCTGGTGGGTCAGGACTGCCTGTATACTCTGATCGAGCGTGCCGAGAAGGGCAGCAGCGCCCGTGTCATTGGCAGCATCAACTCGTTCCTCTTCGCGCCTGATGACCCGACCAAGGTCATTGACAAGATGGCCCACGCGGACACCAAGATTGTGTCCATGACCATCACCGAGAGCGGCTACTACTACAACGAGAACACCCATGAGCTTGAGATTGAGCACCCGGACATTGTCGCTGACCTGAAGAGCGACCTCAAGTCTCCCCGCACAACCTTTGGCTTCCTCTTTGCGGCCCTCGAGAAGCGTCACGCCGCTGGGCTCAAGCCGTTCACCGTCCTGTCTTGCGACAACATGCAGAAGAACGGCAGCATCACTCGGCATATGCTGCTGAGCTTTGCCCGTGCGCGCAACGCCAAGATTGCCGACTGGATCGAGGCTCAGGGACAGTTCCCCAACAGCATGGTGGACCGCATCACACCTCGTACCACAGACAACGACAAGACCGCCCTCGCTGAGACCTTTGGTATCCAGGACTCGTGGCCCGTGGTCACCGAGCCCTTCACCCAGTGGGTCATTGAGGACTCGTTCGCCGACGGCCGCCCTGCCTTTGAGAAGGTCGGCGTGCAGGTCGTGAGCAACGTCCACGAGGTCGAGAAGTTTGAGTGCCACAAGCTGCGCCTGCTCAACGCCAGTCACTCGGCCGTAGCCTACGCCGCCTACCTGAGTGGCATCGAGTACGTCCACGAGGTGTTTGAGAACCCGCTGTACTACAAGTTCATCTATAACATGATGCACAAGGAGGTCAAGCCCCTCATGCCTGCCATTGACGGCGTCGACATTGACAAGTACTGCGACACCTTGCTAGAGCGCTTTGCCAACCCCACCATCATGGACCAGATCGGCCGTCTCACCATCAACGGCTCCGGCAAGCTGCCTCAGTTCATCATGCCCACCATTGCCGAGCAGATCATGGCCGGCACCCACGACTTCAAGCGCCTCGTCTTCGTGACGGCCACCTGGTTCCGCTTCCTCAACGGCAAGGATGAGCAGGGCAAGCCCATCTTCATTGACGACCCGATGGTGGAGGATCTCCAGGCCCGGGCCATCAAGGGTGGTGCCAAGCCTTTCCCTCTGCTGGACGTGAAGAGCCTGTTTGGTGATGATCTGCGTGGCGACAAGATCTTTGTCGAGGAGCTCACCAAGGCTATGGAGAGCCTGTACCGCGATGGTACCATGGCTACCCTGGCCAAGTACGTCGACTAATCGATTCGGCAACTGTTCACTACTTATAGAAGGGGGGAAAAATCCGGGAATAGAGGCGACGGAACGGACGGAGCGAAAACCATCCGCTGGGTACATTGTATGTAATCATCATACTTTCCTTGCTGTATTCAGTTGGTCTATAGACATAATGCGTGCTCATCAGCTATATTCACTTGCCATTGGTCCTTGTACAACCAAATCGCATAGTGCACATGGTGTTTTGCAATTGTTCAATCTCATAATTGAAAGACTTTTCCAAAGCAATGATTCCTTCTTCCAACGTTGCTATTCCCATTGTGATCTGACCAAACAGTAAGCAAGACATGGACCCCTAAAAGACATTATATGTCCACTCCGCTTCCCACTCCGTGACCTGTTACTACTATTATTTCCACCTTCAGCATTGCAGCGTAAAAGTCCAGCGAGACATGAAAAACCAAAAGACAATGCAGGAACTCATCTCTCCCGATGCCTAGCAATGGCGCACTCGGCCAGGCGACTGATCTCTCCACAGAATTGATCAATCCTGTCCAAGTAGGCTTTTTTTTCTGGCGACGAGTCACTCTTGGGCATCTTCTGGAGGACCTCTGACGCTGTCCGGATGAGTTCCAGATCGAGCTCTGCGTGCTCATTGCCTGGGCTGCGGAGCAGGTTGAAGAACAGGCCCAGGAAAGCCGAGACTGGGTAAAACATGAATAACCTGCATCGTGAGGCGATTAGTATGGTCCCTTTGTACAAGGAAGGATGTCGACTGTACCAGAACACTTCGCTGGCTAGATGATGCACGGCGAGACTGAGGAATATCAATGTCGAACGGCTTGCTTCCACCGAAAGATCGAGGCTGGACTGTAGTCCGTAGTGAATCTCGCTCCTTTCGCTGCCTCGTGCGCCAGCACAGCGCGCGCTGGCGTAGTGGATGATGCTCAACAGATGGTGGTACGCCAAATGCAAGTCAATGTGCAACATCTTTGCAGACTGCTCCAGGTGCTCGCTCAACTTGACTCCATGCCGGATGGCTAGACTCGGTGCAAACTCGGCCGGTATGGTCAGGCGCCATCGCTCCAGTTCCTCGTCCAGTTGACGGATGGTGTGCAGGATTTCTGCGTCGGACTTCTTGGTGGAGGCAAAGGAGTAAAGCTGGTTGGCCACTTTCGACTTGATCTGGATTAGTCTGAGATCGGAGATGAACCATGGCATTGGTATTTCGCCTGCCCCGCGAGAACTGCGATTGGGTCCGTATATGAGCTCAACATAGCCCCGGGGCAGGGTGAGGTCGCAGTACTCGTCTGGAATGACAGGGGGCAGAAAAGTTCGCAACGCGATGTCTTTATCGCAAAAGTAGCACAGCCAGAACAAACATCTGACGTTGTGGTCGTGGCGCTCTTGCGGGGTGGGTTTGCGGTCCTGGGGTATGTCGGCTACGCGTATGTGCCCTCCAAGAGCGAAGACGATGCGACAGGCCATTGTGTGGTATACCCTAGCATCTGCGAAAGCGCCAAGATGACCTTTCCACAGCCACTGTCCAAGTCGTCAGCAACTTGTAGGGCACATGGGTGCGAGCGTACTTACCAGCATCACAGTGGCCTGCAACTTCTGCAGGCTCGCGTCTGTAGGTATCCTGCTGAGCAGGCGCTCCGCCTGACGTATACATGCCTGCACGTCGATGCAGTCTCCTTCTCCAGGTTGCTTTAATTTGGTACTGGCGATTGCGCAGATGGTGAGAGCGCAGGCCCTCGCACCCAGGTGCGCAGGTGAGTCGCTTTGATCCGAGGCCTCGTAAGCCAGTCGTGCGGTCTCCTCAAACAGGAGGCTGTCTACAAAAGGAAAGCTGCGACCAAAGTCGGAGCTCAGGAAGTTTTCGACCAAAGAGTTGAGAACCCATGGCTCCGGCAAAAGACATTCTCCGGCGGCAGTGTCTTGTTGCTGAGAAGGCGGTTCAGGTGAGAAGATTGTCTCTTGATCGCCAAGTTCTTCGAATCTGGGGCACTCGCCGGTGGCGGCTTGGATCCATTTTATACACGCTTCAGTGAAAACAGGCAAACCTGTAGGCGAGCATAATGTTAGCAGATAAGGGTTGTGGAAGTATAGATGCTCCCGTGGGTTGATAGGGTCGAGCGAACTGGAGGCAGGCGATGCGGATTCCGAGCTTGTTCCAAACGGAGATGCACGCGGGCTTCTCTCGAAAGCAGTGGGCTTCTTTATTCGTGCCGACGAGGCCGGAGTACCGTGAAAAGGTCCTCTGCGTGAAGTATGCTGGTGAAGTCCGTGGACTTGGGCGAGCCTGGCCTCTAGCAATTCCAGGCGTTTGGCAACGTCAAGAGCCCCCTTTTTCTTTGTTTTCGAGCTGTGGGGTACTGCGCGTGAGCTAGCCTGACAACCACCGGAAGAATGGGTAAGTATGTGACGCACCGTGAGGAGGAGGTCGCACGGCTGGGGCGATCGTATGTGCAGACCAGATTGTGGTGTTGGCACCAATTGCAGGGGTCACCAACTCTTGGGGTATCGCACAGAATCTGTGTGCAAAGCCGCATGAGACTCATTGTACGTGTAAAGCACCTGTCGGCATGTTCAAGACTCACCTTGCGCACATAGCACGAGTCGCAAGCAGTCCGCCGAGCGGGTGACATGCTTCAGCGTGAACGTCTGGCGAAGAGAAGACGTGGTTATGATCAAGAAGGCCAAGTTCGCCGGGGTCAACTGCGCGTCACTGTGCGCACCGCCAGCAATTTCAAGTGAGGTAGATCTGATAATTAATCTATGATGCGCGGATGGGCGTCATGCAGACGGGACCAGCTGCAAGGCCAAGACGGTACGGTACGTGAGTCTCTATCTGACTCTGGAGGTGAAGAGGGCTGTGTCGGTAGTCGGTAGTCACCCGAGTCTGCGACGTCGTAGTTCTGGACCCTGGTTATCTCGATTGCCGCTGAGTCAGCGGGCTTCATGGACCCTTGTTCTTGTCCGGCAGGTACCCGCATCGCACCTTCCGTGCCCCACGCCGGCCGCTACCGTCTCGCGCCTTACCAGACTGGGTGGCATCGGCCAAGCCTTCCCTCTCCACGGTGGACTGGAACCTACTCGAGCCCAACTTCAACTTCACGTCGTCACCTCATTCGCCCTCGCATTCGCAAACCCCAGTCAACAAGATTCTCAACATCTCGTCACCACGCAAATCTCGAGGTGGGCAACGCAACGCGTAGCCAGAAATGCGATCAATTTTGCCGCTGCGCGTCATTGAGCCGGTAGCCCGATTGCGCCGAATTCGGGTCCGTCCCTGAGTCGAGCTCGCGCACCGCGGTGAGGAAACTCTGAGCTCCAGTCGTGTTGACTGTTGCCCCCGTGCGTGGTCTATGGCGCGTGGGGGACAAACGCTAGATGACTCAGCGGCCATCGCTACATCGCCTTACCAATCTACCCACAGCTGCTCGCACTCGGACATTAGCAATCTAGCACAGGGACCCATCTGCTCGCGGTTCGGAGCCCTGCTGCGGCAATCTGGTGGTTCCCGACATGCCCGCTTCCTGAGGTTCGGTCAATGCGTTGAGAGATCGTCCGAGACTTTCTACCATGAGTCCCTCGATTCGCGCCTGGACTGGACAGCTTCCGGAAGCATGAGGCTCGCCATGTGGGTTCCTTGAGGTAAAAGGCCCCCTAATAAATCTAGTTTGGAGCCATATTTGGCAGCATATATATCGAGTGACTGTCGTTTACTGCTTGCTTGCATGGACTTGTTTCCTCTCTTTCAATTTCAGATTCCAGTCGCTTCTTCTTTTCCGACCTTCTACATTGATCCCTATTAACACATTTCCCTCTTTCAACTAATTATAAGCCCCCTTTCTTACACCTCGACACAACCAGAAGAACACAACCGCCGATGGATACCGCCCAAGACGGGAGCCCTCCCGTAGCAAGCCCAGCAAAAGAGCATCCAGAGACCAACGGTCATAATGATTGGGCTCTGCAATCAGAAGTCGCTGCCTTTGCGGCCCGAGACGAGGCATCTGGGTTCCCTCGCCGAGAGCTGGGCGTGACGTGGAAAGATTTGACGGTCGAAGCGCTCAGCACGGACGCTGCCATTCACGAGAATGTCGTATCCCAATTCAACATTCCAACCAAGATTCGCGAGTCTCGACAGAAGCCCCCCCTAAGAACGATACTCGACAACAGCCACGGATGTGTCAAGCCCGGTGAGATGCTCCTTGTGTTAGGACGCCCAGGGTCCGGATGCACGACACTACTGAACATGCTCGCCAACAAGAGGCGTGGCTATGCCAAGGTCTCTGGCAACGTCAACTATGGCTCTATGGATGCCAAGGAGGCTAGTGCTTACCGAGGCCAAATTGTGATGAACACAGAAGAAGAGCTCTTCTTTCCTTCCCTGACAGTTGGTCAGACATTGGACTTTGCCACTCGGCTGAAGATGGGCGCTCATCTCCCACAAGGCGTCTCAAGCCAAGAGGAGCAACGTCTTGCGTCCCGAGACTTCCTGCTCAAGTCCATGGGCATTGAGCATACTAACGACACAAAAGTGGGCAACGCCTTTGTCCGTGGCGTTTCTGGTGGTGAAAGGAAACGAGTTTCCATCATCGAATGTCTCGCTTCGAAGGGCAGTGTCTTCTGTTGGGACAACTCAACCCGAGGGCTGGACGCCAGCACGTCAGTAGACCACTTGATGAACATTGCGAGTATCCGTACTGACTGTGATTTAGTGCCCTTGAATACACCAAAGCCATTCGAGCGATGACGGACATTCTCGGTCTCTCCACTATCGTGACGCTATACCAAGCAGGCAATGGCATTTACAACCTTTTCGACAAGGTGCTCGTGCTAGACGAGGGCCAGCAGGTATACTATGGTCCGATGACTGAAGCCAAGCCATTCATGGAGGAGCTGGGCTTTGTCTGCCAACCAGGAGCCAATGTGGCCGACTACCTAACGGGTGTCACTGTCCCTACGGAACGTCAAGTTCGACCCGAGATGGAAAACAGGTTCCCCAGAACAGCCGATGAGATCCGTCGACGTTACGAGGAGTCGCCCTTGTATCCGCGAATGCAGGCCGAGTACGACTACCCGACAACAGAAGAGGCCAAGACGAAGACCCTCACCTTCAAGGAGGGCGTCACCATGGAGAAGGACAAGCGCTTGCCCGCTTCCAGTCCTCTCACTGTCGGATTCATGGCACAGACCAAGGCGTGTGTGGCACGACAGTACCAAATCATCTGGGGCGACAAGATGACATTCATCATCAAGCAAGTGTCCACCGTTGTCCAGGCCCTCATCGTTGGATCCCTCTTCTACAACGCGCCTGATACGACTGCGGGCCTCTTCATCAAGTCTGGCGCCTGCTTCTTTGCCCTGCTCTTCAACAGCTTGCTGTCCATGTCTGAAGTGACAGACTCCTTCTCCGGTCGTCCAGTCCTGCTCAAGCACAAGTCATTCGCCTTCTTTCACCCAGCTGCATTCTGCATCGCGCAGATTACTGCAGACATTCCGGTTATCCTGTTCCAGGTATCCATCTTTGCTATCATCTTGTACTTTATGGTGGGCCTGACCACAGACGCCGGCATTTTCTTCACTTTCTGGGTCATCCTCGTGGCCACGACGTTCTGCATGACGGCCATGTTTCGTGCCGTGGGCGCGGCGTTCAGCACCTTTGACGGCGCCTCCAAGGTCTCCGGCTTCCTCATCTCCGCCTGTGTCATGTACACGGGCTATATGATTCAGAAGCCACAGATGCACCCATGGTTTGTGTGGATCTTTTGGATAGACCCACTGGCGTACGCCTTTGACGCTTTGCTGTCCAACGAACTCCATGGGAAGATCATTCCTTGCGTCGGCCCCAATCTCATCCCGAGCGGTGGCGACTACACGAGCGCCGAGAACCAGGCCTGTGCAGGTGTTGGCGGCGCTGTTCCCGGCCAGACATACATTGACGGCGATGCGTACTTGGCCTCGCTTTCTTACAGTCACGCGCACATGTGGCGCAATTTTGGCATCGTCTGGGCTTGGTGGGCTCTGTTCGTGGCCATTACCATCTTCTCTACGTCTCGCTGGCACGCCGCGTCCGAGGACGGACCCAGTCTCGTTATCCCTCGCGAGAAAGCAGCCCTCAGGGTCGCTCGTCGTGGTGACGAGGAGCAGGGCGGTAAGACGGCTGTGAGCTCCAGCACACCTTCGCGAGATGACTCGGATGACGAGGCGAACCAGCCCAACCTGATCCGCAACACATCGATCTTCACGTGGAAGAACCTCTCCTACACAGTCAAGACGCCCCAGGGAGATCGCCTGTTGCTTGACAATGTGCAAGGATGGGTGAAGCCTGGAAACTTGACCGCGCTGATGGGATCTTCTGGCGCTGGCAAAACGACCTTACTCGATGTTCTCGCTCAACGCAAAACGGACGGCACCATCCATGGTTCTATCATGGTCGACGGCCGCCCCCTGCCGGTGTCCTTCCAGCGGTCTGCTGGCTACTGCGAGCAGCTTGATGTGCACGAGTCGTACGCCACGGTGCGCGAGGCCCTGGAGTTCTCTGCCCTCCTGCGCCAGAGTCGTGAGACACCCCGTGCGGAGAAGCTGTCATATGTGAACACCATCATTGACCTCTTGGAGCTCCACGACATTGCCGATACGCTGATTGGCGAGGTTGGTGCTGGGTTGAGCGTTGAGCAACGGAAGCGTGTCACCATCGGTGTCGAGCTGGTTTCCAAGCCCAGCATCCTCGTCTTCCTTGACGAGCCGACCTCGGGCTTGGACGGCCAGTCTGCATACCATACGGTGCGCTTCCTGAAGAAGCTGGCTGCTGTCGGCCAGGCGGTGCTCGTCACCATCCACCAACCGTCTGCCCAGCTGTTCGCCCAGTTTGACACGCTGCTGCTGCTGGCCAAGGGCGGAAAGACGGTCTACTTTGGTGACATTGGCGAGCATGCGTCTACCGTGCAGAGCTACTTTGGTCGCTACGGCGCCCCCTGCCCGCCCGGCGTGAATCCGGCCGAGCACATGATTGATGTCGTCTCCGGCACCTTGTCGCGCGGTCAGGACTGGAGCGAGATCTGGCTGTCGTCCCCCGAGTACGAGAAGATGACGAGTGAGCTCGACAACATGATCAGCGAGGCCGCATCCAAGCCACCTGGCACGGTGGACGACGGGCACGAATTCGCCATGCCCCTCTGGGAGCAGACCAAGCTAGTCACGCAACGCATGAATGTCTCCTTGTTCCGCAACGTCGACTACATCAACAACAAGTTTGCCCTGCACATCTCCTCCGCCCTGTTCAACGGATTCAGTTTCTGGCAGGTGGGCGACTCGGTCGGCGACATGCAGCTCAAGCTGTTTACCATCTTCAACTTTATCTTTGTCGCCCCTGGTGTCCTCGCGCAGTTACAGCCCCTGTTCATCCACCGTCGCGACATCTTTGAGACCAGGGAGAAGAAGAGCAAGATGTATTCATGGGTTGCGTTTGTCACGGGCTTGGTCGTCTCTGAGATCCCCTACCTTATCATCTGCGGCGTCCTGTACTTTGTCTGCTGGTACTACACGGTCGGGTTCCCGACGGATTCCAACCGGGCCGGCGCCACCTTCTTCGTCGTCCTCATGTACGAGTTCCTGTACACGGGCATCGGCCAGTTCGTCGCCGCGTACGCTCCGAACGAGGTGTTTGCGTCCCTTGTCAACCCCCTCATTCTCGGTGTCCTCATCTCGTTCTGCGGCGTGTTGGTCCCCTACTCGCAGATCCTCGCCTTTTGGCGGTACTGGCTCTACTGGCTCAATCCCTTCAACTATCTGATGGGTAGTCTGCTTGTCTTCAACCTCTGGGGCACAGATATTACGTGCAAAGACCGTGAGCTGGCCGTGTTCAACCCCATCAACGGCACGACATGCGGCGATTACCTGTCTGACTACTTGACGCAGGGCATGGGACGGGCGAGCCATCTCGTCAACCCAGATGCCACGTCTGACTGCCAGGTGTGCTCGTACTCAAAGGGCGAGGACTATCTCCACACTTTGAATCTGAACGCATACTCGTACGGATGGCGCGACGCCGGCATCGTGGCGGGAATGTGCTTCAGCTCCTACGCTTTGGTGTACTTGCTGATGAAGCTGCGCACCAAGACGTCCAAGAAGGCGGAGTAGACGATGGGTTCCGGCGACTTCCTTTCAGAACGCTGGCGCTTGGCCTGCCGGCATACTTCTCCTTTGTCTTGGGATAGATCAACAACTGGTTTTGGGTTCCTGGCATAGAGCTTAGAGGTAATTGTGGTTTCATTTGGCGTGTTTATCGTCGGAGCATTGCGGTCGCAAGACAGAAGAAGAAGAAGAGAAGGATGAGCGTCAAGTATAGAAGCATCCTCTCGAGTCCATATTTCTTTTCATAGTATACAGATTGTCTTGTTATTCTTTTCCATAATCATGTTCAGTCCACGCGGTCCGAATGCTTCAGGGTCGGGATCGTCCCACAAGAGTTGCAAAACATCCGCCATCATGCCAACGTGGCCCATGCCAGACCAGTTTGAGCGAATCTGCTGCATCAAGAATGCTTGCGGTTCAGGCTCGACGATGCACGACGCGCCGATCATGACGGGCCAGACCAGCGTCGCCACGTAGTGCTGCGAGGCCACGAGGGTCCGGATATACGGGAACAAGGCACCCGCACGACGACGAACGGCACACCACGTCGCCCCGGTCACGACGGAGCCCGCGAGAGCCGTGGCGAGGTATATGTGCAGTGCGTGGCGCAAGGCCTCGGCAGAAGCGCACTTTAAGTCTCTGTCTCTCTCCCCCGGCCAGGCGGGCGGCGCCATCGCCCACGCGCTGAGACGACTGTGCAGGCTATCGTGGTCTTGCACGAGGGGTATGCTGGGACGGGCAAGGCCATTTCTCTCCTCGACCCGACGCCTCCACGCGAGCGCATCGATCTCGGGGATGAGTCGGTACAGATCATGACTGCCGGCGAAGAGGGCGCCAAAGGTAGGGAACTTGGACATGTCCTCAAAGGGCATGACAAGGAGGTCGGCGACAGACCCTGTGGATGGAGGATGCATGCCAAGATTGCACAGCATGGTGTATGTGTATAGCTCAAGACTGAATCCAAGAAGACCGTTGTTGAACGGTGATGCATGGTAAAGCAGCCCGTTTTCTGTGTTCATGCTTCTGCTGGCTACGAGTGACTTGGCGAGATGACGGCTGGCGCAGAGGTGCCTGGAGAAGGCCCCATGAACGTTCCCGGAGACAGCTTTGCCATGTCAGCAACACCTTCTCTACATCTAAGTCTGTCGGCAAAGAGAGGTTGAGAGCGAGAAATGAGACACGAGCTCGGCTTACCTCGTAGTGACAGGCCACCAGCAGCAGGCACAGCAACCTCTCCTTCTTGGCAAGATCGCCCTCTTGAAGACGCCCAAATTCGGCTCGCAGCCCACTTATTAACCGTGCATAATGCAGTGCCGTGGCGCGGGCAACACCTTGGCTTCTAGGGTCCTGAGATGCCATGTGTGCGCCGCTCAGGGCCAGCAGCGCATGCATGAGGAGGTCGTCCGTCGAGGCCAGCGGGACCAGGAGGGTGACAAAGGGGTTGTCCTGCAGGGGGCCCATGGCGAAGAAGGAAGCCGTGTGTGTAAGGAAGTGCGAGAAAATGGAGACGGATAGGGGTGTCAAAGCACAAGGGCGCTGGCCGCCACCATCGCTGTCGGCGCCCCGGTGGACCATGGGAACGGGGGGCGGTATGACGGACACATGCTGCTGGTGCTGATACCAGAGGACTGACAGGGAGTCCGTGGGTCTGATAGACACTGCCGGCCGGGCGGGAGGGATGTCATCCACTTTGCGCCTCAGAGATGCTGTGCGTTGGGCGACAGTTGTCGAGGGTTGGGTAGACAAAGGAGGAGGAGGTGGCGGCCAGTTGCATGGGATCTGGTTGCGTCGGCAGCCGGCGCATCGTGGCTTGACTTCATCGCACTTTTTCCTCCTCGCGCGGCATGTGAGGCATCCACTTCGTGTCCTCTGCTGGCGCATATTGCGTGCAGCAGCTTGGCTGATTGCGCTCAAAAGGGGGAGGACTAAGGGGGCTGACTCTGGTCAAAGCGGTGTGATGGCTACTCACCCACTGCCTGGCACAGTGAAAGCTGCCTGAGAGGCAATGACCACGTCCTCGTTGTCTTCACCGTTGGAATACGTACTTGGTCCGCGGATGGGCGAGGCCCCTGCGCAGCTTCACACGGTCTCGGTGTCCACGCACACGCGAGGGGGGGCCAACACTAGGAAGTAGCTGGATTACAGTCGATGGCTTGAGCATACGTACTAATGAATTAAGGTTGCGGAGTATGACGAGGTGCGCAGATGAAAAGGCCACAGGAGTACGTACTCCATAGTTGCCAAGCACAGCGCGCCTACATGCAAGGCGCGCGTGAGAACCAACCGACCGGGATGCGGTGCTGCACCGTCCTCATGGCGGCATGTACCAGAAGCTTTTAGTATCTTTTTACAATAAGACCGACTGTCATGTTGCTGAAATGATACCTAGCTCTGCGAGGACGCTCTTCTACGCAAACAAACATATGAATGGCAAGGAATCGGACTGAAGAGCAAAGATGGAGAGCTCTCTATTCCGTCACGACTCTGATACTGAACTCAGCATCTCACCTCTTGTACCTTGACACAGACTTCCAAACTGAATATTTTCTCCAAGAGCTAATTCCTTTGCGCCTCTCCTGGCCTCCATGTCCAGGACGGATCTGCTTCCATGATTACCAAGCTAGAACCGACGATATCGTCGTAGTTGGAGGCATCTCGACTGGAAGTGACGTCTGCTGTCGACCTATTATGTGACGAGAGAGCGGCGCCGGCACGATCCAACTAACGTTAGGGGTCACCGGTATTAACAACGCGACGCAGCCAAAAGTGACCGCCCTGATTGAGAAGTTCGATTAGACTCGGGAGTTCAGTATACCGATACAAACGTTCGTCGATCGAGATCTTGACAGAGAATTGCCTCGCATATCGAAGGCTGAGTCGCAAAACGCGTGACCCAGCTCTCTTGGCTTCTTCTCCTCTGGGAGCTTCTGTCACTGCCTTTCCATGAACAGTCCAACAACCCAATCGAAGCACATGCCGTGCACTTTGACGATTCGGCACGCTGAAAGCTTGAGGTTGGAGAAAACGACAGTCCCCGCGACTTGGACGAGCTTCCGGAGGAGCTCGACGTGACCGTTGCAGAATGGGTAGGTCTGGTCAACGAGTCACTCGCCAACAATGCTCACGCCATAGCCGCAATGCCCCATATAAACGCACAGCGTGTTGGACCGGAGGCCCACGAGGTTGACGGCCTCTACGCCAAGCTCATCGTCAACGACCCCGAGCCGTGGTGGCGCAAGGTCGGCCTGGGAGACGAGTACAGCTCCTCTGTGGAGTCGTGGACCCGTCTACTTCACTGGAGGCTGGGACACGTCCCCGATCCGTCATGAAGCTCGAGCAGTACAGCCAAGCCATCGTTGTCTCTGGCAACAAAGCCTCGCGCTGGCACGCCCTCCCCGACAAAACGACCAAGCACGCAGTCATTGTCGAGCTTGTGGCTGAGCTCGCGAGCGTCGAGCTGAAGATTGGGGATGGAGACGAGGAGTCCAGGACATGGTAGGTGGATGATGTGGATGGGGAAGCGGACAAGGATGCGACCGTCCTCCACAATGAATTACTCCGATTTAATTGATTAGAATGCGGGGTACCGCGGTTCCTGGCATGTTAGACCATCATACATGTACTTATATTTGCTTGATGTGCCGCTCCAACGACGTCCTCTTCACCTCCAGCATGCCCATTGACGACGGTCTGACACTGCCTACACAATGTCGTCCCTCGCATCCCCCCGGAACCTAGCCCTGCTGCTGCTGCCCGTCCTCATCGGCGTCCTCTACGGACCCGCCCTGCAACGCTGCGTGTCCGTCCTGGGCGTCTTCCGGGCCCCCAACTCCACGGTCGTGGAGAACCCGGCGCATCTCATCTACATCCCCGATACGACGCACTGCGAGGACCTGCATTACTACGCGCCCGCCAACGTCCTCTTCAGCGCGTGTGCCGACGCGGCAGAAACCCGCCATGGCTGGTTTCCTCCCCTCACCATCTTTGACGACCCCGTCGCCGCCTCGGAAGCCACTGGGTCGATCCGCGTCATTGGCGCTGCCGTGAGTCCCCGTGGCCTTCTCCCCGAGTACATGTAGTAGACTGACAAGGATCTGCAGACGCACAAGGCCCAGCGCTTGACCTTGGAGGACTTCAAGGGCCCCCTGATTCCACACGGCATCGACGTGGTGGAGGATCCAGACGCGGACAAGGTGCCTGCCGTCTACATCTTTGTCGTCAACCACGTCCCCAACCCGGCCTACGTCGAGTGGAAGCGCAGTTCTGCCCATGGACAGACACCCGAACCGACCAACAAGTCCGCCCCGCGCATCGACATCTTCCACCACCTCCTGGGCGCCTCCTCCGCCCGCCATGTCCGGAGCGTCCAGCACCCCCTGATCGCGACGCCCAACGACATCCTCGCGGTCTCGCCCCGCGAGTTTTACGTCACAAACGACCACCACTACCGCGAGGGCGCCATGCGTATCGCCGAGGACGTCTTTGCCGGCGCCACCTGGTCCACGACCATCCGCGTCCTGCTCGAGGGCGCCCACGACGACGACGACGTCCGCGCCAATGTCGCCCTCACGGGCCTGCACAACAACAACGGCCTCGGCCACGGAAACACATCGGACCAGGTGCTCATTGGCAGCGCGGTCAGTGGCACCATGCACCTCGCCACGTTTGCGCCGCGCGAGGGGGCGCTCGAGGTCCGGGAGTCGATCCACCTGGACTCGACCATTGACAACCCGACGTACTTTCGCGACCCCTATGCCACCCCGGCGCTCGACCGGTCAGGCTATGTCAATGCCGGCACGAGCAACGGCTACAAGGTCGTCGAGTCGGCAAAGGATCCCGCTGGCCTGGACGGCTCCATGGTCTGGGTCACGCGGCCCCAGGGGACGGGGTGGGACAATAAACTCCTGTTCCAGGATGATGGCAGCCGAATCAGGGCCGCCAGCGTGGCCGTCCTGGTGGCCATTGAGCCAGCCTTGGAAGCTGGCCAACGCAAGGCCTGGCTCTATGTCTCGGGGTTCGTCTCCAAGAACATCCTCGCCGTCAAGATCGACCTCGTGTAGGTGATGATGATCCTTTCGCAAGCACAGGCGGCCAACACAACCCCATTACAATGAAGTAAATATAAAAATTAAAATAAAATAAAAATAAAATAAAAAAAAATAAAAAAAAATAAAAAGCGTCGCTTTGGTATCTCATACTAGCCCGCGCCCCCCGTCTATATCCCAGTGAAGCCAATGCGCAGAGAAAACAGCGAGTGCCTCCCGCCCGCCCATTCCTTGGTCAGGCCCTAAACTCCCAAGCCATCGCCCTGTCGTTACACGTAAAAAGAAATGCGACACGAGTCGCCCATATCCCACATTCTATGAACAATAGCCTCCTTCAGCGCCGTCCCATGTCGCTGGCGTATCCAAGCTCGCCATAGTTCTGGCTCAACCCGCCGTCGCCGTAACCTGTGCCCGGGCCGCTGACATAGCCATTATCGTCTCCATCGTCAAAGTCGCTCGCGTCAAACGACGACCGCCCGCTAATGTCTTCGTCGATATTGCCCATCTCGGGACCCGTCCAGTTCATCTGCGCCAACGCTGGGTACTGCGCCAGCAGGGCAGCGGGGAGGGCAAAGTTGCCGTTTGCATCGAGCGAGTAGCCCCCTGTGGGATCCATGGCCATGGGCTGTGGCACCATGTTGGCGTTGTGCGCCATCTGCTGCTCCCGCCATTGGCGCTGCCTCTCAATCACCTCCTCGTCCAGCAGCGGCTTGATGCATATGCGACCGGCTTCACTCCTGAAGTGCCGGCCCAGAGCATCGGCTCGAGCAAACCGACGGCCGCACCCCCACTGCCCGCCTGCTTTCAGCTCACCCTTGCAGACAAACTTCTTCTCTCCAGAATGCAGACTCTCGTGACGTTTGCGGTCGTGCTGGCGGGCAAACGCCTTGCCGCAGACCGTGCACACAAAGGGGCGCTCGTCCGTGTGCGTGCGCAGATGCGACCGGAGGTTGTATGCTCTCGTGAATCGCTTGGGACACAATGTGCACTGAAAGGTGGCCGGGTGCTTCTGCGCCCTCTTCGCGTTGCCAGACTCGGCGCTGTTCTGGAACTCGGGGTCCGCCAACCGCAAGGCTATCACGTTGTTGGGCACCGCCGAGGTCGACTGCCGTCTTCGGTTCGGCGACACGCCCGAGTGTGGTGAGAGGGATCTCGAGACGTCGGAGCGGGGAGACAGAGCCGATTGCGATGAGTTGGAGGGACTGTGGGAGCTGATTCGGCGGCCCATGGCCACTCCTGGGTGGAACGGATCCGTGACGGCCCTTGGACGGGCTAGCTTGCGACCTGTGGATGTCAGTACACGTTGTTCTCCTTGTTCAGACGACAAGAGTCCGCTTGCTTGCTTACCTCTGTCTGGGGGTGTCAGCGAGTCTTGGTCCAACGCCCTGCCATCCGCTCCAGGGCCGTCGCGTGTGTTTGGCGCATGGACAATGTTGATCGATGGCGGCGCCATTTGCGACATGTCGTGCTGGCTTTGCTGGAAGTTGGGGAATGCCTCGCCTGGTGGGTGGCTGACATAGGCATTGGGGTCGGCATAAGGGTTGGGCGCCATCATCCCAAAGCTTGCGTTCGGGTCCGCCATCTGCTGCGGCATGATCCTGGGGCTGATCGCAGGACTATGCGATGGACTCCGCCCCTGGTGGCCGGGACTCCCAGCGTCGGACAGTGTAAAGTTGCCTATGCCTCCCATCACCGGATCATAGAGGGTACCATCAGCCGAGTGTTGCAGTGGCGAGTGGCCCGACTGATCATCGAAGCTGTCCGATGTGATCACGTTGGGCGAGGGCGACACAGACGAGATGTCCGAGTGCGCAGAGGGACTGCGACGGTGACTGTGGAACTGGACTTGCGACCAATCGCCCAGCTGGTTGGGATGCAGAGCAGACTCCGGCCCGAGTGACGCATGGGAAGCATGGCTGGTGTTCCTGGAGTGATGCCCACCCCCCATTGGGGGCGAGAAATGTGTCTGGTGGTACGATGGCGATTGTTGCGCAGATCCAGGCTGGCCGTCGGGTTGGAGGAGTGGCGAGTGCGGTGAGTGCGCCGATTGGGATCCAGGGGAGGTCATGTTGCTGATATCGTTGGGGTTCAGCGTCGTCTGGTCAAACAGCGGTGCGTTGAAGTGCTCCCCTTGCGCCCCGGTCTGGGAGAAGAGCGGGAAGTCGCCGTCGTTCGTCAGGTTGGGGGAAAGATACCCGTTCTGCGGCTGTCCGAAATCGGTACTCCCCAGCTGTTGGCCGAAGCTGGTGTTGGGGTCGAAGAAGTTGTTGCTCGCAAAGGAGTCAATGTTCGGATCGGACGAGGAGAAGACCGGCTGCCCTTGCTGTTCGAGACCAAGACCAAGACCATTCGATAGATCGGTCTGCTGGTATGTACCGGATGACGGAGAGTGGGATTGGCTTTGTAGATGTGGTTGTTGGTGGCCGGTCGAGGCCGACCGGCCGCGTTGGTCTTGCTGATCCATGGGTGGAGTGCGAGGTATGATGTTGCCGAGTTTAGAACGATACGCGACGGCGAGTGCGCGGACACGCGGACAGCGGCAGTCTGTAAGGCTGATTCCCGGCAATCAGCCCTCTCGGGAGCTTGACAAGCCCGTAGCGATGGTGGTGAGAGGACGAGGCTGTGCTTCCCGGAAGTTCGGTGTGGGAGAGATCGTGGGGACAGGCCGCGTCGTGCTGGTTTCGGGTCCGTAGCCAGTGGCAGAGCAGCAGAAGCAGCAGACGAGTCGTGATATACAGGATCACCCGAGCTTCGCAGGAGAATTGTTGGAGGAGCTGGCCAGGCCAGGCCAGTTGCGCGCGTCGAGATGAGCAGGTCAGTGCTCGACGACTTGTACTAGTCTAGGGTTCGACAATCTCCACCAAGTAACCCGTCCAATGCGTGAACCTGACGCTCCAAGGATGGGGCGGCGTCGGCTTGTGGGCGCGCGTGCGATGCTTGCTGGACGGAGATACCCAACGTTACTCGTATGGAGGGGTGCAGCAGTCAAGTCGGCAAGAGGCTGAGGCGTCGCGGTGCCTGACGGCGGTATGGTCGTTTGCGCGAATCGGGTTCCAGGTGAAGCTGCGAAAAGAGGATCCGTCGGGGGGGGCAGACGTTGACGGGCTGGATGGAGAATGAGGTCAGGCCCCAGGGCCGCTTCGCTAGCGCAGGCAGAAGTTGGTTGGTGCGGGATGGGGTGAGGCTGTGCAAGGAGGTTAGGTCGAATGAGACGTCGCGCGGTGTCTCGACGGGACGAGGATGGTACCGAGGGCGTCAGGGAAGTTTCGAAAGCTGACGACGACGAGTACGACGACGAGGCAGATAAGTTGGATCGGTGGGAATGATGATAGTCTGCTGCAGGTGGGAGGGACTGGACTGGAGGGATGGAATGTGGGGGCCTGTATTGATGTCGTTCATGGAGGGGAAAGGCGGGCAGCCTGTGAGCAGCAGAGCGGACTGGACTGGACTGGACTAAGTTGGACTGGACTCCATGCCGCTCCAGTGGAAGGTCCAGGGCTCCAGCCACTGCCAGATGAGGAACTTCAGGGTCCAGTCCCCAGTGCAGCCCAACAGGCCAACAGCTTACAAGAACATACGTAGTACGTACAGTGCAACAGGACATTGCCGCGGGAAACTCCGAGTTCGGCATTCATACGTGCTAGCTCACTCTTCATAATAAGCATGAAGCATCTGCGCGAGCCTAAAGTCGAGGCTGTGGTTGGTGGTGCCTTGCATCTCGCGTGTCCAGTCGTTGGGACTGAACTTGAGTTCCCTGTTCTGCACTGGCCAAGCGTCGATATGTGCGCCTTCACATGGAGGACACGCACTTTCGCAAGGACGCGCGAGTTCAGCAACGTGGCTCCTATTAACGTGTGGCTGCCCCCATGCTCGCCGCAGAAGGAGTGAGATCCGGGCTTGGCGTCTTTGTTGATCTACCTTCTACACTATGGTAGTTCGGGTACTTCCCCTTTGAGATGCTCGTCTTGTTGACCGCGTTCTCTTCAAGACCGACTCGGCACTATTATGGCCACTAGTACGTAACTTGGTGTACAAATTGAAGTAAAAAGGCATGATGTCATCCTGCGTCTAGTCTGCTCAATGCCATCTTTTTTTCCTTAGACTACCTTACCAACTGCCTAAGTATGCGAAGGCGTTTCCAAGCTTCCAAAATATCATCATCGTCACTGATCAGAGATTGAGCGTTTCATGTCTGACCAGACTAACAGAACCAGTGTCCAGCTTCTCAAACTGTCAAACATCCAAGATACCCACTTCCACAAATAGATGTCGCATACCTGCGCATAATGGCTCACAGCATCCATCTTGTTTGGCTTTGACAGGGCGGCACATGCACCTAACTGATTGCTTCCATACCACACGCTGACGGTTATGGACTCTTATGCATATCCCATGTACCGTCACGGTATCACCAGGTTCCAGGCTGTCCTGCAGGCCTCGTCACGCCTAAGCCGCCCCCTTCACGGCCAGGTATCCCAAAGTTTCGAAAGGGGATGAGACGCGACAAATCACTTGGACGTTCAACAAGTCCAAGACTCCAAAGTCTCGCGGATCTCCCTTTGCGGGGCCTACCCTGGCAAGGCAGATCCGACCCCTGGCCTGCCAAGACGCAAGGTTGACTGCCAAAGATGGATCCACCCATCCAAGGCACGACCTCAACGACGAGGATTCTGGATTTCGACCCTTCTACAGACCGTTCGCGAGTTTGCACGTGATAGTATCTCTCTATGATTACAGCAAGTCTCTCTATGATTACAACAAGAAATCTATAGTACACGGGACAGACCCACCGCTCAGATGACTTCGCTACGCTCGTAGCCAGCACTCTTCAGCGCTGGCTTGGGCATCTCGCGATCCTTAAAGTCGCTCAGAAAGGGGTTCGGATCCTCAGCCTGGTCTAGGTTGCCCAGTGTGTGGTTGACGCCCCGGTGGACGGCCTCGTCGGCGCGGATGTACAGGATGAGGTCCTTCATCGTGCGATGGCCCTCGGGCATCTTCCAGTACTGAACCGCAATGTCCGGGATCTGAAAGTCCGGATCCGACCACTTGGGCAGCGAGCCTTCCTCGATCTCCTTGATGGCCCTCGTGTAGGTATGTACCGCCTCCTCCTCCAGGTAGCCAACGAAGCGGTGCGTGACCTTGGGCGCGACCAGGTACGTCGCGAACATGGCGTTGAAGAAGACGCCCTGGGCGATGATGATCATGGTCTTCATGAACCACCCGGGCTCGCACATCTTCATAAACGTGAGCAGGTGCATGCGCTCGTTGTAGCTCTCCTCGAGCAGCGTCTCGATCCACCCATTGTCGCGCTTCATGCGGCGGAGGGAGTTGAGGTGTCGAAGCATACCGCCCACCATCCCTGGCACGCCGGCAATGCTCTCCAGGAAGACGAAGCGGATGAGCTGTTCTGGTTAGCACGTGTTGGAGCCTTTCTGCTTCACTGTTGGCGTACCCATTGTGCTTCTGTCAGGGGCTTTTCAGCCGCGACAGCTGTCGTGGGATTCTTCTTGTCCACCTGCTGGGATCTCTGCATCCCCGTGGCCAAGTCCATCCAGAACCTGGCTATGCGGACGACCTTCCAAGCGGCCCAGTCGACCAGGCCCTCGGGCTTGCGATGAGCGGGCACCACCGCCTTCATCTCTTCCATGGTGTAGCCATGATGGGGCCAGGCTGCAGGGGTTGTCTGGATATGGGCAGTCTCCCTTTTTGGAAAGAAGTCCCGAAGTTGGGTTCTTGATGTTGTCGAGAAGTATCGAGGGGCCGCATGGGATTGCGACGCAGCACAGACGAGCCTCAGCCCGTTGATGTGTGACGGGGCATGGTAGAGCGTCGCAGTCCTGGCGAGCCGCACCGCAGGTCCGCCCACGGTGGCTTTGCTTGGTATCGAAGCTGCTATCATGGATGTGTCTGAGAGGGGTTGACGTTGCTATGTGGCGTGGTGAGCAATGTCGACTTCGTATGTCCAAGTGCGTAGGTAGATATTGCTTGATGGAAACAAGATATTGCGTATCTTGCTAGCTTAATTCATGAGATAGTGACTAAACATCCAAGGTGCACCGGTCTGACCGGGCCCAGTGACTTATATACGGACCTGATCTCCATGACTGAAAAATAAGGCCCTCCAACAAGGTGCCTCGTGACCTGCGAAAATCATCTTGAGGTCCGCCATTTCGTATCCATCAAACCGTAGCAGGCGTAATACAACTTCCTGCAAGTTCCGAACGAGCTTTGGCCGGGCGGAGGGTTCAAATTGAGTACGTAGCGCAAATCATCGTATTGTCCTGAGTAGCGGAATTCAACAATCGGACCTAGCAGGTATCTACTTGGTACTTAGTTAGTCGTATCCGTAGACTGCTTGGTTTAAAGTCGCCTCATTGCCGTGTGTGTGAGTAATACCCCGCCGAAATTTCTATAACCCCACTACCACGTACGCCGTCACTGCATCACCGGCTCTGCTATTCACTACCTATACCTTACGACAGCATTGACCCGGCCAACACACGACAAACGATACGAATTTCCCTCAACGGAGCAGCTCTACTGACGATGGCCCCGAACCCATTCATCCTTGCGTCCGACAACAGCCCAGAACTGTTGCCATTGTTGCGCGCGAACTCAGGTCTGGCTTCCTCGCAGGACGAACATGGCTACTCTCTTGTCCACGCAGCAGCCAGCTACAACCACCTTGATCTCCTGCGGACACTGATTCGAGACTTCGGCGTCGACGTGGATATCAAAGACGAGGACAATGAGACTGCACTGTTCGTCATAGAAACCCCAGACGCCGCCAAGGTCCTTGTGGAGGAGCTTGGCGCCGACATCCTTCACAAAGGCTCCGAAGGGTTGAACGCGAGGGAGAAACTCGAAGGCGAAGGCGAATTTCCCGAAGTTGTTGCATATCTCATGACCAAGGAATCTGAACATGATATCGAGCGTACGATCTCCAACGCGATCCCTGAGTCGATACCTCCACCCCCAGAGGGCTTGCGAGTCACCATGGGTACCATGGATCCAGTTGAAGATGTGCCCGGCGATGTCGATATTGAGTTTCGCCGCCGAATCGAGGAGCTTGCACAGCGCGATGATTTCGACACACCACAAGGTCAAGCAGATCTGCGCAGATTGGTTGAAGATGCTATTTCGGACCAGGGGCTGGGTGACCAAAGGGCTGTCCGGTCGAAAATGGGCTGAATGCCTCTATTTGGTGGATTCGATTCTCCACGAGAGGTATTGGTTTGGGTTCTCGGCAGCCTTGAGCAGTGTCAGTTCGTTGCAACTGCCGGAAACATTGCGAGAGAACTGAGTCGCACTGACAGCAAACCACGATCGCTGGAAGCTTGCTGTCAACAGGGTCGCCACTAGTTCCCGCAGCCAGTGCGGTCCTATAAATCCTTGCCAGGTTATCTTACAAACCTTGGCAACTCCTTCGGGTTGCTGTGGAGTATCATAACGCGCAAGGAAACTGTCGATACTGTCTGTCGAAGAGACCCGGGGACTTTGCAGTCGAATTAAGGATAACCACTCGTACAACTCGCAAGCCTCAATCTCAAATCCAGCTCGGTCGCCTTCATGCAGGATATCAGGAGATATACCCGGGATCACAGCCCTGACTGACAAATCCTTCGCAATACTTGGCGATGAGGTAAACCCGGTCGGATGGTGCTGTTGAAGCGGGTCTGGGCTCGGAGCTCCTATGGTCAGCAAACTTCTGCAGAAGATAGGCTTCACTTACTCGATTTGTCAATGCTACAGAATAACCAAGTGTATGGCTTATTCAAAACCTCCTTGCAAGCATACCTCAATCTATCGAACCCCTTCTTTCCGTGGAGCATCGATGGACACCGAAGGTCGTATGAGACAACTGCACGAGTCAGTATGACACGAGCAATGTAGCCGTTGGGATGTGGAAATAACAAACCCCATCTCTGTTTGATCCCTTGGCGCCCTTCAGATCCGTGTGGTCTACCCGTTAAACCAGCCTCTTCGTAGGACTTTTTGTCTAGGTACATAGTCAAGATGCCTAGAGCGTCAGTTAAGAGTCATTCGTGCAAAGCAAGCCTTTTCGCACCTTCCTTGAGAGTAAACATATTATCGACTGTTGTGATGCCTTCAGAAAGCATCAACACATTCCCTGGGCTGCATTAGTGAAGCGGTACACGCCAGGAGTGGCCTTACTAACCTTTCTTGATGTACTCCGTGAAAAATTCGCCCTCCAGAATCTGCTGCAAAGTCATGAACACGCGATGAAATCGCGGCGCTGGTTGCTCTTCCTCTAATTTGCGTAGCAGGGCATTTGCCAACTCGTGAGGCATGATCACATCTACCTAAATCTTCTTAACCGCTGCCCGTAGCAATTTTTGTGGCATGAACCAGACATACCTTTTGAATGAAGTCCAAACCCATCAAATCTGACCAAGGTTTACTGTTGTAGGGAATTTGGCCGCGCTGAGTGTAACCCATGGAGCCATAAGTGACGAAGCACCGTGTGCCTTGGTACGCCGCCGGGGGCATCTTGGGAACCATTGGCTTCAGTTGACGCCTCGACGGTGCGAGGAATTCGATCAAATGTTAAAGTGAGGATACAATGGTTTATTCTGGTACAATTTGACTTTGACGCGCCAGTTGTGGTCAATGCTGTGCTAGCTTGATGCATGGGGAAACAAAATGGCAGTCTCCATTGCTGGAGGTGTTTAAAACTCATGGCAGACTCAACCGCCGTGCGGAGCATCCGCAAGACCCTGCTAAGGGAAAATCATACCTTAATTGAGTTCCCAGAGACTACTATCGCGATAATGCTCTTTCTTGTGCTAAATTACTTAGGCATGATCTCCTCATAGATATTGAAATCGATGGCATTAGACCATTACAGGACTATTGTATATGTTGGTGTCGTTTGTCACTTATGAATGTACTCCGAATTTTTAATTTTTCCGGATCTGCAGTATGAGCGCGGGACAAGCGATTTGAGAGACAATCAGTCCCAGGGGGTGAATCCAAAAATGCCGGGCAAGGAAAACCATGAGTCTATTAAATAACAACCGCGGTCTTTACCTTGACCTTGTCGTTCCTCCAAAAAATTGCTTTGTGTCCAGGATTCTCATTGGGTCTGCGAGACTGAGGTAGGTCACAGGTGAGAGTTCTCGGGATCTCACGAAAGGCGGCAGCCGCAAACATTTACATAACCTGCGGCGATTTGGGCCAAAGAGCATCAGCCGCCCAGTCTTCCCACAAAACCTCAAACTGAGTCCATCCAAGATGCTTTTTCTCATTCGATTTGCTCAGATTCATGAGTCCTTCCGATTGGCAGAACTCAAAGCTCTCGCGGAGCTCGAGTGTGAAGATCTCAAAATTGCGGAACATGATGACAAGGTATTTAGCCCAACACTCTTCACGTATCATTCTGACAAACATAGAATCCATTCTGTATCGTTGAGATGTCCTCAGTCGAGGCATCGAAACGAGTAATAAGTCGATCAATTCTGGCCCAGTCCATTCATGAACTCTGGGGATCAGGCTCGACTTTAAATGAGCTCCACGAGGATATCAAATCTATACTACCTGATCGTGGACACTTGTACAAGGATGCATCGTTCAAGTTCGAGGTGGAGTGTTTCCAAGGTACGCGATCGAAGAAGGCTCGGATGGAAATCATTCATTCCCTCGCCTATCTGCCGTTTGAGGGTCCTATCAAAATGAAAGACCCTCAAGAGCACTTCACCATCTTCGAGTATTGGCCGTATCAGAGTGTTTTTTTGGGCATCGAAAACCCGGAGAGACTCTACTTTGCGCGATTTGTCGGAGGGACATCGCGGGACATCGTCCATAAGTATGACCTGAAAAAGCGAGGGTACATATCAACAACGAGCATGGACTCGGAGTTGGCTTTGGTCACTGCAAACATTGCGCTTGCGGACTCGGGGAAATTGTTTTTTGACCCGTTCGTAGGGACGGGGTCTTTCCCTATAGCATGTTCGCACTTTGGCGCTACAACCTGGGGCAGCGACATTGACGGGAGAAGTCTCCGTGGTGATGGGAAGGATAAGAGTCTCAAGGGAAACTTCTCGCAATACGGAATGAAAGAACGCATCGGAGACGTTTTCGCATCTGATCTCACCAACACGCCACTTCAATTACGCAGGATCTGGGACGGGATCGTTTGTGACCCCCCATACGGTGTTCGAGAAGGCTTGCGGGTGCTGGGATGCAGAGATCCCTTGCTTAAACCGTGGCAACTCGAACTCAGCAAGAAGAATTACAAGTGTGTTGATGCCCCCCCTCTCCCTTCTTTTCTTTTGAGAAAGGACAACAGCTGATAACAAACAGAGAGCCCGATTATGTGCCGCCTAAGAAGCCATACAGCTTCTACGCCATGTTGGACAATATCCTGGCTTTCGCGGCGTCCACTTTGGTAGACAACGGCCGCTTGTCCTTCTGGATGCCCACAGCAAACGACGAGGACCGCGAAATTGCTATACCTGAGCATCCTCGTCTTCAGGTTGTCTCAGTTTGCACTCAAGTTTTCCACAAATGTCAGAGAAGCCAGGCCCACCGTCATAAGTCACACCTGCTAACAACAGCACACAGGGTCACGTAGACTGATTACTTACCGTCGCGTGTCAGACGCTGAGGTATCTCCAGCGGCTCTGCAAGCCTTTGCAGTGCGCCAACAAGTGACGGTGGAGGGTAGAACGGCGGACGAGCTAAACCCATTCAGAAATGAATATTTCAAGGGGTTTAACAGCGAGAAGTAAGTAGACTGAAGAATAAAAACGCATGCTTATCACAGTCCATTGACCTTCGTCTGCGACCGTGGCAATTTCGCTGAGTCAATTGAGCTCTTGGTCCTCACATCACTTGGGTAGGCCTGGTGTGAAAGGCTGTCTTACGGTGTGGCATTCTAACCAGCATGGCTTCAAAGGTGCAATAGAAAAACAGGCGACATCAGCCGCTTCCAAATGGTCCATACTAGTGGCAAATGCTCCCAGATTATGGTGATGATGCAACTCGCCCAAGATATTATCTCAACATCAACTTGGCAACATCACCTGAATTCGACAGCACTGAAGCAGCCTCGATCTTTGACATGCTTAAGTTCCAACTGCTGGAATCTGTGCGCCGATGTCAGTTTATACTGTGAATGCCATGACTGGGTCGATGCACTCACTTTTCGCTCTTTGAATGGAAGTAGATACCGCTGACTTCGCCTCTCAGCTGATTGAAACATATGTAGTAGAACCCCTCAAAACTGGCACCAGTGATTGTCCTCACACGGTGATCGGGTACGAGGAAATGCTCTTTCCAGCGCATGAAGATGTGTTCCCGTTGAAACACATCAGGAATATGCACTATGCCCCGACGTGCCTGCTTTTGGAACGGCCGAAAAGCTCCGAACTTAGCCCAGTGACTGAGATCGTCCTTGTGCGTAGCGCCCCAAGCTTCATTTGCAGTGAAGAAGTTGTATTTCGAACCGATGATCTCTCCTTCGAAATAGGTGGTGAGCGTTGGGTGGTCTTCCGTCAGGCCTTCACGGTGTTAGCTAGTGTTTTGCAATACGTATCTGGTGGAAACGTTCCTTGTATTCGCAGGTATCCGCACAAGAGGGACTCTCTTGGATCCACGTGCTTGATCTCGACTTGAACCTCGTACTTCTGCTTCTCAGATTGTTGCATCCCCTGGAATTTGCTTCCGGGGCGCAGGAACGGACATATACAGGGAGGCTTGGTCTAAGCAACGTTAGCTTATCTATCGTTCATTCATCATTGTCGTAAATGCTTCATACGCGTAGGGTGGGGAAGTCATATGCACTCGATGGTACATTCATCTCTGTGTCTGGATCTTCTGGCATAGAATCGCCGATTTGCTCGCCTCGAGGCGGAGTTGCCGACTCGGCCACCGTAGTAGGAGCTCTGGCTGACCGCAAAGCAGACGTGTGGCTACGGCGGTGCTCGCCATAATCCCCGAACTTGTGTCTATCGGCATCGTGATCAACAGGCGGCAGAGGCGTCGCATTTATATGGTTAGAGCGCGATGCGGGGGACGATGTTGTGGCGCGTGAGGAAGAGTCTCCTGAGATGTCCTCCTCCAGTGTGCTGGTGCCATCGACTGGCGACTCGTCATTGAAGGCGTGGCTCGGTGGCAAGCGTTCCAAGTCGAGTCCTGCAGGGAGTGGCATATTTCCATCTTCGATGAGCAACGCACTTCCTCCTCTTTCTCCACTTAATGGACTCTGACTTTCGTCTGGACAAACTGAAAACACTGGTGAAGTTGGCGATTGCCCTCCTTGCGACGGGCCGGACGACGGGGTTGGCATCGTAACTTTCAAGCTGCGGACACAGCGGCCCTTGACTAGGTCCACTACAGTGTCGCCAACGGCGCAAAGTTCTGGTCAACGCTGAAGGCTATAGTAGAATGTGATCGAGGTGCTCGTGTTGGCCTCGCCCAGCATGCGCATCCGCGAACGTCGTCGATGTCGTCGTGGATCGATGTTGATATAAACGTGTTGATTACTTCTTTTGACAGATGGCGTCGCGATGGGAAATACACTGCGGCAACAGCTCTCGCAAATCACACAGTTCAGGGGTGGGTTTCGCTGCCCGGGGCTTCGAGGGTGACTCGTGAGTGATGCGATGCGGTGGCAAGTAACCTGGAAGTATGTACGGCAACTCGAGGAGTATGCCTTCCCCGGGAGAAAAAGGCACAACGGCTGTCGATGTGGGCGGTGGGCGATAGGCCGAAGCAATAATGGCGCGGTTGATGGATGGCGATGTAGATTTAAGGAATTGATTGCTTAGTTAAGGGTAGGTTCATTGAAAACGGACAGAGCGCATCGTAGGCTTTCAGTACTCGTGGAGAAGACTGGATCTGGAGGCGATTCCCACGCCCCCAGGTAGTCCCCAGTATCCACATGCAGATCTTTCTTCTGATTGGTGTCCTTATTCGACGTAGCCTCGTACAAGTTCCAAGGTACCTCCCTCCACATTGGATAGCGCCGTTGGTGATCCACCACTGCTCCCGCTACTTCGCCCACTCCGACCTATGTACTACTAAGTCTAGGATGCAAACTTTGTCTCTTACAAGACACAGGTTCGAGTATTCAGATAGTGGTGGTAGCCAGAGATATTTGTCCTCGAGTGTGGCAAGCGTAGGAACAGGGCACCATGAACACGCTCAAAAGTAAGAAATTGGGCCAGTGATTTGCAAGACACCAGTTGTTTTAGAGAGGTTGCAAAATAAGCCCAGTGACTGAAGACTCCTCAGGTATCTAGGGACACTGGGCAGCCTTGTTTGGTTTGGTAATAGTACGGATAGAGTGGCAAGCTTCAAAAACATGCCAAGACAACACCGGTTCTCAAACAACACATTCCCAGACGGCGATGTACTACCCTGATATCCGCCCTTGGATGCCTTATGGACAAACACCGCTGGTCACAATCTTCCATTTGGTTTATGTACAATGCACGCCGTAGAGTGCACCGGTTCGGCAACGTGGTATGCCCTTGCGACAGATTCGGTACTAAATGCCCTCAATTTCACTGCGCGGGAGATTGAAAGTTTGACCGCTCCCTATTCATCGTCCACAAATCTAGTGGCTAACCTTCCAAAAAAAGGCATTTCGTACCTTGATACGTCAGTAAATATCAGTCTGCGCCCTTCACTTCGCAATAACAAACCTGTCCAATGTTTCCGCATCTCTATACGTCCGCTTTACCAAGAGTGCAATGAGGGCTATGTCGCCAAGGAACAAAAGCCAGCTCATGAAAGACGACCATGCGAATAGGAAGTGCAGCACCAGAATCGCAGTGAACAAAAGTGCTGACTGCCAGGCATGAAACCTGTTAGGATGACTTAGCTTATGGACAAGAAGCTTGATGTACACACCCACCTCACGAAGTCACTGTTACGTTCGAGAATAAGCAAGACGATAGCTCCAATGGGCGGGAAGGCTAAGTATGCTAAGCATGCCTCGTAGTCCAATCGCAGCCCGAGGCTTGTGTCGAATTCGCTGAACTCAGCAATGGGATGTGCGCCTGGCATAGGGTTACTCGATGCTTGCTGGTTCGCGCCACCGTTTCCCGACCATGGGCCGGCTTGCCCATCGAAGCCTGTCCAGCCCCTCTGTGGTTGCGGATGCTGCAATGGCGGCGGGCTACGCGTCAGGTTCGGAGAGAAAGGTCGGCGCGTGTCTTGCGATGCCCGTGGAGACGCGGCGTTGTAATCCGGCGACGCGACGCGGCCGTGCTCGGGGGGCGAGGACTGATAGGGTGCAAAGTCCATGGTGTTGGGCGTGGCCGATCGTGGGGTCGGAAAGACTACAGGCAGGTATGACCAAGGTACGCAAGGTGAGGCTGACGAGTGTTCAAGGAATCAAGGTCGATAAACGACCCCGAGCCATAGCTGCATGACTGAGCGCGACTCTCTGGCTGGCGGGCCGCGGCTGCTAGGGGCAGGGGTCCGGGATGTGGGGTGGGTGGTCAAATCCCGACGTCCGGCGACGACAACTTACAAGAGTGGATTCGAGTGCGTGTCACTCCGGTCATCCATCAGTAGCTACTCCGTAGGTAGATAGGTAATGCAGGTAGCCCTTCCTTCGCGTCCATGGCGCCAGAATTACGTGTCAATCGCACAAACTATCCAAGATAAGTTAAGCCGTGCCGCCAGATTCCAACCTTGGATCATTCTCAAACGTTGACCAATGGTGACTTCGAGGGACAAAGTCACCGATCACACGTCTTTCACATCCATCATGTGTCGTCTGTTCTGTTGAGCCACGTGGTCCTATTTCTAGCTGATACATACGCTTACAGTTGTATAATTACATCTTCTCCCCACCGGTGAGCTCTGAATGCCTGCCTTCGCTCCTGTGTCAAGAGTCAACCCCTCGTCCAGGCTAGATACGACGATCTACGAGCCCTGGTTGCCTTCGTTCGGTTTATCTCCATTCTCCTCGTCCAGTTGTGCTCTCCGTGACTCCAGGGTCAACCACAGGCTCTTACTGCCTCCCTCAAGGGCTGTAGTAACACCCAAACCAGCGCTCTGGAGAAGATGCACCAACTGAGCTCGCAGACCATCGAGCCCTCCATCTATGGCCCCAACCCACTGGACCCCAGCTTGATCAAAGATCCTACCCTCTATACGACCACCGACCATGAATAGTTTGGCCAAAGCACTTTGACATGTCGGCTCATGATACCCTGGGTTTTTGCTCTTCTTGGGGGCAGGGAACTTTTTGGGGACAGGCGATAGCACACTAAGTGCCGCCGCCAAATGTTGAGGGGATACGGCAGGAATGGTCAACGCCGCTAAAGGACCCACGAGCAGAGGCTCGATCTGTGCGTAAGCAGACGAGGTCGGAATAGGAGTGTTCTTAATGGTGTCGTATGCCACGGCGGACAGATCGTGAACAAGGGGCCCTTTGGCAGTCCTGGGGGTTGAAGCAGATGCCGACGCGGCCTCGGCGTCGTGAAACTCAATGATCTTGAGTGCTACGTCGAGCATATTCGTTCGGAGGACGGACAATTTGACCTGATCAGCAATATCCAGATCGCCGTTCGAAGGTGGCACGGATCGCAAAGCCTTATCCAATTCCCTTCTAATGGACGCCCATTCCACTGCCGTGAGGTTGTTGTGCTGAAAAAAGAGGATCAACGGTGTGGATCGCAGCATCGAAGTATAGGCGCGTATCATTTGTGTCTTCCGCGTCTCGACCGGACGAGCACTAGGTGGCTTAGTTGAAGGGACATATTCGACAGTCGTTGCGGCCGCTCGCGGTATAGCCAGCGCCGCATATTGGCTTCTTGACGCTGTCGTAAATGCTGATCTTGCACACCAGCTGCGGATGGAAGGAGCCTCGCGCGCCCAATGCTGCACGCATGGCCGCGCAGCTTGTGAAAGTCCGCACACCATTCTATATGCAATCAGCGACAGACAGCAGCGTCTACAAGGAACTTATTTACCTGGTTGTCTTGTTACGGCCTCACAGACGCGGTTACTAGCTACCTTATGGGAGCCCTTGAATCTCGCAAAACTTAACGTGGGTCCGGATCAACCAGGGACCGCTGCCATATTAGGCCTAGTCTACCTAGGTGCATGATGACACCCGACGTTCGTAGGCTGGAAGCTACTGGAGCTGATTACGCGCGACCTTACTGCCTTGCAGCTAAACATCCTTCGACTGGACCATCCGGACGAGCACTACTAAGTTACGCGAACAACGAACTTGCGCGCCCCTGCCACAACACTTGTAGACTGCAAAAGCATTTTGCAGTTCTGAATTCATCGAGAACCGGACACTGCATCATTCCCTGAATCAGCCATCATGTCCACCCTCGAAGAGCTCGACGACCTCGACCGCAAGGAGAAGGAAGAGAAGAAGCAGAATGATGATGGCAAGGAAGATGCGGACTTGGATGCCCAGATGGACGAAGCAGAGGAGGAAGATGACATACTGGATGACGAAATCCTGAGCCTCGGAACGCAAGATATCCAGACTCGTAAACGTCTGCTGGAGAACGACTCACGGATCATGAAGAGCGAGCTGTCACGACTATCGCACGAGAAGGCAGCTATGGGGGAAAAGATCAAGGACAATGTCGACAAAATCGCCAACAACAGGTGAGAGCAAGGCTATGAATGTGCTACAGAACTGCCCGCGCTAATGCAAACTACCAAGGCAACTACCGTATCTTGTTGGCAATGTTGTTGAGCTGCTCGACCTGGACCCGACCGCCGAATCTTCAGAAGAGGGAGCGAACATCGATCTTGATGCCACCCGCGTTGGTAAATCAGCCGTGATCAAGACTTCGACAAGACAAACTATTTTTCTGCCACTCATCGGTCTGGTCGACTCTGAGGAACTGAAGCCCGGCGACCTCATTGGTGTGAACAAGGACTCGTACCTCATCCTCGACACACTTCCGGCCGAGTACGACAGTCGAGTAAAGGCGATGGAGGTCGATGAGAAGCCAACAGAGCAATACAATGATGTCGGTGGGCTTGACAAGCAAATTGAGGAGCTCGTGGAGGCTGTGGTTTGGCCGATGAAAGAAGCCGAGCGCTTCAAGAAGATTGGCATTAAAGCTCCGAAGGGCGCGCTGATGTACGGTCCTCCTGGAACAGGCAAAACTCTACTTGCACGTGCTTGCGCGGCGCAGACAGATGCTACGTTCCTCAAGCTTGCTGGTCCCCAGTTAGTACAGATGTTCATCGGTGATGGTGCCAAGCTGGTCCGCGACTGCTTCGCTCTTGCCAAAGAGAAGGCACCGGCGATCATTTTCATCGATGAGCTGGACGCGGTAGGCACAAAGCGCTTTGATAGCGAGAAGAGCGGTGATCGTGAGGTCCAGCGCACAATGTTGGAGCTGCTCAACCAGCTTGATGGGTTTGCTTCAGACGACCGCATCAAGGTGCTTGCAGCCACCAATCGTGTGGATGTCCTAGATCCGGCGCTTTTGCGATCTGGGCGTCTCGACCGCAAGATCGAGTTTCCTCTGCCGAACGAAGAGGCGCGAGCGCAAATTCTCAAGATCCATTCACGCAAGATGAAAGTTGACCCTGGTGTCAACTGGGGCGAATTGGCTCGCAGCACGGATGAGTTCGGTGGTGCCATGCTCAAAGCCGTGTGTGTTGAGGCAGGTATGATTGCTCTCCGGTCAGGGAAAAACAAAATAGGACACGAGCACTATGTCGACGCCATTGCGGAAGTGCAGGCAAAGAAGAAAGACGTGAGTTGTCGGTCGCGAGCTCTTGGCTATAATCTGATGCTAACTTCCATTTTAGACTGTCAACTTCTATGCATGAGCAGCGTCAGAGGCATCGCCGGCGTTCTTTGGCAGACATTCCTACGGTGCGTGCAAGCATCTGGGTCATCTTTGGGTCGGGCGCATCGAGTTAAATAGAATCTAGTTTCGCACCTGATGCCAATCTCTTACGAGCCCAGAATCCTTCGTCACAACCTCTAGTCCCCTGCCGTGCTACAACTCTCAATACCCGATACGACACTCAGGTCCTCCATGATGATCAAGGTGCGTTGGTGCAGTCGCACGTAGTTATGGTAATATCTGTTGGTTGTCAACTGTTGGCTCGGGTCCCGAGCTCGGTACTGGGGTAGGTGGACAGTGTGAGGTGAGGTAAGGTCCGGTCAGCCTGGCCAGGTAACTTGTAACTTTGTATAGTAGTGGTGCGGTCGGAGCTTTTGGTCCCCTTCCGATGCTGCCTCCCCCGCATCCGATGTGTGTTGATCACCTTGGCTCAAGTTGCCAAGATACAGTTGGAGAAATGCAGAAACTGGCAACTGCTACGAGCCTACGACCTAGACTCAGGTAGTATCCTGCTTCGACTGAAAGACATTAGGACAGAGGATTAATCAAGCATAATAATCAAATGGCCAAGTCTTGTGTACCTCCCTTACTCTTTTAGTCGACACACGAAGTTTTCACGCCACCGGATGGCCTCTTGTTTTCTTTGCCGGGTACGGAGTAGAGAGTCTGTAATCAAAGCCAGCTCGAGCCTGACGTCATTTTGGAAAGTGAAGAAAACCGCACCACGTACGTACCTAAGCGAGAGCTCATCCGAACGTGAAAAAGCGGTGCGTCATAAGTCAGGACTGGCTAATCAAAGATCGTACGTACGTAGCAGCAACGCAGTGTCCGAGCTGGATCAGTGAGTGCGGAGGACAGTGCCTCAAAAATACATGAACCTGGCGTAATGCTAAGGTATGATGGCACATGCCAGTAGCTGCACCTGTGTGCTCTGGAGGCTGGCTCCAAGTCACGTACGAGACAGTGACGTTATGGACCCCAGCTTGACAGTTCAGTTGACACAGCTCCAGTCGTCAGTCACCACCTGTGGGTGTGACACAATGATTGCCTGCTGTGCATTACCTCATTGCTTTACCGGCATCCACCGGCAGGTGGTTTTCCTCCTTCCATCAACCTTTTCCTTCATCCTCCCCCATTTCCTCGTACTGGACTATCAACGTAAACTTTTTCATCAGGAAGTTTTCCTCGAACATCCTCGAACATCAACGCGTCTCCACGATGAGGTACCTTTCTACTCTCGTGACGGCAACTCTCGCTGTCACTGGAGTTGCTGCAAGCAGCTGGTTTCCTGGCAGCAAAGCTGGTACGAAATAATTGACACATCTTCCAGTTGATCCCGAGTTAACATTTCAACAGTATACAACAAGTGGCATGAAACTGAGCTGGAGCGTTGGCTCTCGGATAACAATATTGCCTATCCAACGCCTGCCGATCGCAAAGACCTTGAATCCTTGATTGAAAAGAACTGGGATTCATATGTTGTTGCTCCTTACAAGAGCTGGGATTCGGCTCAGCTCAGCGAGTACCTGCAAAGCAAGGGCAAGGAGACCAAGGCGGACGCCGAGGCGACGAAAGATAGCCTTCTTGAGCAAGTCCAAGCCAACTGGTATGAGACTGAAGATAGCGCTCAGCAGGCATGGGGCAGCGTCAAGGATTGGATTTTGGACACCTGGACTGAGAGCCAGCTGAAGGCATTCGCCGACAAGCACAGCGTCCCTGGTGAGAAACCCTTCACTTACCGCCACCGACGACGACTGACAAAAGATAGTGCCCCAGCCGCGCCAGCGCGACACTATGCTACAGAAGGCACGTCAAGGCTATGAGACTGTCGCTAAGAAACTTGGCGAAACGACCGCCTATCCTGGCAACTGGTTGTACGAGACATGGACTGAGTCCGAGTTGAAGGAGTGGCTTGATGCTCACGGGTTTCCTGCTCCCCAGCCTACTTCTCGTGACCAATTGATTGCCTCTGTACGCCGCAACTCGCGCCTGGCATATCTCAGGTCCCGTTCCCAAGCTGCCAGCGCCACTGCCAGCGCTCAGTCTGCGTATGCGACTCTGACGGATATGATCATCGATGCGTGGAACGAGTCCCAGCTCAAGGACTTCTGCGACAAAAATGGCATCGCCGTGCCACAGGGCACCAAAGTGAATGAGCTTCGCGCTCTCGTCCGCAAGAATCGCGCTGAGATCCTTGGCGATACAGTGGCATCGAGCGCGTCATCCGCTTTCGGCGCAGCAACATCCAACGCGGAGAATCAATTTGCGCAGGCCACTGACAGTGCTTCTCTTGCCTCCCAGCATGCCTTTGATGCAGCTGTCAAGAGCTGGTCCGACAGCCGACTCAAGTCTTATCTTGACGCCCGCGGCGTTCCTGTGCCCCAAGGCTCCACCACCGACGATCTCCGTGCTCTTGCCCGCAAGCACTCGCACAAGGCCGCTACCGGATGGACTGCGTGGACGTTTGATGACTTCTCGTACGACAATCTAAGGGGTTATCTCTCTAAGAATGGTGATGCCGCAGCCAAGAAGGCTGCTGAGAAGAAGGATGCCACACGTGCGGAGCTCGTTAGCGCAGCCAACTCCGCCTACTCGTCTGCTTCAACTGCTGGCGGCTCAGCCTATGCTGCGGCTACCGAATACATCTCCAGTGCTACAGCTGATGCAAAAGATTCCGTCTTTGACTCGTGGACCGAGACTGAGCTCAAGGCCTATCTTGACAGCTACGGCATCCCTGTTCCTCAAGGTACCAAGCTTGAAGAGCTAAAAGCACAAGCCCGGAAGCAGTCCACTTACTTCAAATACGGAACATCATCTCCCGGTGGCACTGTCCTCGCTAAGCTCGAGAACGCTGCCAAGGATGGCTGGAACTGGGTGGCTCAGCAGCTGGACTTGGGCAGCGAAGCTGCCAAGCAGAAGGCCGCTGAAGCTGAGGCTGAAGCGAAGGCCAAAGCTCAGCACGTCAAGCAGGAGCTTTGAGCTATACAATAAGCGAACAGCTTCTGGCGTGCATTGCACACTGTTGCATGGTGATTGAACTCACTTTGCCTGGCATTAGTAGCCTCAGGATTCTTACACATTCACTTCCTTTGTTATGAGCTTATGACCTGCGTGCCGGTTCAGGTTTATTGTTAAGGTTGTCTGTACTAGGAGGTTTTTAAGTTTAGGCGTGCCTGGCATTGCGCAATAAAATGGAAGATTCGAATTCAATTGTCTAACTTACGATTCACTGGGACCGAGTGCAACAGTGTCCTGCCTTGAGACTGCGTTGTTCTTAGACCGATCACAACATTGGTGAGTCCGAACGCCGACGCTTTATTACATTAGTTATACGGAGCTGAGTTTCTACATGATCACGCCCAAAGCCTCAACGTCCCATCAGCGCCGGCACTGAGGCACCATGGATGCCGCGGGTGCCAATCAACGTCCATCACTCCCAAGTTACTGGTAACCTTGTGGCCCTTGAGCATCTTGACTGGCACGATTGTTGCGCTCTCCATCAAGTCGCTCACGATTCGGCCATGGAAAATTTGCAGGCTGCCATCGTCGCTCGCATCTGCAAACAGAGGTAGGCTCTTGTGGTACTTGACAGCACGAATAGCTTGGCTGTGGAACCGCATCGTCTTGAAAGGCCTGCTTGACAAATCGAGGTCATGCCACAGCAGGCGGCGATCGTAAGAGCCAACAATGAGGTTGTCGCCGCCAGGATGGACGTCGAATCCAGAAATCCATCGTGCACCTGGCTGTATGGCTTTGACGAGTTCTTGTCGCTGGAGGTCGTAGCAACGGATGACACGTTGGGTAGCCACAAAGAAATAAGGTCGCGAGGGGTGAAAGTGAGCAGCTTGAGCGAGGCCTGGCAGGCGTCTGAACGGTATTTGGCTGAGGTGTTTGGAGACCGTGTGAATAGCGACCGAGCTCCGTTGTCCACGTGGCGAGACTGAGCAGATGAAGTCGCCTCTTCTATGCCAGCTCAGCATCTTGATGGCCGATCTGACAGTAAGCTTCAGCAATACACCCTTTTCTTCGAGCTTGGTACCGGGTCGCGACCATTTAGCCGGAGTGTCCTTCTTTATGACGTTGTTCCCATCGGTCGTAGCATTATGAGCAGCATGACCGAAGCCCGCGTCCAACACATCTCGACTAGCCTTTTCGGTAGCGTCGTTGACAAGTGGCGGCACAGCAAGGAAAAGATCCTCGCCAGCGGCAGCAGCCAAGATGAAAGCATCCTTGTTGGGCCGCCATCTCACGATGTTGACCGATTCATCAGGGCTCAGACGAGCAGACCATTCTTGATGGCCGTTGAGGGACCAAACCCGCACAGTTCCGTCGTCGCCTCCTGAGGCGATCCACTCGCCGTCCGGACTAAAAGCAGCAGTCCGCACGCGGCCCTCATGACCCTTAAAAATCGTTTGGCAGAGGGTAGGGAAAGGTTTCAACTCCTCAGGACGCGGAAGCTTTGGCAACAAGGAGTTGGGGTCAATGTTGAGACGGTTCTTGCGGATGCGTGGCGCCAAATACAGGTCCAGGCAGCGTTCGAATCTCTCCTTGACAAATTCACCGTACCCAGGTACCTTGCGTAGAGCATCGTACTGTGCTGGCAAGTACTCTTTCTCTCGCTCCTCGGGGTCTGTCTGCTGCCATGCTTTCTTTTCGTCGCCCGTTGGCAAATACTCGGGTGGGGGGTTGTAACTCAAGTCGTATCCCGGTGGTGCAAGCTTGGGAGCAGCGATGTGCATGACATGGGGTTCTTGAGCCTCTTCGTTGGCCCAGATGTCATAGTGAGTTTCTTCTTCTTGGTTCTGTTCACGGTCGCGCTCTTCGGGGGGCTTGTAGGGCAGAATCTTTCCGTCCTTGATGGCACGAACAAGTTTGGCTATACGCTTAGCTTCGTGCTTGGATGGCAAGAATCGTCGCTTAGGCTCAGGTGCTGAACTAAGCGGCATCTTCTCCTCGACACCAGTGAAGTAGGGAACCATGTCCTGCTAGGAATTAGTGGAAGGTCGGCGAGCAAGGGGATGACAAGACATGCCGGATAAGGATCAAACCCTTCTTCAGGTACTTCCGCCATTTGCAATCGGCGCAGAAGCTCTAGCTCGGACTGGCTCAAGTTCAATGGCTTTCCGGTTTGAGGATCAGTCAGCCCGGTCCAGCCCTTGGGAATTTCGATGGTGTCCAACAGGGCATCAAGAGCATCGCCAGTCGCCGGGCGCATAATCTTCTTGCCATTGATGTCGTATCCAATGTGCGGATAGGAGTCGTAGAATGACAATGGAATGTCGCCAATCGTGTTAGGCTGCTCTTGGGCGTCCGAGTCGTCGCTGTCATACACAGGATTTACGTCGGCATATTCGTAGCGCTCGTTGCCGTTTGCATCTGTTGTAACTTTGTAATCGGCATGTCTCTGAAAGCTTGAGATGCTCGAAACGCTCTCTGCGTCGGAGCTATGTTCATCGTTGTCAATCTCTTCGCTATCGAAGCCTTCAGAGACGTCTTCCGCCGCCAGGCTCGAACCATCATCAGCGTCTGACAGAACACCATCCAATGGAGCACCTGCTAGCTCGTCATCTGACTCTACAGATTCGACCGGTTCCTTCCTCTTCTTTCCGGGAGTTTTGGAAATCATGGTTGCGGGCACAGCGTTGTTTGCTTGTTCCAAAATCGTCGGCGCACAAGGAAATGGGTGAAAGGTGGGCTGTCTCGAGTACCTGGTAACTTTTTTTTTCTGCCAGCCTTCCATGCGGCTCTCCCGAGTTGGACCAAAAGCGGTCAAAGTAGCTTTCTTCTTTCGGCATAGCTGCATCCACCCCTCTGGCACGACCTTAGGTGAGGACCGTGAGGTGATAGGTACATTTATTAATATCTCTGGATTCCTCCATAGTCAATGAGCAAAGCGTTTGATGACTATGGCTGTCTGGCTCTACTGCCGCTGGAGTCTTTCCTTCCGACTACAAACTTTTAGCTCAATTATACTATTTCGATGTTCCACCACGAGAGACCCAGTCTTACAGCACCCATACAGCCAGATAGATCTAGGTAGCGACCGCCTTGCCCTCATATGATCAATCAATCCGCGCAGTACTTTTAGACCACATCAGAGCACATAAAATCGAAAGGATCGGGCCGCAGATCTTCTGTCAGGCTATGTAAAAAAGGGGGTTTTTTGGGCCGGTATGTGCCGTAAAAACATACGTAGCACAATTGCGAAGCAACAATATACCTAATCATAGCTAACAGCGACCAGCTAGAGCTGATTTGGATACATACTGTACGCAGCGAGAATACCTTGATGGCGATAGCTTACTTGATGTAACACTGAAGGTTATCTCCAGGGCCCATAAGCAGGGTGGATTTACATGAGTAGACGAAGACAGTGGTCAGTATGATACTCATTGCTCCCGACCTCACGGAGAGGACAGTGGCAGATCGACAGTCCCCCCACAATCTGTTCCAAGGATTGCCGCACATATTGGCTGGCTCTTCGTGGGTGCATAGACCGGTGCAGTCAGGCTCACGGCGGCCGTAAGACTTCCAATGTTAAGGACAGGTTTCATAGAGAAATAAGGTCACGGAGTAGCGGCCTCGATATACATGAAATGGAATTGCGAAGCCAGACGTGTGTTGCGGTAGCGATCACCATCGGTCCATAGTTTCGAATAACAGCAAGCCACGCTGGCGTTCCGGTTGATTTTGTACTAAGACTGACTCAACATGTCCCTAAAGGCCCATGTACGTTTCCCCACGCACGTAATGGCTCGACCTCGCATAGACAGCGATAGCGCACTCACCAGAGATATCCTCGGCAGTTACTGCTGCCGCAAAGGCATAGCTCCATGTTAATGGTGTCGTGGTTGCTCTCATGATCGTCAACTCCGGCCACATAATCGAAAGTAAGCTCCTCTCCGCGTGCTATATCTCGGACCGCAAAAAGTGCTAGATCATGGATGTGTTTGTTTGCGTGATCTCCGACACGCGCGAAGATACGTAAATTGGGATCACAAGAGTGGTTGATAAACCGTGTCGGTCCGGACATGAATTCTCCGTCGACCTCAAAAGATCGTTCCCTCAGTCGAAGATCATGTGAAGTAGGGTCTTCAAATTTATCCAGGGCAAACAGATAGAGGTCTTTCCGTTCCGCAATAGATGATGCCTGGCGCCTCTGGTCAGATTCTCGCCAGGTAATGATTTCGCCCAGGTAGCAATCGACAAATTGCCCCTTCCTGATAGCCTCGGGGCACCGGACACCTAAGTATGTTTAGCCTGCGGGTCAGAACAAAAGTACACAGATATTTCTCACCCCATCCACGGTCTTTCGTTCGGAAGATTTGTATAGGTACCGTACGACCTCTCTCTACAACTCGATTCGGGCACGAGTTAGTACACCTGCAAGACGCATGGCATTCGTACAACGGCCTGGTTGAATCTAGCATAGATGACCGTAGAAGACCGGCCTTGTCGCCTTCCATATGATACGCGTTCAGCTCTGGCTGTCTGTCGTCCTTTGCTTCGGGAATTTCGATTTCACCCATACACTGGCAGCGTTCGTATTGGCAATTACTGTCAACATTGCAGTCACAACCAGAAAGAAAGGCCGGGGAAGCTGCTTCAACGCCTGGGCCGAATTTCATCCGTTGGATGAAACGGAAGTTCTGCGGCAACGCTTCATTGTTAAGGGTATTGACAATAGTGATGGGAAGTGTGCGGTGGGAAGGAAAGGCTCGAAGTTGGCAGAAGTGACAGGCGTCCTTGTCTATTCCGTGGACCTGTTCGATGATAAGCGATTTTCAGAAAGTTGGCATAATACTACTCACTTGCTCAGTGTGATGAAGAAAGTGCGTGCGCGTTGCTGCCTCCATCACGGCGTCGCGGGAGGAACACGTTCAAAAGAGTACGAGCCAAAGCCTCTGCTATTCAATTAAATCAAGCGGGCGCTCTTGTAGAGAGAAAAGTGATTCATAAGTTACCAAAGGAGGAGCAAAAACACGCCAATGCCATCCAGGGTAAGCTGTTGGAGCGCGAAGTCGTGGAAAGAGAGGCTGGTGCGATAACAAACACAATCAAGCAAACAAGTGTTGCGCCCCAACAAGCTGTTATAGCGCAGGACGTAGAGCCGCCATCGGATGAATTGTAGCTTCCTTACTTACGTACTCGGGCCTTGGCGTTCACACATGCAACATTGAAGGCAACCAAACGTTAGTGCGCACCACGAAGCGTTGCCGCGTCTATAGCAACTCAGGTACCTGTACGTAGTATCCGTACCTTAGTCTACCACGAAACCGAGGATGCCCGCGCAGGTACTTACTTACGAGGGAATAGCGTTTTTTTAAGATAACTAATCGTTATATGAGTATATTAATAATCTATAACCTATTAGCGTAAAAAGCCCGATTTTTTTTTAAACTTTAACTTTAACTTTTTAAACTAAAAATAGCTCTAATTATATTTTTTTCGAAAGCTCTTGTAATAATATAATTTTTATAGATCTTGTTATAGAGGCTCCTTTCGGCCGCTAGATTAAAATAAAATTTAAAAAAAAAAGAAAGTACTCTTTCCTATCTTAGCTATAATAATCACGAATATTAAGACCGTTATATAACGCTTTAATAGTCTTTAATTAGTTAACGAGCCGTTATTAAGCCTTCACGAAAAACGCGATCCCCTCGTAGGTACTTAAGACAGTAAGCTTCAGTACCTCGAAGCCCTAGATCGAAACCTAAATTTAGCACAGCAGACGGGCTGTATCTATCAAGGTACATGGGACAGTCACCCTTCCATGTTAATTTTCCCACCAAGTATAAAGCCCATCCCTGCAACTGTCACGTCACAGTCATCGCCCCCCACCAACATTCTGCCCCGCGATCGGAGTTCGTACCTGCGTTGGTTCGACTCATTGATCTTCGTCGCGCAACATTTGAGGACCCTGCATCGCCTATTGATCTTGCAGAGACGGGCTTATTGTGTTGATTTCCTCTATTATGGATGTTGTCAATCAGTCAGTATACCCTCTCTAGAACCATTGACCCCACCTCACTCGGCTTCAGGCGCTAATGGTGTGTATATAAAGCCTAGAGGGTCGCCTGCTCTTTGCTGTTCCCAAGAGTATGTCTTTTCCTTCAAGATGTGGAAATCCCTCGCTAACAACCCGCAGAGGGAAGGCTCAATGCCGCCACCCTCAACCTTCTCGAGGGCGCCGACATTCAATTCCGCCGCGAGAATCGCCTCGACATTGCGCTCGTGAAGAATCTACCGATTGCACTTATCTTCCTCCCGGCCGCCGACATTCCAACTTTTGTTGGGCAGGGTCGTGTCGACCTCGGCATCACAGGATGGGATCAGGTACAGGAGCATGAAGCAGCAGTGCGAGCGACGACACCCGGGGGAGGATGCGATATGGTGATGGATCTTGGCTTTGGTGGTTGCAAGTTACAAGTTCAGGTCCCAGAGAAGGGCAGATTTGCCGCTACGAGAGACTTGATTGGAACCACTATTGGCACAAGCTTCGTCCATCTCGCAGCTGATCACTTTGCAAAGCTCGAGGCAGCTGCGGACGGCGACCCAAACGCCGAGTCAGCGACTGCTAACACACGGCAATTGCGCACCAAGCTCATAGAGCTCAGTGGGAGCGTGGAGGCGGCGTGTGCGCTCGGTGTTGCGGAAGGTATCGTTGACTTGGTCGGTGAGCGACTCCCTGACTCCGCGACGGTGGATGCTGTTTCTAATTATCGTGTACAGAATCCGGCGAGACAATGAGGGCTGCTGGCTTGAAGGCAATCGACACCGTTGTCGAGTCCACGGCCGTGCTCATCAAATCCAACAAGCCTTCTAATCCTGAGATGGTGGAATTGATCGCCTCCCGAATTCGTGGTGTTATCACAGCACAGAGATATGTGCTCTGTCAGTATAACATTCAGCGCTCGAGCCTGTCAGATGCGGCGAAGATCACACCTGGCAAAAGGGCGCCTACTGTTACGTCTCTCGATGAGGATGGTTGGGTCGCTGTCAGCTCGATGGTTGAGAAGAAGAAGATCGCACTGGTGATGGACGATCTCGCCAAGGTTGGCGCCTCGGACATTCTCGTGCTAGACTTGCACAATACAAGATAACAGTCATGAGTAATGGCATAATGGAAAGGGTGCAAGGGCGTGAAAGGCTGCGACAATACTAGACACCCCGCAGCTGGCATCAATGGAGTACATTGGGAAAGGAGCATATTCTCGGATATATACCTCTATAGTCAACCCCAACAGATCTCGGCTTCCCAATCCATTTTCAGAGCCAAGGCTGAGTTATCGCTACTTTAGCCTGAGCTTATTTAAATACGATTATTATACTTTTTCTTTTTAAATAAATAAACTCTTTATATATATTTAATATATTATATATATTTAGATTAATTTTATAATAATTTTATTTTAATATTAATATATCTTTAGTTAGCCTTAGTTTATATTTTAATTATTATTTTTAATATATTAATAATTATTTTTTTACTTTATTATTTCTTTATTTAATTTATATATATAGCTTATTAATATTTTAGTTATTATTAATACCTCCTTTATTTATTATATAATTTATTAATTTAAAACTAACCTTAATATAATTAATATTAATCGCTATAGTCTTAAAGTTACTATAAGTCTTAATTTTAGCTTCAAACCTAGCTATATCTTAATATTTTATACCTTACCGATATCCTCGATATTATTTAATATTACCTCTTATAAGGTCCGCGTTATTATTTATAGCTTTAATAATAATATAAGTTTAGCCTAAAGAAGCTCTACCCTCGCTAAAGCTAATTATCTTAAGCCTAAGACCCTTATTAAATAATATAAAACTAAGATTAATTTTATTTTATTTTAAATTAAAAAATAAAAAAAAATTAAAAAAAAGTATTATATTATACTTAAGCCTAAGGGTAAGAAAAACTTAATTAATTTTTAAGGTAGATATATCTTAAAGATACTTTATAATCATAAACTTAAATATTTTTTTAATTATAATTATAAATATTAATATAATTATATTATTATTACTTAAGTTTAATTATTTTTATATAAATTTAGCCTAAATCTTAAGGTAATTGAATATAATAATATATTTTATATTTATAAATTAGCTTAGCTTTATTATAATAAGATAAATATCTTTCTTTAAGAGCCCTTAAAAATCTTATAAAAAATATAATTAATATATAACTTTTTTTAAAAAAATATTATTTTAAAAAATAAAGCTTTTTTAGTTTTTTATTTTTTATTTTTTTATTTAATTAATAAAAATAATTTTAAGATTTATAAATATAATATAAATACTTAATATAAAAGAATAAATTCTAAAGATTTATTATAAAACTTTAATAAAAATAAAATCGCTTATACTAAGCTTATATTATAAATAAGCTATAAAAGAGCTATATTATTATTATAAGAATTAATAAAGTATTAAGTAAAGAAATAAAGATTATTAATTTTATTTAATTTATATTTAATTTTTTAATAAAGGTTTATAATAATTATTTATTTATTTTATTAAAAGTATTTTATAATATTAAGATTTATTATAATATTAATAAAAATAAGATTTTTAAGGCTTATAATAAAATATATTAAATATATTATACTCGCTAAATATAATATTTAAAAAAATAATATAATAAAGATAATTAAGAAACTTTATAAAGAAATTAATTTATATTTAAAAAATAAACCTTAAATATAAGAAAAAAATCCTAAATCTTAGGCTAAAGTTTATAAAATAAAAATAAGATTAATTTATTTTTAAGTTTTTATTTAAAATATTATTTTAATAGATTAAAGTAAATATAAAATCCTTAAGGGGATTATTTATATATCCTTTTTATATATATTTTTAAGTTATAATATAAATAAAGGTTTATAATATATTATAAGCTTTAAATAAAGAATTAAGGGTAAATTAAGTAAAGTTAATAATCTTTATTTCTTTATTTAATATTTTCTTATATTTTATAATAATAATATAACTCTCTTATAGCTTATTAATAATATAAGCTTATTATAAATAATTCTATTCTTATTAAAGTTTTATAATAAATCTTTATAACTTATTTTTTTTATTAAAGATTTATATTATATTTATAAATCTTAAAATTATTTTAATTAATTAAATAAAAAAATAAAAAATAAAAAAACCTTATTATTTAAATAATCTTTTTTTAAAAAATATTATACCTTAATTTTATTTTTTATAAGATTTTTAAAAGCTCTTAAAAAAAATACCCTTAAATAAATAAATTTTTTAATTTATTATAATTTTTAATTATTTTTTTCTAAATAATTTAAAAATAAATCTAAGAAATTATAATAAATTAAAAAATATATTTATTTAAGGGTATTTTCTTTAAGAAAAAGAAATTTGTATATTTATTCTTTTTAATTTATATTAATTATAAAATATAATTAAATTTAATATATAATATTAAGCTAAGGTATTAAATATATATATAATAAAATACTTATTTAATAATAATTAATTATATTATCTTTATAATTAATAAAAATCTTTATTAATTTATTTTTTTATATAATTAATTATAAGCCTTAGTTCTTAGCTTATTTAAAAATATAATATATTTTATTTTATTTTTTTTATATTAATTTTAAAGTAAATAATAAATATTAAAGATTATTTTTTAACTAATATTAATTTAAATTTAGTTTTTATTTACTCTTAATATTTATATATTTAAGTTATATTATTTATATATATAAATAATTATTTTAGTATTATTTTTATATATTATATAATAATTAATTAATAATTATTTAAATTATTATATAGCTTTCTTAAAATATAATTCTTATAATATAATTAAGTTAGATATAGCTTAATTATTAAATATAATACTTAAATTTAATATTTATTTAGTTATATTTTAATAAATAATATTAAGCTTTAATATAAGAAAATATTAAAAATAAAAGCTAGTTTTATAAAAAAAAGCTAATTTTAATTTTTTAATATCTAAATTAAGTCTATTTTAGTTCGTAATTAGTTCTATATTAGCCTTAGAGTAGAAATTAAAGTATGATTAAATAAAAAAGGTTTTTAAACTTTAGCTAAGGCTAATTTTATTAAAAGAATATTTATTTAGCTTTTATTCTTCTAAGAATTTATAAATTCTTTTATCTTTATAAACTCTTAAAATATATAAAAATTAAAGGCTATTTTTATAATATTCTAAAACTAAGCTAATCTTATTTTATAAATAACTTAAGCTTTAATATATTAAGTAATTATTATTAAATATATTATTAATTATACTTTATATTCCTTTATATATATAATATTATAAAAAGTTTCTTTATATTCCTTTTTTATAAAATAAAAGCTAGTTTTATAATAATTATAAATTATATTATATTTATATATAATTATAATATACTTAAAATAAAATTATTTATAAAATTAATAAATTTATATATTTCTTTTTATATAATTTATAATAATAAATTTATATATTAATAATTAATTTAATATTATATTAATAATTAATTCTTCTTAAATTATTAATATATAAAATAATTATAGCTTTTATAATAAATTTATTTTAATTAATTTAAGTTATTTTTATTAAAATATATATATTATAATAAAAATAAATATATTAAGTAAAAAAAAAAAAAAGTAATATATTTATAAGACTTTAATTTTTTTTTATACAAAAAAAATTTATTTTAATTATTTCTTTTAAAAGAATTAATTTATTTAGAAACTAAAATAACTTTATTAAGTTACTTATATATTACTTATTTTAATAAAATAATATACTAAGGTTTCCGCGGCTTAATATTATATTTATTAAGTTAATACTCCTCGAGTAAGTTAAGAGTCTTAATAATTATAATATAATTTTTTTTTTATAATATTATCCTTAATATATATAATAATATATAATAAATTATAAATATAATATAATAAAATTAATTTAATATAATTAATTAATTATAAAATAATTAATTATTTTATTTTTTAAATTTTAAAATCTTTTTAATAATATAAGTTTTAAAGTATAAATTATTATTATTATTTTAATTATAATTTATTTAAAATTTTCTTTTTTTTTATATTCTTAAAAAATTCTTAAAAATCTTTATTATTTTTAATTTACTTTTATATAATAAATAAGTTTTTTATATTATTATTTTAATTATTTTATAATTTTTTTATTATTTTAATATTTATATTAATTTCTTTTTCTTTAATATAATACTTAAGATTTTTAAAAAAAAAAAACTTAAATATATTTTTATAGTTTTTAATTAATTCGCTTAAATTAGGTTAATTAAGTATATAATACTAAGTCTAATTAAAGCTTAGGCTATAACTTTATATATTAAAGTTATTTTATTTTTTTATTAATAATATATCCTTAGGTTAAATATTATTTTTAAATAAATAATAATTTAATTAAATTAAAATTTATATATTATTCTTTAATAATTATATTATACTTATAATTATTAATAATAATATTATTATAATTATTATAATATTTCTTAAATTCTTACTTTTATTATTTTATATTATATTTATAATTATTATAATATTTTTATATAATTTAGGTATAGTTCTTATAATAGCCTTAATTAAGACTCCTATCGATAGAAATTAGTTATTTATTATCCTACTTATGCCTATAGCTCTAGCTTTTTATAATAACTTTATAATATAAATATAACCTTTTTATAATAATAATAACTTTTATTTAGCTTATTTCGCGTTTTTCTTAGCCTTATATAGCGATATTCTTAATAATCTAGCTAATCTACCTCCTCGCCGCGATATAATAAAGTAATATAACTTATAAAAGTATAAGAATAGCTTACCTAATATTCTTATAACTAACGCTAACTTTAATAATAATATTGTATAGATATACCGCTATATTATAGATATACTAATTTAATAAAAAATATTTAATTAAGTATATACCTTAGAGTTATTATAATAATATCGCTAAACCGCTTAATTTATTAAACTCATTTAATAACTTCTTATCCTTAAGATAATTATAACTCCGGCTATAATTATAACTCTTATACTTCCTCTTACTAAAGATATTAAAATAAATATAAATAATTTTTTTTTATTCTTTATATTATATTAAGTTAGTTTTAAATTATAAATATTAATATCTCTTACCCTAGGTATTTTAATAGCGATAATCTTATTATATTACGCTTAGATTCCTTTTTTTTAATTATATATACTTAAGTTAGGCTTTTTATTAATAATCTTTATTTCAATAACGCTTATCCTATAACTTAAATATATAACTTTATTAAGCCATTTATACCTTATGTTTTTATTAATAATATTCTTTTAGTATTTCTTAAACTTATTTAGACTTTTTATATATTAATTATACCTTTAGTATCTTTATTATATAATATAAGCGCTTATATATTCTAAGGCCCGTTATTATACTTCATTAATAATATATTTATTTATTTACTTATAATAAGTTATTAATCTTTTATAAAATATATAGAAAATAAGCTTAATAAAAATA